CGCGCGCCCCCCCCCCCCGCCCCCCCCCCCCCCCCCCCCCGCCCCCCCGCCCCCCCCCCCCCCCCCCCCCCGCCCCCCCCTTATTGAGGTTCCTCTCACGAGTTCATGAAATTGTAGAGAACTCTCCTTGGAGAACCTGCTGAGGACTGTTAGGGTCTGTGTATTCTAGCTCAAGACCAAATCCCATTTTCTATTGCAACGCGCTGGGTGCCTGCCCGGAATCGGCCGGGGACTCACTCCTAGATTCCTATTCGCCAAGCAGAGATCCCCGATTGAAACAAGTCCAAGACTGCCACTGGCGTCGCGAGTCGTCAACATCAAGCGTTTCTGTGTTCATGCGGAGAAAGGCATCCAAATCCTCCAAGTCCCCGTTTAGCGCCATTCTGTATCGTTCCTGCATCTCAAACAGCTCTTTCTCGTACTTCTGCAAGCCTGCCATCTTCTTCTGGACAAAGCAATCGATATCTTCTTCCGGGACGGCGGCGACGAGTTCGTCCCAGTCTTTCGTCTCCTCTCGAAGCTTTATAAACGGGACACAAGTGGGCCCGTTGAAGCCACGCAGGATGATGAAGTGGAACCACTGACGCCCATCTTTCCGGCACGCATGCAACATTGTCGAAGGCTTCTGGCCCTCGGAGACGCCATCCCCTAGGACCATTGGCTCCTCTTCCTCCAGTATCCGAGTATACAACTCCAGGTGCTTATTGAACCTGGCAAGTCTCTCATCAACGGAGGCCCAGGCATTTGGGGACTCGATCACCAGCCACGCCGGTGTAGAATTGACTAGCTGGGCTGGCGCAGTATATGACCACTCCCAGTCAATCACTGCGATGACCTTGAGATCCTGTTCGTTGTTGACGATCATATTTGTCGGTTGGAAGTCGTCACATGTACGCTTGAACGGCCCTATGTCATGGCCGGCCAAAACATGACGAGGGATCAAAGCCTTCATGATGTTGAAGTAGATATACTTCTCTCTTGCATCGTGCTCGTCGTCGACTGAATTGGGCTGGTCGTGTAGATGTTGTAAGTCCTGGTCAACGATATGGTGAAAATAGCCGGTCGTAGATGCGAATACCTGGTCTTGAGGACCTAGAGGACATTGTGAGATCAGATCGAAGCCCCTAATATATCAAGCAGTTTAGAGAAATGGAAGTACAGTTACCCACCAAGGACATTAACTCCGCCTTCCAAAAGAAAGTCATGCGACTTCTTACTCAAGGGCCGTGACCGAATCGTCGCGGCAAAGCCACACTCGCCAGCCGGAGACTTCGAGGTTAAGCTCCCGATGTGTAGAAAGTCAAGCTGCTAGAGCTGCAGCGAGAAATCGATCATCTGGCGAAATATAACCTCGATGGCTCTCTCGCTGATATCCTGTCGCATGATTCTGGCATCAGGGTTTTGAAGAACGTCGTCGACACCAATGCCTTCAACGAAATCCATCATGATGAAAGGACCGATTCCGAGGGCATTGTCGACCGCCAGCCCCCAAGCTTTGACCTCGGGGACGGGTATCGTCGTTTGCCGACGGATTAGATTCATCGTAGCTACTTCAATCTCGATCTTCTCGTCGGCATTGACAACTTTTCCGACCATAGGGAAACGCACAATCCATTTCTCCCCATTTTGAAACTCTACCTTGCAGCTCAAGTTGTACGCACCACGGCTGTCGTTGCGTTTGTGCGAGGTCAGCTTACAAGGCAGGCGATCTCGGTGAAATGTAGCAACCCAATCCGTCAGCTGCTTTTCTCGTGCGTCATCGTATTTCCTTATCCATGACAAGAACGAGACGTTGTTATCCAGATTGAAGCGGTCGTCCCAGTCCATCGTATCGTGTACCGCTTGGGTGCGACGGTGAGGGGTAAGGCTAAGTCGTGTGTTCACTTCACAGTGGAGGGAGCGATGACCCGGACAATCTTTCCACCGTATTGACATCCTTGATCCCTCTTGAGCCTGAATAAGGGAGATCTCATACGGGTGCTTAGAACAATCAGAGTTACTATTTACGTCTTTAATAACCAACCCCCATTCGAGCCATTGAATTGACTTTAGGTTGGTCCCCTAGGGTGAGACTGCTGCTGCTGTGTCGTCCTACACTTCCCAAGTGTTCGCCGTCCCTGGCCCCGATGATGCCGATGATGCCGATGTCATTGACCTTGACGGGAAACAGTCTTGTACGGGGGGAGGCGCCCCTTCTCTTGTTCTGAGTGGGGCTGCCTCAACCTCAGATGGCATCGATTATGCCTTGCTGCACCTTCATCAGACGAAGATTGAACGTATTTTCTTGACCTCAAGTAGGTACCCAATTATAAGGTATTATACATACTAATTATACATGTTTTCCTAGGGCGCCAGCACTCCAATGACTCCACAATTACCCATGCCATAGATATTGCCATCCTGCGAGGCAGCCACAGTTATCAGAGGATGACCCCGAGGGCACTGTTGCGACGTGCAGCCTTGAACAGGAGCACTGCGACTAACAGAGAAACCCTGGCACAATGATCCATCTCTAGAGATTGACCAGTACGCACAGTCTACGTTGTCGTTGCAGTCCTCGCAGCACGACGAGGGATCATCATTTGCATCGCCCTGGAAAGCCAATACCACGTTAGGGTTACTCGGGATGCCATTAATGTAGTACTTGGAGACGCTGGCTGGGCTGCAAGGATTGTCAGTCTGAGTGGCGGTAGCATCTATGACACTGGTAGTAGAGGTGACGACGGTGGAAGTGCTGGTCACTGTCTCTGTGGACGTCTCTTCAGCTAGACTGGTCATGGTGACTGTGTCAACAACGGTTGACGTCGCAGTAGATGTTACCGTCTGCTCAGGTGGCGGAGCGCCATTGACATGTGTGGTGGTGGTTTTCGTAACTGTGACGGTTGGTGTGGCCCCTCTGGTTATGGTCTTTGTAATGGTCTTTGTGGAGCATTTCGATGAGGTTTTAGTAACCACGTGAGTGGCCTTCGGGCCCCATGACTTGGTTGAAGTGAGGAAGCAGGCTGTGGTAGAAAATGAGTTAGTCAGGGCCAACAATGGAACCGAGTAGACAACACAAATGAGCCGGAACCAACGCACAGCAGTCACGCGGGATATCGCGCGCTTGGTATTCTCCTGAGCGCCTAATAGGTTGTTGGGTGCAAGCTGCTGGAGCCCAGCTCACAGTCGAGATAGAGGTTGAGGTACTGCGTAATTAGTTAACCGACTGATTAGCTCCGTGTAGATGAAGGAGCAAATATGTTGACTAAAACGGGGTCCGCGAGTGCTTACCTTGTGACGGTGGCTGTTGAAGTGTCCGTCTCCACAGAGGTCGTGGTAGTAGTGGTAGTGGTGGTGTCGGTTTCTGTTGCCGTGGTCTCAGAGCCGGACGTCAGAGTAGTCCAGACTGTTGTGGTATCGTGGTCGGTACTTTATTGAAGAGATGAGCCCAGTTAGTATGTCACTCAAAGTGGGTGTCGGCATGGATTAAGTGTGCGTACATAGGGTCAGTGACGACAGCAGTGACAGTCACTGTTCTTGTAACGGCTGCGGGGTTCACCGTCTTCGTGGTGGTCATCGTTGGCGTCACGATCTTCGTGGAAGTCTTGGTTGTTGTGCCAACAGGCGCGGTGCACGTTGATACGTGGATATGCTTGGATGCTAGTCAAAGAATGGAACAAATGTCAGTTTACAATAACTCTCAGAGGCCAACGCTTGCTGTAGACTTACCAATGATCGAAGAGCAGATTCTCGAGGACGACGCCGGCATGATCTTGCACGAAGCAGCGGGCGCTTTACAAGCAGGACCCGTGGCGTGAGCGGCCGCAAGGCCTGACAGCGCAACGACCGCGGCAGTAATAAACTTCATGATAGCCATGCGACACAGCTGGGAAGGGTGAAACAAGAGGAGTGGAACAAGAAGAGTGAGCTGTGCCAAGGGAGTCCTCGAGCCAAGGACGCGATGGGAAACCCCATTTTAAATGGTTTGTAGCTTCGAAGACTCTACCCTACCTCGGGACAAACCATCCATGATTTTCCTCTAGCGGATCACCGTTGAGGCGCTGATCCTGCCAAGCCCAAATTGCCTTTTTCGATAGTCCAAGTCAAAGTGGGACGCCGTTGTCAGGGGTTTTCGCTCCTCTTGGCGCTTTTTGGGTTAGTATGCACACGCTAGCATGCGTGGCCCAACCAGAGATCCCAATAGCTTGGATCCGCAACCCGTATTCACTGCATGACCAAATTTTCAGCTGGCCAAATACGGATCCGTACTTCCGTATAATTGCGGAGGTTACGATGCAGAAGTGTTCTAGATCTCGTCAGCCAGTATTCAATTAGCTCAATGATCGTTAGCGCGGTAGGGATTAAGACGCACCTTCCTTGGCAAAAAGCTTGAATTCCAGCGTGCATTGCGTGGCAGGTGCCCACCCCAGACCCGTCCAATGCTTATCTCGCCAAGATGCAGGGGATCAAGCAGCCACGGAAGTCACTGAGGTAATGCCGGGACTACGCTTGTGTGACTCGGTCACTCGGTCGGCCGGTTCTGCCCGCCCGAGTTAGACGGGAGAGCGACTCAAATAAGGGTCTATCGCCGCCGGGGCTCTTCTCCGAAGCCATGTTGAGGATTGCGACACGGGGCGCGGTGGTCGCATCACGGTTGGCCGGTTTTCGGGTCATGGTGGCAAGGTGGTCGAGTAGAGAAGCGTTAGCGGTTCTGGGGGGCGGTGCGTATATCACGAGAACACCAGAACGTCGGTTTTTGGGAGGACCAGGACAACGGTCGGGCACTGCGCCATGGGATCATTCGACAAAGACCTTCACCCAGACGACATCTCCTAGGTCTCGATGATCGCAGCAGGCGCCGTCCAGGTCCAGGACATCGGCGCAGCACTCCTCGCTTCCCGGACCCTGGCGCTCCATCGACAAGCTTTTCCACCGGCCTGCAGCGGTTGCACACGATGACTGCCTACTGAACGCTAGCCGACATCGGGATCGCGTTTGGGCTTATCGTGTGTGCGTAGTGTGCTCCCAAACGCTCTGATACATCACTGCCATATCTCCCATGAAGTCCTTAAAATGGCGAAGTCTAGCCACAGCCTCCCTTCCTGCCCTAGCGCCATATAATATCGTGTTTTCCAGCATTATCAATGATCAGCCCCGATCCTTTTCGCCATATACACCACATCATCCAGCGGATTACAATAGTACGGCTCCACCTGCACAAATCCCTCTGACCGGTACAGCGAGATGATTGGATCGTCGTTGGAAGATGCCGCAGCGATCACAGAGCGAGTGGCACATGCCTGCAGAGACTTAACCACCTTTTTTTCTCCAGACATTATCTGCACCTTGTATTAAACATCACAAGACCTGGAGCACAACCATCCTGGCCATGACACCAGCTCCACGTCTTGAATCCTCACGCTGGGAGTTCACAAGCCTCACTTTCCCTTCTGTCACCAAACCCTGGACTTTGGCCTCATATCCACCTTCAGTCCAAATCGAGTCCAAGACTGTCGCCACAATCACGCCGCCTCCCTTGACAACCCTGACGAATTCATCTAGTGCCCCAGGTCCAACGTGGCCTTGGGTCAAGGTACCAATACAAGATACAACGTCGTACGAGTCTGTCTTCTGGGAGAGAGGTTTCGACAAATCTGCCGTCTCCAGCGATCGGTACACCCCCGTCTTCCGCGCCACATCAAGCATGCCTTGGCTGAGATCAATACCATCAATAATCTTTGCGCCGAGCCGTGCAAGGTGCATGCCGACCAGACCGGTGCCGCATCCTGCGTCTAGGATCTCGACCTTGTCGCTGATGCGTTCTGCGCCTAGACTTTTGGCGACATATGTGCTTGCTATGGCCGGGGCGACGTAGTCTTGCGAGTCGTCGGCTAAGTCCTTTTCGTAGGTTGGTGCCCAGTCGTCGTAGATGGCACGCATCTCACCCGTGTCAGAGGATGACAGGGCGAGCACACGACTTAAGTGAGACATGGCTTTGTTCTGGATGCGAGTTCGAGATCGGTCAAGGAGTTGGAGGTGATAGATGAGCAGAGGGAAGGTTCGACAAGGGGCTGCATTCTGTGCCAAGTATGTATTCTCCGCAGCTTGTCGGCAAAACGAGACCGGAGTCCCGCAGTGTCCACGTCGTTGCTTGCAGATGGCATCAGAACTTGTGGGGTTGCGGGGATCCCTGCTTGTCAATGCATCAAGTGGATTCTACACGTGCACACGACTTTCATTCACTTCCTCACTTGCCCCAATTGTGATCTACACTGAGATCTACACTAGCCAACTAGTATTAGATCCCCATTGGCTTCTCACCCTGCCTTGGAGACTCGTCGTGTTAAATTGGATGGCAAGATGGTTACACTCAGGCAGAAATGTAGAAAAACAGAATGCACTTGACACTGAACCCCTGACCCCTGAATAGTCAGCCATGAAAACTAACCCTGCTGTCAGACAATGAAGTTGGCTCATGTTCGGTTCTGCTCCGTATGGTCGACACGAGACTTTGCAGGGTTCGCGTCTCATGCTTAACAGAAGATAAATATCTAGCACTTGCGTACCTAAGTTGGTTTTCTTTGGGCATCCGTCCTGGAAGCTCTTGAGTCCAACGGATGTCTCCTGACGGGGCGATGGTAAGATGACAGGGTCATGGTGACATTCGCCGACTTCATTCGGCCCGTCCTGCGCTGTTGCAGCCATAATTAATTACCATGTATTTCTCAGATGGCACCCAGCTTGGGATGGAAGGATATAAGGCAGAATGTTCGGACTGCCACTTGTAAGTTGTTGTTAAGCTACTACACCGACGCTACTCTCTTTCTGTTGAATCTATGTTCATAGTCATTCCTTTTCAGCCTTAACAATTCCTGCAGCCTACCTTGCTTCCCTCCTTCTAGCTGGGCAAGCCTGTCGTTCGAGTTTGCGACACTCCCTCTTCGCTTCTTGTATCAACACTTCGTTTTCCTGTCCCGGTAGACCTGAAGAATGGGTCAACTCACAGCTCTAGCTGGCGTTACAGCACTTTTGCTGTCTACCTCAGTCATAGCCGCAAACTACACACTGGCCGACTCTTACGATTCCACCAACTTCTTTGACGAGTTCAGTTTCTTCGCCGATTCCGACCCAACGCACGGATTCGTCCGGTACCTCGATGCAGAAGCAGCCGAAGCGGCCTCCCTTGCGAGCTGCAAGGACGATGTCGTATTCCTCGCCGTTGACAACACGACTCTTCACCCGCCAGGCGGCCGGCCGTCTGTCCGAGTCACGTCCAACAAAGCGTACAACACAGGACTGTTCATTGCTGACATTTCCCATATGCCGGGGAACGCGTGCGGCGTTTGGCCGGCCTTCTGGACATTCGGCCCCGACTGGCCCAACGGTGGCGAGATGGACATCATCGAGGGTGTCAGCATGCAGAGCAGCACCGCCGTCACGCTGCACACTTCCGCGGGATGCACCATCACCAACAATGGCTCTGCCTCTGGAACGACCCTTTCGAGCGGGGACTGCAACAGCAACTCGGGCTTTGACGGTTGCTCTCAGCAGACATCGGACACTGCTTCATTCGGCGACGGCTTTAACGCCGTCGAGGGTGGCGTCTACGCGATGGAATGGACCACGGGTGCCATTTCGGTGTGGTTCTTCCCGCGCGGCAGCATTCCGGCAGACATCATCGGCGGTATTCCCGACCCGACCTCTTGGACCACGCCCCACGCCAGGTTCGTCGCTTCTGGCTGTGACTTTACCAGCCACTTCAAGGATCAAAACATTGTCTTTGACACCACCATGTGTGGAGACTGGGCGTATGTCATTTGCACCTCTAATCATGGCAAAACATTCACAGAGCTAACAATGCGGTATCAGTGGCAACGCGTGGTCGTCAGACACCAAGTGCAGCGCCTTGGCCTCCACCTGTGAGGAATACGTCGCCGCGAACCCAGCGGCTTTTAGTGAAGCATATTGGCTGGTTAATTCGGTCAAGGTGTATCAACAGGGTGCTTCTGCGAAGGGCAACCTTCGTCAGGCGAGGAAGTTCCGGGAGTGAAAGAAAGGAAGTGGGCGTTGGGTCGCGCATAAGATTATGGTTTTGTACACAGCTTATCCATCACTTTCTCCAGGTTGTAGTTATATATCATCTCTCGGTGACTCAGGAGTACCCAAATCTTCACTCGCTTCGATGCCTTGAGACCCAGACTATAATGCTCTCTTCCTCATCCCTTCCCATGTCGAGACGTTTTTGGGGTGAATATCGAACAGGTTAGGGAGACACTCGATGATCAAGTCGCGCAAGCCTGATGTGGTGTTGCTGAGATTGGTTGACCGTCATTCCATTTTCTTCAATATCTCCCATCCCTCAAATGTCTCGTACCAAAACCTTCTACGAAGCACACGAGGACATTCGATGAACCTACCGACAAAACCAGCACCACCTTGTAAGAAATGCCACGTCTCAGACTCAGCGGCCTTCTTCAACAGAAAGGTCCGTATAGTCGGTTTGTCACCTGTCACGACCAACGCACTCTCACTTTTACCTTACTGCGTAGCAGTTAACACCACTTCGAGGAAATGCGAGACCACCAGCAGCCTGGTGGCGATGAAGACGAACATTTCGTGCCGGCCTTGCGGTCCGGCATGAAATTGTAGAAGGAGACGACGAGTAACAACAGCAACCTGTTCATTCCGGCACAGCTTGTTCTGCTTCGTTCTGGGGCCCTCCAAGTTGACCGACGCGGATGTACCGGCATGCACGATAAATTCGGACTTGAGTCAGAAAGAGTTGCGTGAACGTCATGTCCTCGGGCATGGTGAAGGTGTCAGGCATTTCTTCGGATATTATATATTACATGAACTAGAAGCCAAAAAGGTTAAATTCGAACGACAATAGGGCGCAGCGAACGACAATAGGGCGCAACTAACGACAACAGGGCGCAACTATCTCAAATAATTACAGCACCTCTTGTAAATATTCTAACCGTTTCTGTGGGGCCTCTGGCTGTTGGGCGTCATGGGGGTGGAGTGAGGCAGGCAAAAGGACAATCTGATGATTCTGACCTCACAAAATATGTCACAACCCCGCACTTGATTACTCTCGTCCTCAAACTTCGCGACACCTATTTAAACTTATGTTCTTCACCCTTCAAACCCTCTTAGACATCATCGCTTCAACATAGTACTATAGCGCAACATGGCTCCCACCAAAGTCTCGTACGCCGAAGCTGACGGCGTCAAAGTCTTCTACCGTTATGCTGGTCCTATCACTCCTGCAGCTAAGACCATTCTGCTCCTCCATGGTTTTCCGTCGTCGAGCCACATGTTCCGCAACTTGATCCCGCTGCTTGCCTCGTCCGGGTATACCGTCATAGCACCCGACCTCCCGGGCTTCGGCTTCACGGATGTCCCTGCTGGGCGAAGCTACACTTACACTTTCGCGGCTCTAGCGACCACCATCGAATCCTTTGTCGATGCTCTGAAACTCAAGAGGTTCGCCATCTACATCTTCGACTACGGCGCGCCAGTCGGGCTGAGGCTTGCGACGAAAAATCCGGAAAGGGTGGCCGCGATTGTGTCCCAAAATGGGAATGCATATGTCGAAGGACTCGGTGCAGACTTCTGGGCGCCGATAAAGAAATACTGGGCGACAGGGTCCGATACCGATCGCAATGCACTCCGCCCTGCCCTCGAGCTAGGCGTGACCAGGTGGCAGTACGAAGACGGCAGCCCCCACCCACAGAAAATCCAGCCGGAGGCGTATCACCTTGACCAAGCCTTGCTTGACCGTCCCGGGAACAAAGACATCCAGCTCGACATTTTCTACGACTACCGCACAAATCTGGATCTCTATCCCGCCTTCCAGGAGTATTTCCGCACTTCCGGGGTCCCCATTCTTTCTGTGTGGGGCAAGAACGACACCATCTTCATTGCGCCGGGTGCGGAGGCATTCGCACGGGATGCGAAGAAGTCTGAGTTGCGGTTTCTGGACGCTGGGCATTTCGCTCTGGAGACCAACGAGGAGGAGATGGCTGGGTTCATGCATGAATTCTTTCAGAAGCACAAGGTTTTCCAAGCTTAGAGGTTCTGGGAAGACCAGCAAAGCAAGGATTGTGGGATTTCGACGTCCATACCTTGTTGTCGGCGAAGACGGTCGGCGAACGCAGCCCTAATTTACAATCATGATGTCGATGCTGTGTTCCTTTCAGGGCTGTTTGGCCGAAAGGGTGATAATTATTGGTCACGGATCTGTACACTTCACCGAGCAACTGTGACATATTCAGGCTTCTGTCGACCCTGGCCTGAAGAATGGGCCTGAAGTGTTTAATTAGGATGTAATTAACTAGTACACGAGAAGGTTGTTTTTCGCACATTTTTAGCACATGCAGAAGGCGTACCAGTGCGAGAAAATAATACCAATATTCACAAACAGGATCTCGGAGCAAATAAGACAACCACGTCCGTCTGTAGAAATCATGGGGCGGACTCCACTTGTGGTCGGCCCCGCGACGGGGCGGCCGTCGAACTAGGTAATCAGCTGCTGCTCTACGCGCCCGGGTTAACGCCCTGGAGCGTCTCCGCGCCACAATCGCCTCTACGTATAAAGAGATGCATGGGTTTCAGGCGGGGCGAACGTGAGGAGAGTGGTCACACCGTTGTCCTATTTCCCCGAGTCCATGTTGTTAACTCGATTTTCCTAGTGGGCCAATGCGGGGGAAGACAATGGTGATGTCCACTTCGGGCGGATTTTTTCTTTTTTTCCTTTGTTGATTGGGCTATACCGCCAAGGTCCCGGGTCTCGTTACATACAGCCGTAATGCATGGAAGTTCCAGACGGCATGTGGGTATCGGAGCACCCACAGTAGTTAATTAGTAATTACTTGCTCCCATAGAAAACCAGGACCTACCTACTTAACCTAGAGGTGAGTAGCAAATGTATGCCAACCACGCCGTCCTCTTACTAGATCACCGGACTTCCCTTCCTTCCAGACTGGGTCATAGCTTCAGGACTCAGGAACTCAAATCTACGTCAAACGACAGCTCCCGGTCAGACACTCCCTCCCCAGGGAGTAAAGCAGTAACCATGGCCGCTGAAAAGCCAGAGACGGACAATCACGACACCATCGAGGCGCTCAATGACTCGGCCCTTCGCCATGCTGCCGAGCGTGGACAAGCCGCGACTGACAAGTAATTATGGACCATCAGTCGGGACCAAGGTCTCTCTCCATTGACAAAGATGCTTACTCCCAACCTGCAGATATGGTCAGAGTCTTGTTCAGTACGACCCTGTCGCTGAGAGGAAGCTACGTCTGAAGATCGATCTATACATCATCCCGACCGTGGCCCTGCTCTACCTTTTCTGCTTCATCGATCGGGCCAACATTGGTGAGTCTCCCTGCCCACCCCCCGGGGCACTTTCTCCTTTGCGTCATGAAAGTTGCAATAGTGACTGACATTGCCATGTTCCAAGGTAATGCCAAAATCGCCGGGCTCGAAGCCGATTTGGGCATGTCAGGACTCGACTACAACACCCTCGTCTCGATTTTCTACGTTTCCTATATCATCTTTGAGATCCCCTCCAACCTGGCCTGCAAGTGGATAGGTCCCGGCTGGTTCCTCCCTCTCGTTACCCTCCTCTTCGGCGTCACCTCCCTCGGCACCGCCTTCGTCACCACCATGCCCCAGGCTGCTGCAGTTCGCTTCCTCTTGGGCTTGTTTGAAGCAGGAATGATGCCAGGAATTGCGTGTGTTGCCGCCCTCCACCACCTGCAAGCATAGCTTGCAGTGATTACCAAACGGTTATAGTGCTAATTATCTTTCTCGTCCTCTAGGTATTACTTGTCTCGTTGGTATCGCCGCGCCGAACTGGCGTTCCGCCTGTCCCTGTACATCGTCATGGCCCCTCTGGCGGGAGCTTTCGGCGGTCTGCTAGCGTCGGCGATCCTGACGCTTGACCACTTCGGCAGCCTGCACACATGGCGGATGATATTCGCCATCGAGGGGATCATCACCATCTGCCTGGCCTTAATCGCCTTCGTCACGCTGACAGACCGCCCTGCCACGGCCCGCTGGCTCACCCAAGAAGAGAAGGATCTCGCCATTGCCCGTGTCAAGTCAGAGCGCATCGGCGCCACCGAAGTGCTGGACAAAATGGACAGGAAGAAGTTGGTCAACGGAATCCTCTCCCCCGTCACGCTCAGCACGTCCTTTGTCTTCCTCCTCAACAACGTCACCGTGCAGGGCCTGGCCTTCTTCGCCCCGACCATCGTGCGGACCATCTACAGTGACAAGACGACGATCCAGCAGCAGCTCTACACGGTGCCGCCCTACGTTGTCGGGGGCTTCTTTACTGTCCTCCTCCCGCTCCTCAGCTGGCGGCTAGACAGACGGCAGATCTTTGTCGTGCTGACGGCGCCGCTGTGCATGGTCGGCTACTGCATGTTCCTAGGCTCAAAAGATGCCTCTGTCCGGTACGGGGCCACGTTCCTGATCGCCTCGGCCGTGTTCGCCGGCGGACCGCTCTGCAACGCCCAGGTGTCGGCCAACGTGGTCAGCGACACGGCCCGCAGCTCGGCCATCGGATTCAACGTCATGCTGGGCAACGTCGGCGGTCTCATTGCCGCTTGGGCGTTCCTGCCGTGGGACGCGCCTGACTACCACATCGGCAACGGCCTCAACCTGGCGACCTCGGGGACGGTGCTTATCCTTAGCACGTTGACCTTGCTCTGGATGAAGTGGGACAACAGGAAGAGGGATGGTAGGGATGTCGATGCGGAGTTGAGCGGATACACGGCGGAGCAGATTCGGGATCTGGATTGGAAGCATCCTGCGTTCCGCTGGCGGCCTTAAAGAGAGCGGCGGGTTCTCCGATTGACAGGACAGTGTATCTACCTACGTATGCAGAGAGATACCTTTCCTTCACATCCGTAACGTCGACCAATTGATGTTCTAAATAGCCATGCTGCTCGAAATCGTTATTGTAGTTCCCACGTCGCACAATCTCGCAATCTCTTCTCAGCAAACATCCTGATCAATGAAAGAATCATCACATGGGAGAGCAATGGAGAACCTGTTGGGCTAGAGAGATACTAATTACGGGAATGTGTCATTGTGGCAACTGCCTAGGCTCTAGCGGCATACAGCGAGCTAAAACAGATACAACGGTGTAAGTAGTGTAAGTGGTTGTGCGAGGTGTTCAAGCTCCAGCTTCCTCGGCACTTCAGGAAGAAATGAGCCACCACCTGTGTACCCCGTACCAACGGAAGAACGGAAAGAAAACCGAGGTGGTGCAGGACCTAACTGCTCAGGATGGATAAAAAGGAGGAAAGCCAAGAATTCGACTCGGGACAATGCAAAAATATTCCACGCCTAGTCCCTGCCTAGTCCCTGTGCTATCTCTGCCAAGCACAATCCGGTAGATGGCGCCAAGCGCTGCGTCTAGCCCTTGATTAGAAATGCCAATGCCAACATATGCCGTGATGAAATGCCGTGCCCGTTGTACTGCATAGTATCTGCGACATGGAATTAGCTGCTTGTGAATTACCAGGCTCAGCTCCAACGCTAGCCTGCGAACCCACCTACACAACCCCAGTCGTCTGCCCCGGAATCCGCAACCAGGTAATTAGGCATGGTCCCGCTAGTTCCCGAGTCTCCCTCATGGGCCTCCTCCGCACGCTGCATACCCCGCGCACCACAGTATCCCGCGCATCTCCACTATGCTTGCCGACCGTCGGCTACCTAGTCCCAACGGTGGCGACTCTATTCTTGTCGTCTAAAGACAGTCCGATGCTACTGATGCGATTGGCAAGCCAGCGGGGCTAGTGGGAGGGGCTGTGCTTGGGGAGATGCTTGGGGAGAGTGTTCTGGTCGAGTCTGATGAAGGGGCGGAGCTCGACGGACGACTCCGGGTACGTGTTGCAGGTGAGTTTGAGTCCCTCTCGGAGGTGGAGGCGTAGGTCAGGGGGTCGGCAATCTGGACGACGAGCATTGGGGGGGAAAGGGGGGGGAGGGAGACAGGGGCCCATCGGGTGTGACCGACGCCGTTATAGCGCTCGTGCCAGTCGACGACGGTTGGGTGGGTCGTGTTCTTGTATGTCTCGTCTCGTCTTTGGTTAGTCCGCCGAAATTGGTGACTCCGCTCGAGAGAGAGGCGGTGTCGATGAGCTTGAGCCTGTCAAGAGCCAGGTCGATGAAGTATCCTTGATCTTGATCTCATCGGGGAAGATGCCAGCCTTCGACTTTAGAACATAAAACGAGACGACATCGCCGACGGGGCGGCGGCCCCGTCGGGGCGCTCGAAAGATTCCAAGATAAGGTCAACCGGGCGGAGGGGGCCAGGGGCCATCGCCACAGCGCCGACGAACTCACCGGACGCCAGGGGAGCGTCATCTCCAGCTTTAGCCAGATGTTCGGCCGTGGGCCAGGCCGTCAAACCGCCCTCGTTGTGGCCAGTGACCAGTTCTAGACTCGGCCGGAGGCTCCGTGAGTGAACATCACAGCGTTCAGGGGCTGTCAGCGTCTGAGTGGTTGGCCGGGAGCACGGCAAAGTGCGCTCTTGGGCAGCGGGCTGCCGTCCATGTCCGCCGGGAGGTGCAGAAAGCGAGGAAATAGCAGTCCCTCAGGAATGTTCCAGTCCTAGGTTAGCTGCCTCATCAAAAATTGTATTCACCTTTCCATTGCTTCCCAGTACTAGACCGTGACGCTTCGCATCGATACTGTTCGGTAAGTGAGACCAGCAATTTATCTCTTGCAGGCACGAGGAAGAAGATGTTCAACTTCCTGTGGGTATCACTTGCTCGGGTGACAGTTCCGCCAGGGCAGGACACTCTGCCTGCACAAATGTCCCCTTATAAATAATGCTGCTAGTTCCTACCTGGCGACAAGCAACATCTGCAAATTGCAAAGACAACACAGCACTTGAGAGCTGTATAGGGTTGGAAGAAGTGTGGATGTATACATTCTAGTAATGACTAAAAGCTGTAACTAGGTAAGAAGAGAACACCCCTCAAATAAAGAATACCTCAGATGCAAACAAATGACTCTGGCGTAACCCTAGCCCTAAGTAGACCTCTTTCAACCTACGGACCTCTGCCATATCTAGACTCCTAACAGACCCATATAACCTCGAGTTCTTAGATTTTCGGGCAATTTGTGCGCCCATGAACATTCTTAGCAGCCGCCATCCACGCCTTTTCCACTGTCGTTCGTGCAGCTCAGGGGAACATCAAAGGACCACTCGAGCCGGCTGCCTTGACCGCCGCAGGAGATCTGCGAGGCGGTGCAGGCCTTGAAGTTGTTCAGATGGCCCCGGAAGGCCCCGGAAGGTGGCGCAGGTAATTACGGGGTATGTGCTTGAAACCGTCGGCCTCAATGGAGTACTTTACTTTGGCACCCTGCCCCTCTTTGACGCATTGCGTGGCCGAGGCGGTGGCTGTGGGAGCGACCAAGGCGGCGGGGGGGTGGTATAGAAGGCGATGAACTTCATCTTGGGATTGGTTGAGTGTTTTTGGCCATAATTAAGGCGTAAAATTATAGTGTAAGCGATAGGTTTGGAGCCTGGGGAGTTGATGTGAGGGAGATGAGGGATGTTGAAGACGAAGATTTAACAGACAAAGAGGTCTGGCAATGCGGGCTATATATTCGAAGAGTAATACTACGTATGATATCTCTGCGAATCGAGTTTATCATAAGCATGTTGTGAGCTGAGCTGGAAGGAACCCTGACGATAATATTTCGCTGGGGCTGATCCATAACTTACTGAGCCGTCAGATGTCGAGCTCCTTTCCACTTTGGAAAAGTAAGACGACAAACACAGCCAGGGCCAAAGTCGCTGCTAAGTAGCATCCTGTGGGAAATAAAATAACTCCCAGGGGCGGAAATGTGCAGAAGATCAGCGTCATGAGTTCTGTTAAGGATCAAGTGAAGTTGCTTCAGAGCACACATGATTGGGAGATAGGCGTCTGAGGATCAACGCAGGAATGGCCTTTACAATCAAACATAGAAGACAAAGTCTCTGCTAGTATGCAGTCTGAATAAGCAGTAAGTACAGAAAGAAATTAGTGCGAGCGTCTCTAAAACAAGCCTCAAACGCCGTTGAAAAAGGAAGAAAAGAAACCCATCTAATCAAGTCTGCGTCTATTTGACTTCTTCCTCCCAGTCATATGCAACTGCACGTTGCAGAAGATGCATACTCTCAGGATCCTCCTGCCAGAGTCTCTGCACAGCTTGTAGCGTCTCCTCGTTGAGCGCTGACAGATCAGCCTTTTCGGTACGCAGAACCGTTTTCGCCACGTCGTCAAATTCGTGTGCTAAAGCAAATTCAAACAGCTGTCCCAGCCTCTGGGGATTATCTGAAACAGTGCTCCTTGAGAACGCCCATACCAGCTCTTTTGCTTCAGGTAGTGAAAGAAGATACTTCACATTCGCTGTTATCATATTCACAAAAGGATCATCCATCGCATAATGCAAGGGTGTTAGTCTGTCTGCTGTGCCGTCAGGCATACAGACGAGTGGCTGGTTTGCAGACCGTAGAAGTGCCATGGTTTCCACACCTGGCCGACTAGCCGCTGCCAAGGTGAAGGGTGTTCGGCCCTTCTTGTTCCACCTCAGAAGTGTAACGCGATTTGTCTCTAGAAGCCACCTGACAACGTGGCTTTCTCCGCGACGGGCGGCGATATCTAGTACTGTCTCGCCGTCATTCGTTTCGTCGTCAAGATTACTGGTGTACTTGACCAATAAGTCAAACACTTCCTTGCCAGTGCTGCGGGCCCACGATGCCATCCTGTGAACTGGTAGTTCGCCACGAGAGTTCTTGACATTTGCAGCCACGCCTTTGTCGGCTTCTATCAAGCGTCGAGCAATATAACGCATCTGGTCCTCAAATGCAATCAAAGAATTCCAGATAAGATGAAGTGGCGTATTTCCATTGCAGTCTGTAATTCTTGAACCATATGGCAAGAGGACATCCAGCAAAAAGGCCGCAATTGGAAGGGCCCCCTGACCCAGAGCACAATGTAGGAGGGGTTGTCGTTCTCGGCCACTGAGCTCTTCTGGGCTAGCAACCTCCATGTCGAGCAACAAAGAATGCCATTTCTCTTTTGCGCCATTTTGATCTTGGAGGCGGAAGCGGTGTATGAAGGTTGTTCCATCTGACTCATACAGATCAGGAAAGAGTCTCCCAAACAACCTGTGGAGCGGAGTTGTGTTCAGTGCTTCCACTCGTACGTTTGAGAAACCCCAATAGCATGCGTTGCGTAATATGATTGGCAGAACCTTGTCAAAACCTGAGACCTGCACGCATTGAAGGAACTCATCCGGTAGGTCGTGTGAAGGTGTTCCGACAACATCGACGATGGCCCTTGCAAAGATATCGTTCATATCTTCGTGTCCACTAATGAAAGCATCCCGGGCCGTTTTGTCCGCAGAATGCCAAAGGAAATGGAAAATTTCATGGTCTTGGGTCTTGATTGCCTCGTTCAATGCGGATAAGGAGCGTTGAGTGGAATGTTCAGATACTGAAAGTTTGAATGCGCGGGCTCCATGCTCGACAAGAAACGCGCAAATATGGGCATGTCCATGCCTGGCTGCAATGACCAAGGGCGTCAGATAACCCATTCGCTTCGAAGTGTTCAAGTCAACACCTGCGCGATGGAATGTCTTGACTTCTTCAAGATTGCCTCGCTCACACGCTGTGAATATGTCTCGGCTTTCCATATCTTTCTTGCGCTGAACTGCTGGAAAGAGTATCTCGGGGTTCCTATCAGCATGGAAGCGTTTGACGTGGGCGTCGAGAGACGATTGAGATGAAAATCCACATGCGCCAGCATAGCATCCATCACTCAGACACTTGAAGGGCCGTTCGTGATCGTCGACATGGGCATCGCGAGCCTTTCTGTCCAGAAAGCCCAGCGTGAACTTCGTACACTCGATCTTTGGGCATTTGAATCGCGGTTCACCGAGCAGCCCCATAACAGCTGCTTTCGCGGTATCACCTAGACTGGAAAGACTGATTGCTTCAAGGACTTTCCGGATGGCCAATGTTCGTTGCTCAAAGACCTTGAGGCATCGGCTCTCGTGATCTGATCGTGGTTCAAGAAGTGCCTGAACATCATCTTCTATCAGGGCGGGCGAGTGGGATGTCAAGTCTGGAGCACGTGGCTCGACTGTGCGGGATATTCCGTACTTTATGAGTAGGCTGACTATCGACCTCAAGACGTCCAGCCGGTGGTCTGTAAGAATGCCCGAGTTGTTTACGATGATAGCACGCACGTGGAAGCGCCAGAATGCCGTGGCATAGTCTTGAAGGCCATAATATCCGGAAAGAGCGAGGTCATGGACAGCACCTGGTTCGAGGTTGGCGGTAAATGGGGACGAAGCTAGGTATCGACAGCAGAAGACTGCCATGTTCATATGCTCCTCGGCAAGCCGGAGTCGACCATGATGAACGAGATATCTGCAAATAAGGTTAGAAATGCCCTCACGAAGCCAAAAGATAGTAGAAGGAGTTTGTTTGTTCAACGTACTTGCCAGCAGTGTCATGGACAAGCTTGATGACCTGTTCGGATGCCGAGTGCACGAAGAGTTCACATTGCTCTACTTCGATAAGCGAGCCGCAGATGACTTTGCAGCTGCTCACACGCCGGTTCTTGAAGTTGCAGCTTTCCTTTTCGGCATCGATGCAAAATTTAGACTGAATCTCTCGCCATCTTAGTGGTCTTGCAGCGCAAACTAGCCAGCCTAGGATCTTTGCGGCAGATCGTTGCCTAGGTTCCGGCGCCCGGTCAAAGACTCGGGCCACCACGCGGTTATAGCTATAAAGCGAGTTAGATACTGAGTAGGCTGGGAGGAGGTAGGGCCGGGGACCGAGAAAATAAGCAATAGAGATGAAAGAGAACCCTTACGCTGCATCAAGCCCCATGGGGAAGTTCTTGTTTTCCATTTCCTCCTCGAATTCGGCGGGAGACTCTTGGCTGAGGAGGTTGTCAAGCACGACCGTGGCGTACAGAAACATGCCTATAATTAGAAATTGTTAACTGGTGGCCATAATTAGATGGACGTCTTTGGCCGTTCGAACACATCCAGCAAACTTACCTTTTGACGCATCTGTGACCCTTTCAACTATCTCTGTTTCTTCAGAGGAAGACAACGAGAACTTTCCACGTATATCCGCTGCCCTAGACACAGAATAGCTCCGGATATCCGCTAGATGATCCTTAGTTCCGTCCAATCTGATATTGGGATGCGGAGACAGGAAGTCCTCGAGCTGCCCGTCTCTCTGACCGGCTATCAATAGCCGGACCCGCCCGGGAAGTGCTTCTGGCATGACCGAGTTGTGAAACCACTCGATAATTCGTCGAGCCTCCTTGTTGTCCGCCTTCGGTTCATCGGCACATTCATCGAGGCCGTCAAGCACAATACGGACACTGTCTTGACTCAGAAGACAATCCTTCACTAGCTCCTGTAACAAATCCAGCTTTGTGACATCAGAGCCACTCAATGTAGCGAGCTTCTGATGGAGATACTCTAAGGAAGCGTCATCCTGGTCAAGAAGCTGCACCAGCAAGGCGCGAAGAGCTGAGCTCATTGACCTCTTGGTATCTTGGTTGTGCTTGAAGTAAAAGAAGACGACGGTAGTCTCTGTCTCAGTACGTTGGTCCTTGAGGTGCTCGATGATTCGCGAAAGTAGCGTTGTCTTCCCTAGAAGCAGCCACCGCGTCAATGGCACATATCAATTACACAATAGCAATAGGTGGTGTGACTAACCTGATCCGGGAATACCGTGCAAGAAGAGAGTGTTGCTCGGTGGTATGCCACCTTGATTCCACCTGATGAAGCTTGGCTCCTCGAGCACCCAGGCTCCAGACGAGGCGGAATGCCGTCTCCCGGATGCCCACCGTTGGTCCGCTTCATAGTCTGGTGGGTTAAGTTTGTCCACGATGCTAGATATTTGGTTGATAAGCGAGTCCCGCAATTCGGCGGCGTTCTTGTTAATCGTAGCTCTCAGATCGTCGAGGCCATTCCTGACCATTTTGGAGAGTTCACCGTGCCTGGTTCCGGTGTAATCACGGGACGCTTGAATCTCTTCGATGACAGCCGTCAGCTTTTCGTCTGACAAGAGCGCCCGGTGGCGCTTTAAGCTGTCGATGATGGGTCGAAACCGTGTTTCGAAGGACGGCCAGACGTAGCTGAAAAGCCTCTTCAAGTCTTCGCCCCGTTAGTAATTCCATCCCTCGCTGACTTTCACTGAACTCCAGGCTAGGTGGAATGAAGCCCTTACCCGGTTTCGCAAAGACGTCAAGCACACATTTGTGGAACCGAAGCACATCATCGAAATACCTTTCCAGGATCTCCCTCACGGCAGCATGGTTCCTGAACAGCCGATCGTACTGTCCCAGACCGTGTATGACATCGCCAATCTCCACGTAGGTCTCCAGCAGGTGTTCAAGCATATCAATTCTCGCCTTAGCAGCCTAGGAGCGGGTTCTTTCGTCAGAATTACTGTCATTCAGTAGCAATGTACACTCTTACCATCAAGGCAAGCTTGATCGGTCCCTAATTCATACAATTCTGTCAGTACCGTGACTAAATGTGTTTGAATCTATAGAAGACACTTGCCCATACGAATGCCACGACGTCGTTCACATTGAGAAATATCGTGACCAACTCCTCCACCTGTGCCATCCCTTCGAGGAAGATCTTGACTCTGTCGAAGTTCCGCAGCTTCTTTCTGGAGCCAAGTTGCGCCTGAATCTCTTTGATGGCACGCTCGACCTCGCCGTGGTTGCTGCTAGAGAATTGTTGTTTTTGTACCTCGGTCAGGTCATCTCGAAACTTGGTAAGGGCTTTGCTGAAGCGATCCGAAGGACTGGCAGCCATGATGCTCTGCTCTGGCCCCAATCGGCGGTTGAATGAGATGTCGCCCGCGGGAAGAAGCAAGACAATTGTCGACAGAAATGCGCAAATGGCAAAAGAAAAATTGAACGCTAAGCAAATATGTAGTATTGTGAGATGAGAGAACGATCGAACGATAAAAAGGAATTGGGGAAAAATTGGGGAGCAAAAGAGGCGGTGTATGTGTGGTTACGCGGCCTGACCTTCCCTTCAAGCAGGCGGCTGCAGCCTCACCTCTGAGCACTCGAGTCTATGCCTACCGTTGCATATCCTTGCCCAACTATATCAAGTAACAGTGCAGATTACACGTTACGCCTCACCCCCCACGTAGTTGTTCCGACTGGTGCTATTCCCTCCTGCATATGCACTAATTAATTTTCGCACTGCCCCGACGCAGGATATACCTTCGCAACACCATTGATTGGATGAAGCCGTCCCACTCTTCTGTGAAGCAGCCCGAGCGGACGGAGTAAGGCATCCTGGTAGGCGTTTAGCCAAAGGACCATTCTCGAGGAAGATGCCAAACATCCAAGAATACACACCATGAGCGTAACCATCCCCCTCGCCAAACACACTTGATCCTCGAGATGTGATTCCTCTCGATAGCCGTCCATTATGCACGTTGCGTCAAAGCGCCCGCGAGATGCGCGTGGTGATTCAGGAGACGAAGACTTTGCAAGCCATGCGATGATCGCGCACCACGCCCCTGCCGATGAGTGCCTGGACATTCCGCAGTCAGGCACCACTTCCTCAGACTACGACGTGAATGGCGCGAAGGACTACATGATCCCCGATAACACGTCTGGGACACTGAGTGATGAAAACATATGTTATGGAGCTGTGAGTATTGTCTCGCAACGTCTTTCACCGCAGAGCCTTGTGCATATGCGCCTATTTGGTACACATTGCCATCCAACAATACCCCACACCCTCCCGAAAACCTCTCATTCTCTCTCGGCCCACACCCTCCACACCGACATTGTGTAGCTAATGTAATGCGATTGGAACAGCTGTGCGATGCTAAGGCCCAGGTTAGCTCAGAAGCAAAGCTGAACATCCGGGCACTGCCATGGACACTCTTCTACACTTTCAAGATCATTCTGCGCGGAGAGATCTACTGGTTGGCGGAGTTGGATGATATCTCCACGGATGGTTTTGCTGTGGTTGACCTCAACACTATGGCTTATCTGCAGTCGCTTCGGCAGTTTCCGCAACTGTCTTTCACCGCTATTGTTTCTTCATCGGTGCTCAGCAGTCTTTCCCGCATGAGTGCCCGCCAGAAACTGGTGCTAGACATGACAGTCAACATTATCGGTCCGCCGGAACTCGCAGACGAGGTGGGCGAGGCTGTTGCAAAAGCTTCCGGATATCTCCAACACCCCGTCTTCTTGGACCCTGGTACCCCTTACGTGAACCCTCATTACTTTTACTCAAAGGATGAGGATCTGGATCTTCGGCACTTCATCGGCCAACAACAGGAAACACTGGGCATCACGCACATCGTCGAAGGCATTGAGGATGCCTTGGCATCACTTGATGCCGCCTTCACACCCCAGGGTTCTCGAATGGACGAGGAAGCTCCCACCCTGATTCAACAGCACCTGAAGAGCACCACACTCAAAAGGTCTGTGTTTTCTAATCTGCCATCACAAGCCTCGCTAAATTGACGTCCAATTACTAACGCGAACGCTGTTACCAGTCACCAAATAGTTGGCCTCGAGTACATCCGGAACCGAGAAGACCCTGACTTGTGCCACCCTCGGAACTCCGACCTCCTGTGCCTTATAAGCCCGCGGTTTGTGAAACTAATAAAGACTCTTCATTCAGAATGGAGCTAAATTTTACGTGGCAGTTATCTATCCAATCCTCGAATACTTCAGTGTGGTGGAATCATTGCAGACGTCATGGGTCTCGGGAAGACCCTGACCATGTTGAGTGCGATAGTGTGCTCGAAGCAGGAGACGACACCAGTTGAGAGCTTGGACGGTATGAAATGCGAAAGTCTCCGGTTGACGAAAGCAACATTGGTTGTCCTGCCCTCAACGCGTAAGAATTTGCATCGTACGAGGTAGGGACTGCTAAGCGCTAAGCTAATGTCTCCAAGAGGTCCTGGACGTCTGGAAAGCTGAGATTGAACGGTGAGTTTTCCCTCTCATTGCCAAAAAAAAAAAAAAAAAAAAAAAAGATCATGTTGTTTACCTGACACGCCTTAGCCGGTTCCTAGCTGGTGCTTTGGACGTTTATGACTTCCACGGCCGCAGCCGCGCCTCTACAAGAGACGCCCTGCTACGACATGACATCGTTCTAACCACGTACCACACTCTTGCTGCTGACTGGAAAGGTCGTCGGATCTTACAAGATATTGGATGGCTCAGGGTTGTGCTGGATGAGGGTGCGTCAACGGAATTCACGCATGCTTTCAACTAGAAAACGGGTGCTGACAGGACACAGCACACTGGATTCGAAACCAATCCACCCAGTTTTTCAAGGCCGCTGCTGGACTCCAGACTAATAGGAGGTGGTGCTTGACCGGAACGCCGATTCAGAACAGTCTAGAGGACTTACGATCGCTCCTCAAGTTCCTCCACTTCGACCCATTCTCGGAGGCAAAGTTCTTTGACGAGCACATCGTGGCACCACTTCGGTCCCAGGCGGACGATTCTTTCCGTAACCTCAAAGCGCTTCTTCGAACCTTCTGCCTGCGCAGAGGAACCGACTACCTTCAATTACCGCCATGGAGAACGGATCCTGTCTCCGTTGCCCTAAGCTCAGAGGAGACACAGGCATACCAACTGATCCTCGACAACTGCGTGGCCGAGTTCGACAGAATAACCAGCGGGAAGTCAGACAGCAAGAAAAAGTACTCGGTTCTGTTCACCACCATCATGAAGCTGCGCAGGCTTTGCAACCACGGCACCATAGCACTTCCTGCAGATGCATGTCGCTCCCTCACTCCCTCTGGCAAGAGACGCAAACTGAAGAAGGCGCCGTCCACGGGTATCGAAGACTCCTTCTGCGAGTTCTGCAGCAGCGTTGAGGAAGATGCATCCGCCTCCCTGACTGGTCTCGATACCTGCCCTGAATGCTATCGGTGTTTGGTTGAGTCGACAAATCTGTCATCCGGATCTTCATCCAGGGCCTTGAGAGCTACGAATTCTCCAAGTGACACATCCATGTCACCATCTCCCTCAGTCAATACCCCTCTTAGCCCGCTATCTCCGTCTGGGCTTCATAGCGGCCATTCTTCCAAGCTCCTTGCTGTGGCAGACAACATCTGCATGTCGCTCTTAGACACTGATTCGAAGAGGTAATTAAACGCCTCCCCTCTTACCCACACGACCCCTATCTCTCTTGCAAGATGGTAAGGGTGCATCTAACTTTTAACTCCAGCATCGTCTTTACATCCTGGCAATCAACCCTCGACATACTCGCCAACATGCTACAGACAAGAGGCGTTCAGTCGCTCCAGATTGACGGTCGAGTGCCTTTCAAGGAGAGGACGGTTCTGCTCTCCAAGTTCCGCGACGATCCAGCGATGCGCGTGCTTCTCATGTCCATAAATACAGGAGGCGTTGGGTAATTACGCCGTCATCCTTCTCGCTGTGCTCAGTGTTCTCTACCTAATTACTGACAATTATTTTAGTTTAACATTAACCAACGCCGATCGAGTCCATATAGTCGAGCCGCAATGGAATCCATCGGCCGAAGAGCAGGCCATCGGAAGAGCTCTCCGAATGGGACAGACGCGGCCAGTGACCATCTTCAAGTACGTCACGGAGAAGACCCTTGAGAAGGTATGTGAAGAGACCCGAATTCATACACTGCACGGACTCCAACCCATAACCACATTACCCTAGAATATTGTCGACTTGCAGCAGAAGAAGAGCCGCCTCGCCAGATTCTCCTTGGACCCTACCGCGGATGACAAAGCAGTGGGCAACCTGGACGTACGTCACACAATATTAGCTCCTGCCAGGCTCTCTGCACCCTGAATGTTGACTAAGGATTAATTAGGATCTGAAATTTGTTCTCGACCCAACGATGTGCTGATCTTTTGGGCGACGGACTGTCTACTTTCGCGTGTAGACGGGGAGGAAGAGAGGCGCAGGCATTTCAAGGGCAGAGTTGTCAGGCAAGACTCCGCATCGCACCAATCGGAACCGGAGGACCGCTTTGCATGATTCAACTGAAGAGAAGTAATATGATCGGGCTAGCGACAAGATCACAAGTCTGATCCAGGTTTCCTTTGCTTCCGCAGATTTAGGTGGGTTAACACCGGCCCTATCTCCACGGCTACCAAGGTCACAGATAAAAACAGAAACGGGTTGGGAGTCGTTCTATTGTAAATGGAGATTCTAAAAATATAGTTTAGAGCATCTCGGTAACGTTGAGTGACAGCAAAGTCGAAGGTCCTCAATTCCACAAAACCTCACAAAACCGCCCCACAAACCCGCAAGCTACGATGACATCCCCCACCACATCCAGCCCCAGCCCCAAAAAGAAGCTCACCTGGCTCATCACCGGCTGCTCCTCCGGCTTCGGCCTCTCTCTGGCACGTATCGCCCAGGCCGTTGGCCACACCGTGATCGCGACGTCGCGCAGCCCGTCGCGCACGCCCGAGCTCGTCTCCGAGATCGAATCCGCCGTCACAGGCAGCAGATGGCTGTCCCTGGACGTCGACAGCCCGGAAAGCGCGCAGACCATCGAGGACCTCGAGGCGTCGGGCCGGCAGATTGACGTGCTCGTCAACAATGCCGGCTTCTCGTTGTTGGCCCCCGCCGAGACGTTCGCAGAGGATGAGCTGCGCGCACACATGGAGACCATGTATTTCGGGCCGCTGCGCCTGATCCGCGCGGTGCTGCCGCACATGCGCGCGCGGCGGTTCGGTGTTATTGTCAATATCAGCACTGGTGCGGCGCTGGAGGGACGGGAGAGCATGGGGGCGTATGCTGGCGCGAAGGCGGCGCTCGATGGTTGGTTTCCTCTTTTCCTCTTCTACTCACGTTACTTGTGTCTTCACTTGTCTTTATCTTTCATGCTGGCAGTTCCGTTTTTTCCTTTTCCAATGCCCCTGGCACCCTCCCCCGCACACATATATGCGCATCTTCAGCCACTAACTGTTGTCTCCGCACACACAGGCCTCTCAAAAGTCCTCGCAAAAGAGGTCGCCCCCTTCAACATCCGCGTCCTGACCATCGGCATGGGCGCCTTCAACACCAACATGCCCAACGCCGTGCGGCCCGGGGGCCACGACGCTCCTCTGCCGGCCGACTACCGCGGTTCGGCCGCCGAGCAGATCATGCAGCTCATCTCGGGTGACAAGATGGTGCCCAGCGGAGACAAGGACAAGGCCATGCGTGCGGTCTACGAGCTCGTGGTGGGAGAGGGCCGCGCCGGCGCCGGGCTTGAGGCTGAGCGCTATCTGCCTCTAGGCAGCGATATGGTTACCCGCGTAAAGGAGGTGCGCGATTACCTGCAGCACAGCCTGGATGTCTTTGATGTCGGTAACAGCGTCGGCATAGACAAGTGATTGGGGTGCCTACTGTACTTTGCTATACTGGGAGCCGAAGGCCTCGAGACGTATCTTCCTGGTACATTCTGGTAACTTGTCGAGGCTAGATTACTTCGTCAGCCCCGTCTTGATATTGGGGCCTGGATCACCGTTTGCCATCTAGGTAGTCTTGTTCTGCGGCTTCTTCTGGATCGCGTCCATATACTTGCGGTCCGCATCTGTTCCGCCCGAGGTCGGGCGAGCTCCCGGGACTCCGCTCCGCGCCTGGGCGACTTCCCTTCGCTCAAGTTTGGTTGCTAAGACGTGTACACTAGTCTAGCGAGCGAATTGGCCCGAGCCTAGAAGGGAGCTAATATTTATGCTTATGCTTGATAACCCGTTGACCAACGGGGTGCGATCCAACAGGTATATGCAGAGATTCCGCAGACATCAACGGAGGATCGTGGGGGTTCATCCCTTGTGAGTTGTGAGGGGTATTAATTAATGAACATCCGCACTCACTCATATCCTACTTGGCCAGATGCTATTAAACTGCAGGGATTGCTTTGCTACGTAGATCGTTTCTCCCACTCTAAGTTTCAGCGAAATCCCAATCTCATTACCGACATGTCAGCTCACCATAGGCTCAGCAGTCCATTGAAGTCGTGCAGCAACGACCTCAACCCTAACCGACGCAGCCGCGTAGGTGATGGATAGCAGACGTTTAGCAAGACTTTAAATGCACTTCACTTTGATGACTTTGCACACCTGTAATCACAGACGAGTCCGTTGTCTCGGGCGGACCAGGTTTCCAGTTCTGTGTTAACGAGCTGACCGTCACGTTGGATATGTTGCAGCCGAGATGGGAATATACTCGAAGCTTAGATCTGCACCCGTGTAGCATCCCTCCCGTAGTTTTACTTCCATCCACTAGCCTTGGTGCTTATTTTGCCGAAGCGGTTGTTCACGACTCGAGGGTCCTTGCTTAGAAGACTACGGTCCTCGTAGAAGTAGTGTCTCGTCCAGCCTAAAACAAAGAGGCTGAGTGTTACCAAGACTGCGACATCAGGAAACTTCCAGATTATGGGCGTTCCCCATGCCCAGTATATGGGGATCTTCGATGACCTAATACAGGTCCGGTTGCTATGTCAAGATCAAGCAAACCCCGTGGTGTTTGTGCTTGGATGATACAGACCGCCGTAGCAACCACGTTGCCAGGCAAACTCTTGATTGTATCGGACAGCCTATGGGCTTGTGCGACGGTCAGAGGTTGGGCTTTGACCCCTTCCACAGACACTCAGACTCTCAGACTCGCCTTTCGACATGACTCGTATGTATTCGGCATCTAATTCGCCTTGGGTAAACACAGCCAGGGTGTCTCTGTGCTCCAGACATCCTTGTTCATCCATGTTCACTGGTATTCCTTCCGACTCCGTATTGCGTACGCTAACATTATCCGTACAACCCCGTAACTTGTCCTGATGGAACACTAGTGCTTTCCGACTTCTCCACATAGCGAGCTAAATCCCGTTGTCCCAACCCCTTCGGGTTCTCAATCTCGTCCGAACCTCTAGCCTCCCCCACATCCCGGCCGAGGCTAAGATCTCCCATCGGACACTTGTGAATTGGCCAAGGAGGATGTAGCATATTTGGCATGCCCGACATGTGAACCTTCGCAGCCTTCATGCTGGATGGAGATGAGACGAGACTACCTATCTCATGGCAAGTGCAGCCGGAGTCGAGGAAATTAATCTCCGATGTGAGTTGCCTTCACGCCACTACTTAATTACACATAGATAAGTTGGGATATCTTGTGTTCGGTCTTGTGAAAGCACTACATCGTCCTGCCTCGATACATCATATCTCAATATGTTGTAATACTACCCGGTATCTACCTGTTAATATCTCCCTACAGGCGAGCCTCATCAATCAACATGATGGCGCCCAAACTCGACGCACTCCAGTTTCTCGACTACATCCGGGACTTCAACAACATGGACTACCCGGCCCAATACGCTTTCTACATAGACGACGTCGTTCTCAACCTCCCGGACCCGACGGTCGGTTCATTGAGGGCAAGAAGGCCGTCACCGACAACTACACCGCCACATGAATGGATCAGCTACAGCAGCAACACTACGCCTTGAAAGAGACTCTCCACACATAACGTAGCGAGAACTGACATGGCGCCATCGATCTTTGCCAGTTCGCAAATACACAGTTAACGTGAATGAGGGTAATGTCTGTCTCTACTTGTTCAAACTTTCTAGGAAGTCGAAACCCTCTCTCTGGAGCTCCCATGTCGGAGATCCCACCTTCATTTTTGCCGCGAACGTGTGTCCCTCCCCGGGAACGACTCGGAGACCACATTTAACACCTTGCTGCAATAAAGCCGAGTACAAATCCCTGCTCAGATCCAACGGAACCATCTCATCCTCTGCGCCGTGCACAATGAAGGTCGGAGGGAAGGACTCCGTTATGTTTTTGAGCGGATCGACCTTCTCCCAGTCTTTCGATGGGAAGATCACGTCCATCACCTTCCCATTGGCAATCTGCGTGAGCGCGAATGCTTGGCGGGGATCATCGAAGTTCGGAGCTCCAGTCTGCTGTCCTTCGAGTGAGACGCCGCCAATGATGGGTACCGGATCTGCATCAAAGATGCGATTGATGAATTCATCACTAAGCCCTTGGGGGAGGTTCGCGGCCACATGTGGGAGCTCCGTGGTCCAGAAGGGGTGGGCGAAGTTGCATGGACCGTACATATCGTATATGCCCGCCACTGGACGGGGGACGCCAAAGCCCTATCAATGTGTGGTTGGTCCCTCAGTTAGCCAACGATCGGCCCCCCTTTTGCTCGATCCCCGGATCCCCACTCACCAAGCTGAGGGCTAGTGTTCCGCCAGAAGATGTGCCGAATGCAAATACACGATCGAGGTCGAGAGGATATGGGGTATCGGTGAGAGAGGACAGAGCCTTCTGCAGGCCCCCATTGTAGGTCCAAGTAAGGAGGTCGCGGCAATCCTGCATCGGCCCTTCCAGAAGGTTGACCTGTGGACAGAGGCGATGATTAGGTGCCAAAACGATCCATCCTCGGCTCAAGCAGTCTTCTATTTGGTCTTTGTTGACCATTTTAGAAGACCCAAGCATGAATGCTCCTCCATGAATGGCAATGACTGGGTTGAGGCTGATTGTCAGCCCCCAAACACAAATAACAAACGAGAATCGGTGGTGTAGACGCACTGACGGGATATTGTGTATTGTTCACGGTCCTCCTCGGCTGGGGTACGTATATGTCTGTATCGATCTCTTGCTTGTTCACAACCTTGTAGACGCCTCGAAATTGACGAGGTTGTGCCATTCTAGCGGTAGGTGTGGTGTAGGCAGTCGGAGAGCCAGTTAATGTACGGGTAAGCAGTTAATTACAAGTTACAGAAGCACATGTCAGTGAGTGATCCGGGGTTAGATGGTGAGCCAGTAATAAAGGAGGAGAATTCTTTTGGTCGGTGCCGCGGGTTTTCCGGGTGAGTGTCTGCGGAAGCGTGGTGCGGGGTTCGGGGAATCCCGACTTCGGCAACTCCAGATTCCCGCCCACATCCCGTAGTTTCCCCCCTGGCCACCTTTATATGATTTCTGTGAAGACTCGTGAGGGGGTTCACCGTGATCTAGCCCTCAACAACCTCACTGGTTGCCATAGTTTTAGTTTCCCCCCTGTCATCTGATTCATTGACAAAGCTTGTTATCCTGCTGTGCCACTTTGACCATCAAAAATGGGCATTCCAGTCCTCTCGACACCGCCGGATGCGCGGATGAACTACATTATCGACCAACTCGAGGGCGAGCATGTCACGATCCCAGGAAGCAAAGGAACGTTCCGAATCTTGGCGTCGTCAAAGCAGACCAATGGAGGGATGGCCGTCTTCCAAAGCGGCGCAGTCCTCTCCGACGCACCTGGCTTCCATTGGCACGCAGAGGCGCACGACGTCTTCCTGGTGACCAAGGGCTTCCTGAAGCTCTGGAATGGAGACAAATGTAGGATCATGGGGCCGGGTGACTTTGCATATATACCTCCAGTAAGTTATCTACATTTTGCGTCGGTCCTTTTTCTAGAATACGGGGCCCTAACTGCAAGCTAGAAAGTCATCCACAACCCCGAACTTTTGGGCCCTCATACCGAAACCTTTGGCCTGATTGTTCCCGGCGACTGGATCGACTTCTTCAGATACGTGGGCGAGTCGTATCAGGGCGTCATCGTACCGGAGAATGACAACCGTGATCTCCGAGCGCTGATACTGCCTAAAGTGATGGCAGCCAAGGATCGCTTCGACGTCAATTTTGTACGAGACTACAACCCGCCAGTGGTCGGGGACTGGTTGGACACCGAAAACGTTCTGCCGGGGCCACTGGAGCCGTATTTCCTCCGCGCCAATACGGGCCCGAGATGGATGCTTGGGGGGGTCATGTCGCGGCCGTTCATCAACGCGGCTCAGTGCGGCGGGAAGTTTGCGATATCGAGCATTGAATCATCCAGTCGATACGGAGAGAATCCGTTGGCCCGGTGGCTGACCTTCCCGACGACCGATCATTGTTTCTGCGTCGCTGAGGGCTTGCTGAGAGTCAAGATAAAGGGGGAGGAGGGGGTGTGGAACGATGTGAGGGAAGGACAAACGGTAGTGGTAGCGGCTGGCCAGACTTTTGCGCTGGAGTTTGGCAGTCGATATGTGCGGGCAATATCCTTTACCAATGGGTGCGGTATTGAGGAGCTCATACAAACCGCTGGATCTTCGTTCCCCGGTGTTGTCCTGCCAGATGAGACAGACCCATGGGACGGTAAGTTGTTCGACGGCGTCTGCGCCGAGCTCGGTGTGGCGACAGAGTAGATCAATGTGCTGTACGTACATGTACTGTACATGCGCTACTCCCTAGATAGTATCGCGAAGCTTGGTAGGCTAGGCTGAATCCATCCTACCCTCATTGGGGGCGATGATATCACATCAGTGCTACTTCTGTCAAAGTATCAACCCCAACGGAGTGTAACATGCGGAGAACGAAGTGCAGCACGGGAACTGGGAAGCACCATGTGGCAAGGGTGTAGCATGCGGTGGGTGGTAGTTCAAAGCTGTGCGACTATGATATGCCGCAACTTCTCACGCAACGGAGGAATGCTAGCGAAAATCGGGTTCGTGGCGAAAAGGGTTGGAGATGGACGGTTTTACGATGGTGTTTCTTTGCCAAGTCAAAGGTTAATTACATTCTGAGCGACCCATCGACATCCGAAAATCATTTATCCACAATCCTTACCAAACTGAACAGTCGTCTAGTGCACTGGCATTCTTCATAGCAACCGGACTTGAACGTTTTCCTCCACTGTCCCATTCCGCAGTCGCGTGGCTCGGCCGAGCCGCAAGCCTAAACATTGAACCACCCCTTCACAGCACGCCATCCTTTTGAGTAGCCCGACACATCCATGTATGCCTTGTTTGTACTCATAGTGATATGTAAGAGATTGCAAGCTTCGTGGTAGAGGACAGTTGACGCAGCCTCGGAGTCAGGCGAGATAGAAATAGCCATCGTAATGTAGTCCATGAGACCCAAGAAGCCAAGCGTGATTCCAAAACCTCTGAGGCTTGTTCCGCCAGATCGCAGGTAGAAGTATGTAGCAATGAAAGCACCCAACGAGTTGGCCACGAAGGAGAACAAATACGCCGTATTGGCGCTGGAGTATCGGCCAGCTCGACTTCCAGGACTAGTGAACAGTCCAATTAGAGCAGCGACATCACCGGCAGAGCAATTCGTCGTTCCGGATGAAGCGGCCCAGAACTGTTCGGCAAAGTCGTAACGGACGAAACTAGGCTCCGCGTGAACAGTTGCAAGCCCAACGGTCTTGGTGAGGCTGGCCGTCACGGCCGACGCGATCCACTGAATGGTAGCCAAAAACGCAGCAAGCCACAGCCATGCGGAACTGGGCAGACGGGAGGCGAGTGGGGGCACTGCGAGGGAGTAGAGATAGCGCCACGGCGTGATCCAAGACAGCAGTGCAACCGGTGCTTTGTAGGCGGGGTTCCGGGCCAAAGTGATGAATCCATACCACCACATGATGTACTGAACGGTGTCGAAAACGAGAAACGCCCACGTGTCTATCGAAACCTTGGCGTCGTGTGGTGGGTATTCTTCCTCGGCCATGAATTCCTCGTCCATGACTCGGGTGAGCAGTGTCCAAAGCCCCGTAGCAAGAGTGATGGTTTGCGTCAACCAGATGAACAGCCCGTTGTACCCAAATGCCGACTGTCTCGGTGTCGAAGGGACAATCTTCGCGTCCGAAAAGCATGGACAGAAGCTTTCGCGGGCAATATTGCCATTCCAGTACAAGATATCCCCGTCTGAGCCCGACAGCGTGTTCGGGCGGTCGATCTCGCAGCTCTCCGATGTTTGATTGCAAGGGCCGTAGAAGGTGTTCTTGTACAGAGCAAACTCAAGGCTGGAGGGATCGAGGCTACTGCCATCTTTGGTGTACTCAACCATGTAAATCAGGAGGACAAGAGCAAATATAGCCGTGTTAACAACGCCGAGGGCTATGAGTTGCTTGCGCCATTTGCTGACGAAGTTCTGCGCTCGAAGGTAAAACCGATCACCTTCATATTCAGGGATCATGGTTGCGATGCTGTACGGATACAAGAGTTGTCGGAGCTTTTGCGCCATGTCGGGAGTCAGGACTGCAGCGAATAGGCTTCCTCGTCGGAGTGCTGGATGCTCTGTACTTGCTGGCAAGACTGACAAGGAAGAAGAGTCAACTTGGAATTCCGACTTTCGTGAAAGCTGCCCTACATAAGTATGTCCCTAGAGCCTCACTGCGTGGGGGAGAAAAGGGAGACGACCAAGCATGTATGCATGTCAGCCCAACCCCCGTCAAAAAGGGACTCTGCATGCAAACGGTTGCAACGTTAAGAGCAAGGCAGCCAATCCCTTTTGCCGTGGCATGCACAACGGAGTGCCTCAAAGCAGCACCGTGCCTTTACCTCACAAGCAACCAATCCAATTGGATGCATGGATGGCAAGTGGCACGATGATCACTCGATTGCATGGGTGTCTTGACTGGATAAGCACAGCCTACCCCGCACCGTGTCCGGCAGCCTTACTCTTCGATGGCAACGCGAAGGGTCTCATGTGCAAGACCCCGCCACCTGATCCAGTCCGAGTCCTTTCAATTAGCTCCAAGCTCGAGGCATCAGATGAACTTCGGATACCCGAGGAGCTCTAGCACACCGCCGGCTGAAGCGGTGGGGGGAAACAATGCTCTTCGCTCGCCATCTCATCTCGGAGTGTGAGCTCACATCTGGTTTCATTCTTGTCTGGACAACCTGAACTAACTCTTCCGCGATGAGGACCCTGCGCTGCTGTTTTATCTCATACAGGCCCAAGTGGCCTTCTGTCAGCGAGGAGCCGTTGACGACCTACGGGGCTTGAAGGATTCTGTGAGCAGATATATCAGGCGCTTGACGAAAGAGAGGTGGGGCCCGTCGCACCCTCTGTGTCTTCTGGGGGCCCGAATCGAGGCGGTACAGTCCAATCTGACTTCTACAGTCGGCAAGATCCCGGGGCAATGGCTATCCGCTCGTCTGAAATCAGGTGGAAGCCACCACGAGTCCAACATGAGCGAGCCATCGGGATACTTGTTGCGGAGAGAGGACGGTTCACATCCACCATACTGGACGACTCGGCTTGGAGACTGGAAGCCAGATAGTGGTGGCTCTTCAACATGACCGAAGTTAGGAGCTTGATGGGTCTACATGATGAGGCCATGAAGCTCGCACTATGGCTTCAGAAACACAGCCACGAGGTGTACAGCCCTGACCACAAGTACTCGGTAAATGCGCTGGAGGTTCTTTGGAAAATAAAAAAAGGGGACTGGAGTGGCGGGTCGTGCGGCGGAAGCACGAGGCGAGTGGAGTTGAGCAGTGAAAGGCCTTGTGGAAAGGGAAGGTGCCATGAAAAAGCAGGCCGTCAAAGAGAATGAGCATCTTGAAGAACCGTACGAGGACCCGTGCGTCAGCAGCGTTACGCTGGCCTGCTCGTGGCAAAACACTTTACTGTGCATTAGGAATTAGAGACGGGTGGTCTTATTCACTCGCGCAGCAGCCAGAAAAACACTTACCCGTCTGATCATCCAAGCAAGCCGACGGATGATAATCAGGATACTTCAACCTCTCTCGCAAACGCGCTCTCTGTCACGGGGGCATCAGACTGGGCAGTTCTGCGGGAGTTCTTCGGGAATTCTTCGGGAGTCGGCTCTGGGCGGTCAAGTACTCCCGGTGGGTCCGGAAGCTGGAAGAATAGGCGGGCTGCCACCGCCGGCCTGACGGGCTCGAGTTTGGGGCCCTGTCCTTTATGATATAGTTATCCATTGGAAAGGAAGAGCTGCTACCACCGCCCCCCGCCCCACCCCCCCGGGGGAGAGACCGAAGCAACCGAGGAGACGGAGGCGATGGACGGCGAGGAGTGGGGACAGTGGGTCTGTGCCCCAATTCGACGCCGATGCCAGGGCCGGAGCCGGACTTGCGTCCAACCTAATGGGTCATGGGTTGGGGCACGCGGCCTAGAGAATGTGAGTGATGCGGTCGGTATTGTTCCATTGAGGGGATTGGGGAAATGCCAAGAAGTAACAATTAAAACAAAAAACGATGCTAATAGCTAGCTGGGAATAATCTAATTAAAGCACAATGCAAAGGGTGTCTGTCCAACCCAGAAAAATAACAAATTACCACGGAAATGCCTGCAAAAGGTTATAATCCTCGCTCATTCGTGGCTCGCATCGTACCTTAGACTTTTGGCTTCTCCGCTACGATGCGATACGTCGTCGTGATCAAGCGCATGTTGTCCATCTCGACAAAAGCCTGGCCGTCCAGACAGAGCCGGTTGATGAGAGACTTGAAATGTCGGGGGAGCATATGCAACTTGACGGCGGCAAGGATGGCCTGCCGCATCGCCCGGAAATAAATATCCACCTTGTCGATCAGTGGGGCCTGCAATCCATCGATGCTCGGATTATCGGAGGTAGTGACTATAAAGCCGGCTTCCTTCAGCGCTAATTCGAAGCTCGCCGGCGTCGGAGTCCCCACAGCTCCGATCAACGGCTTCACGCGGCGCATGAGCCCCGCATGCTCGGGATTCTCGGGGTTGTAAGCTGGCAGGCTTACCCAGTCCATCAACAGAAATTTGGAACCGGGCTTCAAAACTCGGAAGATCTCCTTGAACAGCGCGCGAGGGTCCTTGCACAGGCTGAGGGCCTGGATCTCGTAGAAGGCGTCGAAGGATTGATCTGCAAACGGAAGAGGCAGGTCGTTCTGGTCGTGCTCGACAAACTCGTTTTGCAACCCCTGCTCCTCGTTGAAGGCACGAGCCTGGGCGATTTGGTTCGGGTCAATGTTGAGACCCGTTACTCGTGCGCCCGTGAAGCTCGACATGTGTGCCGCCACCCGGCCACGGCCACAGCCGAGATCCAAAACTCTGTCGCCGGGCCTCAGCCCGATTTCCTTCGCGATGGCTTCCTCATTCAGAAGCTGGTTGTCCAAGACCGAAGCTTGTCTGTCTAGTAGTGGTGGAATATACATCTTTTCCACATCACCAAGAGCGCACCTGGTGTGTAAAATTCTTAGCGATGTGCAGCAAAGATAACATTGGTGAGTATCACGTACAAATGATTCATGACGCCATAATATGCCTTGAGAGAGTCGCCCACCCGCTGCTGATAATTGGGTCCCAAGGTTGAGACCATCTCGGCCTGGTTCTCCCAGTCCAAGTTGTAGATGACGTAGGAGGACATGTAGTCATCCACTTGCTTGGGAGTCAGGTCGTAGAGATACTTGAAAGAAGCTCGAAACGTCTTCCATCGATTGGGTGATGCGGAACGGTCGACGTCATTGTGTTTTGAAGAGGCTTTACGAGGTTTGATGCCAGTTGAGAGGCCGAACTTCTCGGTGCTGATGCTGGTGCTGCTTGAACGAGGACTGCTGCTGCTGATTGGATATGACGTAGGTGCTATGGGCAGCGCTTGTGGATGCGACGACGTAACGGTTGCCATGTTACCCGATGTAATCAGAGAAGACGGGGAGCTTGTAAGGTATGTGTCCCAAAGGAGGTCAGGCCAAGAAGGTCAGGCCAAGAAGGTGTGTTTTGTACAGGAGGAGAAGGGCAGAAGTTTTGGAAGGGCTACTTTATTAAATGATCCCTGATCTATCCCAAGCAAGCAGCAGGGAAGTGGTGGATTAATAATGACATACAGGCTTTTGTCGGGGAATCCCGCATTCGGATGATCCGGACAGCAAGAAAAACGCTGACGCTGCGGAGTATATTCGGATGATCTTGAAATACGAGCGAATCAATGAGCACAACATCCCAGGGCTCGCATCTAACCCTGTAACCGAATCAAGCGAGATGCAGACGCCGTGTGACACATATACGTATATCTCCCATCGCTCGTCATGAGGTTCTTTCGAGTTACGAAGCCCACCTTTTCGCGCTCCGTTCGGCGTCGCGAAGGAATGCCAAGACATAATTAATTGTGCTCGAAAAAATCCATATTTATGATGTAACCGTATTCGCGAGACAAACTCGACATCTCGCGCTGACTCATGTAGACCTCTGTGCCAAGTGCACGAATTGTGCCCGAGTCTTATAGGGTTGCCGTGCGGCTCGCATTTGGTCAGAAGTGTCGACGTCCCGGAGATCCACGGTTCATCCCACTGCCTTTCAATTTACCAAGATCTTGACAAGAACTATCTAATCTGCATCTTACTGCTGTTCCTAGATGCGGCTCTGCTTTACTTGACGTTGAATTAAGGTCGTTCACACCCATCCAGACGCAGCGTCATGGATCAAGTTGGTAATCAAGGACCTCATTGTTCAATGAGAACCGTATTTCCTCCACTAGTCAGGCAGCCCATCATCTGTAACGCACTCGTTGCATTTATCCATTCTCCTACTTCTCGTTCCCCTGAATCCCCGAATGGAATCACTCAGAAGGTGGAAAGGCATCTTGGATCAAGAATAAGTTGGCCAGCCCCGGTGAGGACAGACGTTGCAGTGGTGTCATCCACTGTGTCCCCTATGCAAAGGTCTGATCCCTGAGCGGGATGTCTTGCCCCCCATAGTCTCATCATTCTCTCTCTGTTTCTATCACCCACCATCCTTGGCAGATGAGAATCTGGATAACTCCAATAGCCTCGCCACTCGGTATTCTCATGGCCTGATGATTCCAAGCGCCTGCAGGCCAACCCCTACCCTGTGGGGACACCCAAGATACCCCGACACACCCGATGCACCCCTGGAATTGCGAAGGCTACTCCCGCCCAGCCACTTGCTTGTGACTAACTTGGGTCTAGCGTGCTGTCACTGGGTTCGGTGGTGTGGAAATGACCGATAGCGCGAGACCCACTAATAGTACCGGGAACAATGCCATTCGCGTAATAGCCGAAACGGAACCCCCGCGGACCGAAACCGGACCATATACAGGGGACATACAGGGGAGTGTTGATTATCGTGCGGGTATCTTCCCCGGCATTTCCAGGTCGTCCGAGCGCGCCATGCAGATGGTGATGATAGACCAGCCAAGGACGCATGCTTGACGATGACGGCGCCGCAGTCGCCATCGGGCCCGATCCGGAGCGGGTTGTCCCCCTTCGAACGGTGGGTGATGTTGACAGCGCGCATCGGAACGTCCGAGTGGTGCTTGTTCAGAACCATGCACATTGTTTTCACTTCAATTCCACCAGGATTGTTGAGCGCTTGCCACATGAAAAGGCGGAGAGGGCATGATCTAGGGCCGGATTGCCAACGGCGGAGGTGGCGCTCTCGAGCAAGTTATCGAACTTATCCGTCGAGAGGGCCGTGTTGTTGCGCTCACACGTCACAACGGGCTTCCCTCTTCTAGTTCATCATCGTCTAGTTGATGGCTTTGCTCATCTCACGCGGCGAGGTTGACCCAGAGGCCTTCGACATCACGGCGGTTGTTTCTTTGAGTCCGGTCCATCCAGAATTCGGTTCAACTAGAGGTCACTCACCGTGATGTGATGTTCAGGACGCCGACAAGGATCTCGCAATGCGCAACCTCGCGTTGAATCATTCCCCTGAGCTTTGAGGGTACTGTGTCCGAGGCATCGAAGTAGCCGTACGGTTGTTCCGTCCGATGATGCTCCCGTAGGCTTCACGGGAAGCCTTGGAGCCAGGATTCGCGTTCTCCATCAATTATCCTCGCTGTTTATCTAACAGTCGAGTGAAGAGTCCGTCGTGTTCCTACGAGGCTGGCTGAATGTGGTGGCTGTTTGCAACTTACCTTGTCCATCTCCCCAACCGGGCCACTTTTACGCCCGTACTTACCTCACGAAGACTGCACTCGCGGTCATTCGTCTTTGTTAGACACACTGACCTTGGACCTGCCAAGAAGGCGCTCAGATCTGCAATTACCTTTGTTGACTACCGCTTGGTTGCTAGACCTAATTAGAGAGAAAACGCGGGGTGAAGAACCGGGGTGAAGAACCGGGGAGAAGAGCCGGGGGAAGAACCGGGGGGAAGCCGGGGAAAGGGCGGAGGAAAAGGCTTTTGGCCCCGCTTCACCAACACAGCCCCTCCCCCATTAAACAGGAGTCAGCGTGCCAACAAGAGACATAAAATATATATATATGCTTAGGTTTGGTAATTGCTTACATTGAATGGTTTGGACTTGGGTATTTCTTCTGCTCTAGCGAAAAAGCCACCTCACATCTGCCATATCCGCACAACCTAGCCTGGTGTGCGTGGTCTCGATAATGTCGCGCTGGAAGTATGCTTTCTCCCTATCCAAGGCCGAAGTCAAAGACACCACCCCTCCCGGGACGGTGAGGCTTGTAGGTGAGTTTCCGCTCCGAGGATTACGCTTCCGTGGACGGGATGCAAGCATTTACCCTAGTCTTGTTGGCATGTAATTAATGGATCTCAAAAAAGACCGGAGCGAAGCCGAAACAAGTGAAAACGGAGAAATCGTCAAGTTCCCCCGACCGTCGGCTGACCCTGCCGACCCTCTGAACTGGGCGCCATGGCGGAAGTTGGCCATGCTGTTGGTCGTTTCTGTCTACGCCTTCGTCTCCAACTTCATCAGCTCGAGCATCGCCCCTGCCCTTCCACTCTGGGCCTACACCTTCCCTCAGGACCCCAGGACGTATTCAGAGCTCTCTCGTCTCGTTGCGGTAGGCCGCCCTTTCCATCCCATCTTTTCCATGCCCATCTGCGGCGCCCTGGCTTATGCACAGCTTTGGTGTTGACTTGCTAAATTACCACTCTCGATTCGCAGGTTAGCATCCTCTTCCTTGGAGCGGCCAACATCTGGTGGGTGCCCCTGTCTAACTGGTCGGGGCGCCGACCCGTGATGCTCGTAGCCACGCTGCTCATGACGGTCTTCTCCATCTGGTGCGCCCTCGCGACATCGTACAACTCCCTCCTCGCGGCCCGCATATTCCAGGCCATGGGGGGTGCCGCCGCAGACACCGTTGCCCCAAGTCTTATCGGCGATGCCTACTTCATCCACGAGCGCGGCCGAGCCATGGTAGGTGGTATTCCGTTCTAGCACTTCTATCGCTCCTTGTCGAGCAATCCTTGCTGACTTTTCTGGGCCCGGCCCTTTTAACAGTCTATCTACACCCTATTTCTCTGCACGGGATCTCTCGTCGGCGGCATCTCAGGGGGCTACATCGGGTTTGGCCTGGGCTGGGCTTACATCTTCTGGGTTGCCGTCGCCCTCACGGGGGCCTGCTTCCTCGGCGTTCTCTTCCTTGTCCCCGAGACTCTATACATCCGCGAGGAACCAACCCTTTCCGGGAACGGCTCCTCCCAGAGCCTTGAAGACGAAACAAAAGAGACGCAGCATGTCACCCACGCAGAACTAGCCCGACCCAACAACAACAACGACAACAACATCGAGCACTACCGCCCTTACACCTTCTTCCGATCCCTAGGCTTCGTCCGACCTCGGGGCAGCCTCATCAGACAATTCGCCCAGCCGTGGATCGCCCTCGCGCTACCGGGCACCTGGGTAGTGATGCTGCACTACTCAGGGCTGGTAGGCGGCATCGTGACCATCTCGGTGATGGGAGCACAGATGGTGTCCGCACCGCCATATCTGTGGGGCGCCAACGCCGGACTGATCAACGTCGGCGGCCTGATCGGGGCCCTGCTGGGCGGGCTGTACACGTACGCCGTGTCGGACTGGCAGCTCAGGCGGGACGCCCGCAAGCGCGAAGGCCACGGCTACGCGGAGCCCGAGGCCCGGCTGGTCACCATGTTCCCGGCGCTGTTTGTTGCCACGGCCGGGTTCCTGGTGTTCGGGTTCTGCGCGCAGAATCCGGCGCCGGGGCGGTGGGTGGGACTCGAGGCTGGGTATGTGATGATCACGTTTGGGCTGATGCAGGTGCCGTCCATTGGGTTTAACTACGTAAGTGACCAACACTCCAGATGGGGAGGGAATAACAGATGCTGATGAAGAGCTTGTGCCTGGCATTAGATCATCGACGCCTACACGTACCGCGCCGCCGACTGCTTCGTTGTCGTCACTATCCTGCGATCCATTGTCTCTTTCGCGTGGACTTTCTTCGTGGCCGACTGGGTCGAGACTAGGGGAGCTGCCGAGGCGTTTGGGGTCTTTGGCATGATGATGGGTCTGTTTTCTCTGCTCACCGTACCTCTCTGGCTGTTTGGAAAGCGGATGAGAATTGCGACGGCGTCGCTCTTCGAGGCTTGAGCCACGGGATTTGCTGGCCATCCAATGGGCAGGGGTCTGTCTGCGCCTCTTCACTATATATATGTCTTTCCTCCGTTCTGAAGTGTAGTGTATCATCTTCTACATATGGGGTGATTTATATGGACATACCTCCAATAATTATCTTGCAGAGTGGTTATTCACATATCTGTCTATTCTCAACTGCGGCAGATTTCACAAGCCATTGATCGAGAAGATTACAAGTCTTATCAGTTTGGTCAAGTAGTAAATATTACAAGAAATGCATGGGTACCTCCATGTATCATATTATCCACTCGATCCTGCATGCAGAGCCTTTTCAAACCCCAACAGTCTACTTAAACCAGGCTTGCCGTAACTACAACAACCCCTGAAGCCGCGGCCTTGCAAACTTCACCGCATAGTAGCACAACACGCCCGCGCAAGTGACACCCGTAGACAAGACCACGATCCCGCCGGTCACGATTCCTTGGCTAAAGAACCCGATGTCCCCTCCCTTCTTCAGCCGCTTCGGCTCGGGCAATCTCGCCGTGGCCTCGTCGTCGAGCCTCTGCAGATCCCGTGGCGAGGATCCCCGAAGGATGCTGTCCAGGACGCGGGTGTGCACTGGGCGAGAGACGAACTGTGGTTTTGGCAGTGTGAAGAGGGGTGTGTCGTAGCGGGTGAACGACTCCATGTCAAGGGGCTTTCCTTGTGGTGAGACTGGTCCGACTGCAGGGTGTTGAATGGCAACTAATTAGTCTTGTGCAAGAGGAGATAGTGTTGGTTGGGGCATTGGGACGTACAGAGCAGACTCGCTGGAATCTGATTGACGAAGCTTAGATCTGAATCAAGGAATTGGCACATGTATTTGGCAGCCTCGGGCGTGGTAGTAAAGACGAAAGAAGCTGCGAGCCGACCGAGACTGCGTAATTATGTGTTAGCCGTCATGCGGAGAGAAGGTGAACGAACAGGAAGAGGTAGGTAGGCATTCACGTACCTTTTTGAGAGATCTATTGCGTCGTCCATGCTGGTCACCGTATGGATGGCGAGGCAGCTCTCTCGCAGCTTGCGTTGGATCACGAAGGAGCCCCTAAAATTGAGGTTGAGCCAGTGAGAGTCAGCCAAATGTCTCCCAGTGCGGATTATGCACAATAAGCATTGTGACACCTACCTGTCCTCGATTTCCAACACCGACCCATGAGCACCAGACGAGACAATCTTAGCGAGGCCCTCCTTCGCCACCTCGTCGAGGAACCCCTTCCCCTCCTTTCTCCTGGACGCTGACGCCGGTGTCACATCCCCCGCATCGGGCATGAACCGGATCGAGCACTGCGCGACGGCGCTCAAGAAATCCTTCTTGACCCACTCGTTGACGAGCACGACGTCAGGCGCGTAGGGCGACTTCCCCCGCAGGCCGAACCGCGCCCTAACGAGAACCTCCGCTGCCGCTTCGAGGTCCGCGTCGCGCTCGACCACGGCGACCACGCGCGCCTCGGGCCGCGAAACGAGGTGGTTTGCCAACTGTGGCTCGGGGGAGCCGTTCTGGAGGACGCGGACGTGTCGGTAGCCGATGTCTGAGTCGGTGGCTTTCTTGGAGGTGACCTGGACAATGTCCCGGTCGAGGGCACTCTCGACAATCTCCAGAAGCAAGCGGGGGGTTTTCAGCATGGTCTGATCTACCTGGATGATGACGCAGTTGCCGGCGGCGAGAGCAGGACTGAGCGCGGATAGGAGACTGAACACGAAGGTGTGTGTCGTTGGCTCAATGACGACGATGCCGACGGGCTCGCGGGCGCTTGGAGCATCCTTCGAAGCTGCAATGGCATATTCGTCTCTTAGGTGCTGCTCGGGGTCGATGGACGTATAGCTCTCGGCAACGCACCGCAGAGCGAGCCAGTACTCGGCCTTTACTTCGGCGGGTCGGTGCCCTGTATCGTCCGCGATCGCCTTCTGGATATCGGTGGCATGGTCTGCCAGCTTGTCGTGTAGCTTTTTGAGCTGGACTTTTCTGTAGAAAGGATTGTGAGCTCTGCCGTCGATGGCGGCCGACCTAATTTTGCTGAATTGTTTCGCCATGATTAGTGGCCCGGCTCGTTGCTGTTCGCTCTTGATCCAAGAAAGAAGCTCGAAACGGTGCCACGAGCTCTCCGTACTGAGATGGTGTATGGATATAGAATTGATTACGTATTGACCAAGCCAAATCGCAGCAGACATAGCGAGCGAGTAGTGTAGTACTCGGCCGGGACACTGCATCACGTCCACATCCCGAAAGTCCCGTCCAGTCGTGCCCCACATCTGCCGATCCCTCCTCCACGTCCCGAACCCGCATCCCTCTCCCGAACCCCGCATGACTCCAAGACACACAAGATTGAGGCGGGGAAATTGGATCCCCCCCATGGAAGTAACTTGAGATCCCGAGCCGACACGCTAGCTCTTGCTTAGCATCCCTTGACAACTACTATCACCCTAACTACCACCGCGTCATCTGTCATTTTGGGGGCTTTCAGCGGCACATTGTCCTCCTTCTAGATTGTCCTCCGTCTAGCCACGATGTCTTCAACCACCACGACAACAACGACGCATAACGCCTCAGTCCTCGCTGTAGATGGCATCCTCGCAGACTATGAGCTGCACCACTCACAGTTAGACGTGCCGGAAGCCCGGGGGAATAGCCCACCCTCTCGCCGCCGGACACCGAATCCACCACTCGACTGGGACACAACGCACCGCCGCGTGCCTCCTTACCGACCGATCAACCGCGACCGAGACCCGCTGGAGACAAGAGTGTATACCAGCAGGGTGGAGCAAATGTTCCTCTTCACCATGTTCACGGGGGTTCTGATAAACTCGGTGAGTTGATGCTGATGCGGCTGCGACGCGACCCGGTACCCTGAGGCGGAAAGAAGAGGAACTGTGGCCTACTAACGGAGCGAGCGAACTGTAGACTACGGCGAAAGTGTGGCACGGGACGTTTGGGAGGCTGAATGACCGCATATTCAAGTATCAGATTGGAGGGGAGATCTAGATCGGGTTATGACTTCACTGGTTGTTTGTATGCCTCCGATTTTCATCTCATTGTATAGATAAACATGTGCCGTGTCTAGCAGAAAACAAGATGCTTTCAGTTTGATAAACATCAGATCAGACTTCCACTTTAGTCTTCTAAGACGACGCCCTCACCCCCTGCATATCCCCATAATCCTCCTTCAGCTCCTTCCCACCGGCCTTGAGCGGCTGCGCCGGCTGCAGGATATACAGCATCCTAGCCCAGCCCGTCTCGCTGACGTTCCTCCAAGCGTGTATCGTCGCCCTCTGGACGCACACATCCCCACGCCTCAACAACCTCGTCTCTCCTGAGTCGAGGACCAGCTCGACCTCGCCCTCTATCACGACGCCGTAGTCTAGGCTGATGGTGCGGTGCATCGGCGAGAGCTGGCCTGGCGGCATGTCGACGTATCGCAGCACGGTGCCGTCCGAGACGGTCAGCCCCGGGGAGTCGGCCAGGTACTGCTGGTAGACGTTGATGTCGGCCCCGTCCGACAGCTGCGTCGGGAAGCCCTTGGTGATGTAGCACTGCGCGAAGGCGGCCGTCTTGTTGGGGAGTTCGTCGAAGGGTACCTCGGCTGGGATGGTAGAGTCTATAATGGCTTGACCCTGGTCGTTGTGCGTGGTGATGAACCGCTTCGGGTGGCTGAGCTTGCCTTGTAGCGCCATGTTTGGGATGGGGCCGGACGGAGGGGAAAGGGTTGGGTTGAAGAGGGAAAGCCTCTGAAGTGGGATATTAGTCTTGTGTTAAACGAGTAATTGTTGGGGGTAATTACAAGGAGGTGAGGTTTCGATTATCAATGTTCAGTGATAACTGTCGAGACAAGAACGGTCTTAATACATTCTACGGGAAGTGGATGATCGTAGTCATAATTACTGGCCCGTCAGTGGAGCCGAGCCGACTCGACATGATACTTCTATCTGCCCGTGCTCTGATTCTCCGCATTTCCGGGTTTCAAATGTACAGAATAGTGTTATTAACAAATACTAGAAGAAATAATGGCCCCGCAGACCTCCTAACAACCTGGTAGTGCCCTCCAGGAACCGCCACCTAGTATTAGTACCGTGCCCGGCAAACCACTGACCAAAGGAAAGAAAGAGGTCCAAAGAAAACAAGAGGGACGATGACATCTCTAGACTACGACAGCCACTTCTCAGACAGCAATGTCCCTTTCGGCATCGCATCGTCAAAGACACACCAGCAGCCCCAGGCCGCCACCCGTCTGGGGAATTCGGTCTTGTACCTCGCCGACCTATCTACTATCGGGCTGTTCTCGGCAGTGGAAGGACTTCCAGATGGAGTCTTCGAACAGCAGACCCTGAATGAGTTTGCAGCACTCCCCAAATCCGTCCACAACGGCGTACGAGGTTCTATCCAGGACGCCTTCCGAGCCGGCGGCCTTGACGCATTCCCGAGAGGTAGCGTGGAAGACGTGTCGACGGTGACGATGCACTTGCCGGTCCAAATATGCGATTTCGCAGGTGAGTATTATATGTGACTCACCCTGCGACCTCTTGCAAGAGGAGTCACTCACTGATCCTAGAAACGCCTTCTTCCAGATTTTTCCTGCAGCCTCGAACACGTCAAGAACGCCGGCCGCATCATCGCCAAGACTGACCAGCCACCCCCGGCCTTCTTCAACTTCCCGACCGTGTACCAAGGCCGTGCCGGCTCCGTGGTGGTGTCCGGCACCGAGATCGAGCGGCCCATAGGTCAGTACCGGGACAAAGGTGCCCAGGACACGCCCGTGGTCTTCGGCCCGTCCAGGATGATGGACTACGAACTCGAGTTCGCCGCTGTGGTCGGGAAGCCACTCCCCATGCGCCAGAGACTGAGGGCTACCGATGCCGACGACCATATATTCGGGTTTGTCTTGCTCAACGATTGGAGCGGTATGCTATGCTATTCCACACCCCCATCCACATACCCCCCATCCAATAACTGTCGTTTGCCCTAACCACCCAACCTCTTCCACCCCAGCCCGCGACATCCAAGCCTTCGAAATGGTCCCCCTGGGCCCCGCCCTGGGCAAAAGCTCAGGGACCACCATCTCGCCCTGGATAGTAACCGCCGACGCCCTCGAGCCATTCAAGGTGCCCAGTCTTGTACCTCGCAACCTCCCTGTCCCACCCCATCTCGACGACCCAGACAACCGCAACTACTCGGTCCGAATGCAGGTCGAGATCCTCACCGGGTCGGGACCGTCCACCGCCACGGTCACGGGCGCCTGCGACTTGCCATCCTCCATGTACTGGACGGCGCGGCAGATGGCCGCGCACATCGCCAGCTCGGGAAGCGCGCTGCGCACGGGAGACATCCTGGCCACGGGGACTGTCAGCGGGGCCGGGGCGGGCGCGCGCGGATGTCTTCTGGAGGCTACGGAGGGTGGGACGGAGCCGATTCGGCTGCGCGACGGGTCGACGAGGCGGTTCTTGGAGGACGGGGATGTGGTGAGGATGACGGGCGTTGCGGGGGATTCGTCGTCGGGGGTTGGCTGGGGCGAGTGTGTTGGGCGGTTGGCTCCCGCTCGGCCGTTTTGACCTGGTTTGTACTCTTCCATCCTGCCACGCACCGTCACTGTCTTCGGAGACGCAGGCCAAGACGTCGTCAAACGCCTACATGCACTTGATCTCTTCGGAAATGTTTATTCCTACAACAGGGAAACGTCGTATGCCGACAGCTGAATTCTCCAACGCAGTTATCAATAGGACTAAGACTGGAAGAAATGGTCACAGGCTAAACTCCAACCTGTTACCCGCGTAATCCCTCGTGAAGAACCTCTCAGGATACTCGACCCCCTTCGAACCTGCACTCACTCCTCGTTAGCTTCCGTATCGTACGTATCGCCTCACACCTCCATCGCTTGGCCACAACTCACCCGAGCTCTCCCCACCAGGCTCATCGCACTCCCTTGGCGACCCCTCCCCACCCTCCTGGAAGTGCTTCCACACGCGTAGCTGCAGTTCTCTCAGGGCCTCGGGCCCCGGCACGCGGAAGCACGGGTGTCGCGAGCTCTTGGCCGCCGTCTCCTCGAAGTCTGCGTCGCGCCCGAAGGCGACGTGGACCTGCTGGCCCGAGTCGGCGACGTTGAACCACGCGAGGCGGCCGCGCTGGAGCTGCGGCACGGGCGTCGCGGTTAGGCCGAGCGTGTCGCCGTAGAAGGCGTGCGCGGCGGCGAGCGTGCCGGCCGGGACGACGAGGTTGACATGGGCGATGCCGGTGATCATTGTTTAGGAGAGGTTGGCTGGACAATTACTGTTAAGGATATTGAGCATGAGGAGATGCGGAAGTAAGGCGGGCTGATAAGAGATAGCCGACGTCTTGCTTCCGAAGTCGGCGGTGCGGGGAACATCGGATCGAGCCGAGCCAATACTCGGCCTTTGGTTGTCAATCGCGCCATCAAAGCCGGCTGGTCTTTGCGCGGGAACGCCTTGTGGGGAAAAGACACGGCAGCAGCAAGCAATGGGAAGTGCGTGAGCGGCAAACAGCGAGAGGTGGCAGGAAGCATGTCATCTTCTCAGCCGTCGCATTGGCTTAAGTTCCCAAAACCAACGAATTCTTCCTCAGCCAGCGGGAAGCCCCCCGAGTGAGATCCGACAAATCTCCGAAATCTCCAGACACTGTCCCTTCCAAGTTGGTCGGAATTGGCTCGGCGAGAAGTCAAATCCCGACCAACCTACGCCTGCAGTGATATTGTGATATTGTTAATCTCTGTCTAGGATTCACATTTGCTAATACATGATTCCGATACTACCTGATTCGAATAACTCTCGCTCTGGTCCCATAAGATCGGTCGATTCGCACCTGAGCCTTCCGGGACTGGGTCGGGATATGGTCAGTCTCGACACCGGTAGCCTTGACCCTGGCAACATCGGAAGCAATGTGAGGCCTGGGGCCTCAGCCTGGGACATGCGTCGGAGAGTTCTGGGAGCACTCGGGGGCTTTCCCGTTTTCATAATTAGTAATTACAGGCTTCTCACGAGACAATCCCCGTCTTCGTAGATGCCTTTTGCAGCCCCTTCATCAGCTGTATCAAATTGTCAACCAGATGCGGCCTCGCCATCCCCTCGTGGTTCTGCCGCATGATCCCCATCACAGCCGCCATCACCCTGTCCGGCCGCGACAGGTACGCGTCGTCGTCGACGGGCGCCCCGGGCTGTCGTCTGTCACCATGATCCGAACCGCCGTGAATGCACGGGTTCCCGCTCCCAAGTTGTGTGAACCTCTGCAGCGCGATCCCTTCCGCCTCATCCAGGTACACCGGCTGCTGCGACGGCCCCCTCCCCTGCCCGGCCCACCCACCCAGATCCCGGTCGACCCCCCCGCCGCCGGCGCCGGGGAGACCCTCCTCGGACAACAGGCCAAAGACCCAAAACGCCAGGCTAGCGTGATACACCGCGATGGCAGCGGGCCCCCATATCGCGCCGCGGCGAAGCAGTCTCGCGGCCCGGACGATCTGGCCGGCGTGCCAGACGGCCTTCCTGGCGGCCTCGCCCCTGGCCCACTCGACCATGGTCGGGTAGACGACACGGGCCTGATCTGGCCCTTCCATGCCGGCGAAGAGCTGCATGTCCTCAAAGGGCATGTGGAGGTGCAGGAGGATGAGCTCCAGCCGCATCGAGACTTCCCTGCTACAAGGCTGGGCCTGGGGATAGAGCTGGGGGTCCAGGGAGAGATCGGCGGTGCTGATCCGGAAGTTGTTGAGCAGCTTGATGATCTCGTCGTGTCGGGACGCCATCAGTAGCGCATTCCACCGCCGTGACCCGCTGCGCTGCAGCGAGTTCAGCTGGATGTATTCCCAGGAGAGGCTCCACGCGCAAGACAGGAAGGCGAAGTTGGCGACGGTGTTGTCAACGGTGTTCCGGTGAGTGTCGAGTCTTGCCGGGTCATCCACGTATTCGGCCAATGTCAGTTGCCCCCGGTCTAGGCTGGGGTGGTTTTGTTGTTGGGAGAGGAACAAAGCTTTCCACTCCTCAGGCGTCGCAGCGGACCACAAATCAGCCGAGTCCGGAAACGGGAGCTGCACCTCGGCGTAGGATATCAGGGGGTTGATCAACAGAGCCATCGAGGAGTTGGTGTCATGCTGGAGCAGTCTGAAACACAGTCTCTTGAAGGACTCTTGCTCCACCCACGACCTCCACTTATCCCTGAGGGTCTCGCCCTCGTCGTCGTCGCGGACGGTTATCCTGTGGTACCCCGACTGCCTCAGCCTGCCGTCGCGCCGGAGCATGGTCATCGCGGGCTGGAGGAAACTCTCGGCGATCTCAACCTTCCGACTGCGGCCGCTCCAGAGGCCGATTTCTAGAGTGATGAGAAAGGCCTGGGACAGCTCTAGGTCTCTCGTCAGAGCGTTGTGCTCCTCCCACTAGACATGCCACATAAAATGTCAGCGCTAACCGCACGGGAATTTGCTTTTACAAAACTCCAGACACGCAGGTCCAGCCTTACATGTTTCGGCACGGCAACCCGCACACACTCCTGGATAGCAAACCCAAGCTTGGACAGGGTCGGGTCGGAGGTCAAGACAGCGCCACAGGCGACCATGGCGGCGAGGATCTCGGGCCTCTTCTCGTTTGGGTCGAAGGCGGCGGCGTGCAGGAACGAGTCGGCGCGGGCGAGCGGAGAGGTCAGGTAGTACTGCAGCAGGGTGTCGAGCAGCTCGACGGACGGGAACGAGGCGACGGCGCGGGACAGGTTCTCGGACCGGCAGCTCTGCACGATGGTGGTCAGGATCTTGTCGCGGGCGGCGACGCTCAGACGCGCGCTGGTGACGCGCCTGTCGAGGGAGACGCGTGACTCTGGAGACTCGTGGTCGCCCAGGGTCGTCGAGAAAAGGGGGAGAGATAGGTTATGCTCCTCGGCGGCGCCGTGGTCCTGCGCGTTGGGCCGGAATTTCCAGTGCTTCCGGAAGGTCTCGGTGCATATTTCGGCGGGGCGGCACGGGTCGGCGGATCCATCGTCTGGGGCTTGTTGCCGCAGCCCTTCTCCAGTGGCGCCGTTGTTGATGATGGCGTTGTTGCCGGGGGATCCGCCGCCGAGCTCGAAAGGCACGTTGGTGTTGTAGGCATCGAGGAAGCGCAAGTCCATGTCGTCGAGTTCGATGCTCGAGCTCGTGTCAAAGTCAAAGTCCAACGGCCACATTGGAGTCCATTGCCCGGATGCAAGATTGAAGTCGGGAAGCCCTAAGAATGGCTGCAATTGGGACGGCTGGGAGGAGGCATCCATGATCGGTATTACCCCAATCACACCGGCACCGGGCGAATCAGGCGGGAGGCCGTATGTTTCGAGGAGGTAATTGTTTGGGGAGGACGCCTCCCCGCCTTCTTCGGCCGTCTCGGCGACCGTCGGAGGGGGTGTAATGGCACCCATGGCGGGACGGTCCCAAACGCATTCGATGCCCCTCTCGGTGCACCGGCGGCACGGCTTCCGCTCAGTGCATCGCAGGTGGTTTGAGGCGCAGACTCGGCACGCTTGTGTCACCCGGCCCGGACTAGCCTGGCCGTTTGGCGACAGGGGGCGCTTGATCCTCCCCGTGGGAGAGTCGTGGCTGACAACATGCCTCTTGAGGAGGTCTCTAGTGTGTGGGCAATATACACGCTTTTCTTAGTCCACAGCGCAGGGATATTAACCACTAAACAGGGCGGACAGTGTGTACTCACGCCCTTGTAAACGCTTTCGTGCAGAGGCGACAGCGGTACGGCTTGGACTGGGTGTCTTTTTCATGAGCCCCCAGCTGGTTAATAAAGATACAACTCGCCAATTAGAGAAGTAGTGTAGTAGGCGATACCACAAAATAAATGGTACAGCTCGGACTTACGAGAACGTACGTGGCGGGTAAGATGGTCAGCCCGCTTGTATTGACGTTTGCAGGTGCCGCATTGATAGATGGGTTCGCCAGGGGTGGCAGGCGCAGGAGCAGCACCAGCAGCGGCAGCAGCCATGGGATGATCCATCTTCAGCGCATGCATAGACTCCAGGCGAGGACGCGGATCGCGGCATGTAACGCACGACTGTGGAGTCAGCTGTTCATCGGAAGATTTGGATCGGGAAGAGGTGGGGGAAGAAAAGGTGGAGGGGAGCGAAGCCCATGAAATACGGACAAAAATGGGGGCGACCGACTACTGAGTGGAAATGCGGGGAAGTTGCGGGGAAGTTGCGGGGTGCTAAAGCAGACGCACCGGCTTGCTGCTACGGCATACAGAGATCCGGTCTGGACACAACATTGCCATGTTCCGAAGTGGGGGGAGTCGCTCCTCCACATCCCGAATCGCCACCAACCACTCCCCTTGACTTGTTCGGCAGATGGGGAGGGAGACAGACCTGAGGAGGAAATGACTGCTGCCCCAATGATACAACCGGCGGACCTTGCTTCAAACGATTAAAACCGCCAACCATAATTAGTCACCTCACCTCTACAGCGATATCTAGACCGACACGAGAAGCAAAGCCAACAGCCCATTGTCCTAGGGCCTACGAAAGACAAAAATGAGTACGTGTTTCTTCTGTTAATTATCAATTTTTTGTCGTTTTCCTCCGTGCTCCGTGCTCCGACACTGACACTCAAGGCCGGCTTCCCTCTAATTAGCGAATCTCACCCCTGTGCATTTCTTTTCCCATGGGTCAACCATGATGCTGGGCGAGCCCTCGGACTCTGCCGACTACTGGAAGAGAGCGGGCGACGAGGCATTGGCACACAAGTTCAAGGGCGTTATCATGATGGTGGGCAAGCATAGTCCCCCCTCGGAAAGCATCTAAACACCAGCTGATGGGTTCAAAAGGGTGCACACTGGGACGCCCTGGGCGACAGGATCGAGGTCGCGACAAATCCCAAGCCCGGGAAATCCCCCGTCGCATACGTCCACCCGTCCAAGTACGTCGACTATGAGCTCAATCCAGACCTTGAAACTGCCGACCGCTGCATCTCCATGCTCGCTGACGCCGGCTTCGATGTCTCGGGCAACCCCTCGTTCGACTGGATCCACGACACCTATCTAATTCTGATCCGAATGTTCCCCAACGGCTGCCCTCCTACTGTCCTGATCTCGATGAATGCCCGGTTTGACCCGCACTTCCACATGACCGTCGGCGAGGCCCTGCGCCCCCTGCGGAAGGAAGGCTACCTCCTCATCGGCTCCGGCGGCGCCGTCCACAACCTGTACCGCAACAACTGGATGCCCATGCTGCGGTTCAGCGACAACTTCGCCCAGGAGCGGCCCCCCGAGCCGTGGGCCCTCGAGTTCCGCCAGGCCGTCGAGGACGTCATCAGCCACAACAGCGGGCCGACCCTCCGCAGAGCCATGACCCGGCTCATGAAGCACCCTCTGTATCGTGAGGCTCACGCCACCGACGACCACTTCATGGCTGCCATGTTTGTCGCGGGGGCCGCGGGCGACGAGGAGGATGAGGGCGTATGCGGAGAGCTCAAGGCCGAGACGTGGGAACTGACAAATATGTGTAACAGCCAGTTTACGATTGGAAGCTGGCCGAGGACCCTGGCCTCGGCGGCGTAGGGGCAGGATATTGTCATTTCGAAATTGCTAGACATTTCCATTGCAAGGAGGAACACCGTATTCATAACCAGCTGTACGCTAATTACGAGCACCGTTAATAAGATATGTGGGAATGATGGCGGTAATAGAGCCGAATTCCCTGACGAATGACGATACTCATGATCAATTAATCCACTCCAAACACAGCATGCCAACATCCACATGTGGGTTTATAAATAAAATCATGTCTATCTAGTGTCTAATTGCATCTCTTGTCGCTCAGTTTGGTGGAATAACAGGTAGTGTCACGTAGTTGTGAAACTGCGGTCCAAAGTGGATGTGGTTCGTCCCTTGGAATACCTCGGCCGACCTAGTTGATAACAACATCATGTTAGCAAGCCAATCTCCCAACCGGCTGATGGCACCTCACCACGAACTTACCTATCCACCGGGTCGTTATGCAGGAATATCCCCGAGCCCTGCGTGTCGCCCGACGCCACCTCGAACACAATCCTCCCACCCTTCTCGACGACCACGTTGGTCGGCCAGATCTCAACGTCAACGGCGTATACCTCCCCCTGAATGACGGGCAACACGTCCCGGCTCGTGTAATCGCGGTGGGGCAGCCACGGTCGATGCTTCGGGTGGTTCTTGTTCACCTTCCGGAGAGATACCCTCAACCAGCCCTTTGTCAGTGGCACGGGGTCCCCGGCCGTGCCTGTGTAGAAGATCTCCTTCCCATCGGAGCCGATATGACGAAGCGTGACGAAGAGGTCGATATCCTTGGGCGTCGGCCCGGCCGGGTCGGGGCTCACTGACACGTTCAGATGCGCCGTGACGTGTCCCGTAATCTCCGTCTCGGCCTCAAAGGGCGCCGTCGCAAACTGCAGCAGCTGGGGGCTCGCAATCGTGCCGAGCGCGCGATACGTGAGCTTCTTACGCTGCGAGGCGGCCTGGCTCCCATCACGGGTCAGGCTCAGATCCGGAGTGAGGAAGAATCTGGTGTACTGCGTGCGCGCGATCGGCCACTCGCTCTCCTCCCGCCGGGCGTAGCCCTTCTCCTTCTCGGCGTCGTTGAAGCCGATGTCGCCCTTCCGAAGGACCAGACTGACGGGGGGGACTATCCCTTCCTGAGACCAGCCGACCCGGTCGTCGCCCTTCAGGAACGCGTCCAGGAAGCTCCGCTGCACCTCGACTTCTTCCTCGTAGTAGAATGGGAGGTCGTGCCTGCCGGTTATCATGCGGAGATACTTCAGCTTGGATCCGGCGTGGATGAATCCCTCCACGTTACCGCGCAGGTGAAGCAGGATGCCTCCCCAGTTGCCGACCGAGAGCACGGGGACCTCGATATCGCCCATGTCGTACTCCTTCGACGCGTAGTACTCGTCATCCCGGAACCGATTAGCCGCGTTATCGACATTCTGATCCCTCCTATTCGCCACCAGCTCCCCCTCCTCCAAGTCCCCCTCAATCGTATCCGGGCCCCAATTCCCCGCACTCCTCCCGGGGCGACCATACTGATTCGTGACAACCTGCCTGTCCCACCAGAACCGGATGAACGCATTCGACAGGATCCCGCCGTGCCGGCACCGGTCGCGATAGTAATCCGACATGCCCTCCCACGGCACGATCGCCGCCAAGCCCTTTGGCCGGCGCGCCGCGACCCTCCACTGGCTGCCGGCGTAGTAGCTGATGCCCAGCAGGCCGACCTTGCCCGATGACCACGCCTGCTCGGCCGCCCACTCCACCACGTCGCAGAAGGCCTCGCTGGTGCCCCGCGACATGGTGTCCAGCGTGCCGGGGGACTGGCCCAGGCCGCGCTCGTCGGCGCGGACGACGGCGTATCCGTGTGCGGTCCAGAAGCCCGGGTCCGGGGTTTCCCAGGCTGAGTGGGCGGACTTGTGTTGTGGGTTCACCTCGGAGAAGGACTTGGGATGGAAGCTTTTTATTTTCGGTCATGTGTTAGCTATAGCTGTCGAGGAGGACCGCGTGGGGTGGGAGGGGGGGCGGACACAAAACACACTCTTGATAATGGATGTCCTTCCCGTAGGGCCCGTAGGTGACCAGCACGGGAACGGGGTTGGACCCAGACCCCTTTGGTCGGTACACATTGCACCGGACGAGGCCGTCGGCGGACTTGAGCTTCACGGTGGCGTTTTGCTCAAATATGTAGGGAAAAGAGGTCTCGTCCACGGTGTGGATGTCCTTGATCTCGTTGGGCATGGTGGCGGCGGCGGTTGTCTCAACTCTGGGCGCTTGAAGGATAAAGGTGCGGGCGAAACAGTTGTTGTAATTGTATGAGCTGCAGGCCTGTGCTTTTGATTTTATGCTTCCCGGCTCGGAGCCTAGATCGGGAGAATATTGAGTGCAATTATTCCGACAGATACCTGTTCGGCACGAGTTATCGTCCTGCAGGATGTCGTGCTTCAGGAATGTGGGGGACGGAACTTGGCGACTCTCGGGGATCCCATAAGACGGGGTCCACAATCCCCCTCCGCTCGAGAGAATCAACGTTGGGTCAGTCGTCTCGAGGCGTGTTGGGCTCGCGATTTCGGATTGAGAGACCCAGGGTTCGGCGTCATCGGATGATCGGGGGCTGTCGGGACTGTGGGGGAAGGAGGCAGCGTTGTCTGTGTGGAGCCGAAGCCCGAAACCCCGAGGTTTCCGAAGCCTTTATCGACTCATCGGCCAAAGAGCACCTTCATTCTGAAAAGTAATAATCTGATTACTGTCACCACAGCTGTGCCGATGCTTTAGGCAGGCTGTGCTCTGTTTTCTACAACGCACTCTCTTATTTGCCTTTCGCATCTTCCTTGACTGGGGTCTTCAGTTTTCCCCCCTCGATAGCGCGAGAAATATCTCGCCATAAGAACTTTTGAAATGGCTGCCGAAAAGAAGAGTGGAAGTTCCCTGGAAATCATTATTGTTGGAGCAGGTAATTATTCTTACTTTCTTCCTACCCAGCTCTACATCCCGGCAAATCATAACTTACAAGTTGACCAGGAATTGGAGGGCTTACCGCAGCTGTTGGATTGCGCGAGCAGGGCCATCGAGTCACAGTATAGTAGCATCTCAGTTAGACTTTTACACGGAAGGAGTGTGGCTGATGGGCGTATACCCAAGATCTTTGAGAGGTCCCAGTTAGCCCAGGAAACCGGCGCTGCCATCCACCTCGCCCCGAATTGCCACGGCATCCTCCGAAGGCTCGGCATCTTCCCAGAGAGCTTTGGAGCCAACCCGCTGAACGGCGTGAGTCAGCTGTGGCACTTTTCCCGCAGTCGTTTACGGGTAGCTGCCTAACCAAGCTGACAGATTGTTGAATACGACTATCTCGGAACACTACGCAAGGACATCGATCTGACAGAGGCGTTGAAGATATGGCAACATGTGAGCAACCATAATGACTGCCTCTTCCCCTTCACTAAAGACGAGGTCAAGAATCTAAGTGTGACCGTTAGCCGTGGGTTCTCAGTCACCGTGTTCAACTGCACAACGAGTTGAAGAGGGTAGCCACTGCGGCAACAGGCAAGGGATCACCGGCCGTTCTAAAGACGTCTAGCTGCGTCACTGATGTCGACACATCTACCGGGACCATCACACTCGAAGACGGCTCCACCTTTTCCGGAGACCTCATCATTGGAGCAGATGGCGTGAGCGTAAGAATTCCCCCAGACCTCCTCTCCTTCAACCCGTCTCCTTTTCCTAACGGGAACTACAACAGTCCGCGACGAGAAAGGCCCTTGTCGGCGACGACATAAAGCCGTTCGGATCCGGCAAGAGCGCCTTTCGTTTCTTGATCCCCGGCCAAAAGGTCCGAGAGAATGAGGTCACGAGGCCATTTGCCTGCCGGGAGGGGCGCATGATCATGTGGTTCGGAGTTGATCGCCGGCTCGTCATGTACCCGTGCTCCAACAACACGACAATGAACTTCGTCGCCATACACCCCAGCGAGCTTTCAGCTTCGAAAGGAGATGGTAAGAAGGGGCCGGTTTCCTGCAGAGGGTGCCCTTATTGAAACATTTTTGCTAATGTGGGCATATTATCGCGGGGCTTAGGCTTCGATCGAGGCGGTAGCAAGGAGACGCTTTTGGACATCTACCGCGAGTTCGGACCCGCTGTTCAGGCCCTGCTCGGCATGGTTGAGACCAGCTCCCTCAAAGTATGGACGCTGCTTGACATGGAACAGCTGCCTACTTGGACCAAAGGGAAGCTAGCCCTGGTCGGCGATGCCGCTCACCCATTCTTACCACGTAAGTGCGACTGAAGGAAGCAAGTAATTAGAGCCTGGGCTGGGTTAAGCTGACACTCTAGTATAGATCAGGGACAAGGAGGTAACCAGCGATTTTGCCGGTGAAAATACTAGGGAGTTGTCTGCTGACGATATAACAGGTGGGATAGCTATCGAGGATGCAGCTTCGATCTGCGCTCTTTTCCCGAGTGGCACCCCGAAGGATGAGGTTGCAGCCCGACTAGCACTATACGAAAAGATAAGGATGGAAAGAGCACAGAAGATCCAAGAGTTCACTCGATTTGCTGGGGCGGACCTAGATGACGAAAGGAGAGGGAAATTCAACAGTGAGTGCTTACTGCACTGCCGAACCTCTAATCATTGGCTGTTTCTGCTTCTCTAACAAGTGGGCAGTTATGGAATTTACCAATTACAACTTTGGGCATGACGAGTGGCACAACACCACGCAGCATCTAAAGCAATGGCTCTGGTCGCGCAACGGCAGCCCCTACCTACGCCAACCTATATCCTTCGGGCCGATGACCAGCCCAAGGCAGGACCACTACGGGCGACTAGTCCCTTCCCAGGACGCCAGGTTCACAACTCACTCGATCCGGTTCAAGACATCCACCACCTACCTCCAGACCCTATTCCCGAGCACCGCCTTCAGCTTCGCCTATCCGGGGACCAAGGCCGAGGCGACCTTCCTCTGCACGGAGCTGGACAACCTGGGCTGGCTCGGCGGCAGCGGATACAACTTCTTCGGCCTCTGGATCCACGGCGTCCAGTACACCAAGAGGGACGGCTCCACCCTCTTCGGGTCCTTCCTCCCCGTCCTCTTCGAGTCGCTGTCAGACCCGATCACGACGGGGCGCGAGGAGCTCGGGATGCCGAAGCTCTTCGCCGACATCCGCGTCACCCGGAGCGAGAAGGCGTCGCGCATAGTCTGCAGCTGGAGGGGCGCAACCTTTGTGGATATGGAGCTGGGCGGCCAAGACGAAGAACAAAAAGTGAGCAGCAGCCCGGTCAACGGCACCACCACCACGGAACCTCAGGCTGGGACTGGGACGACGAACCCCTTGACCCAACAGCAGCCCCCGGATCACGGCCTCTTCATCTACAGGTACGTCCCCGCCGTCGGGAAGAAGGGCGTGGCGGACGCCGAGTACGCCGTGTTCGTTAGCAAGGACAAGACGACGACGCCCCGGGTGGTGGAGAGGACGCTGCCGGCGCGGGCGGTGGATTCTCGGATCGACGTCCGGGCCGGCGATTGGAAGTCCCTGCCCACTCTCCACCACGTCGCGTCTGCGTTGTCCGAGGTACCGGTCTACGAGATCCTGGAGGCGAAGACGGAGGAGGGGCACGGGGTGGAGGATCTGTCGCAGGCGGAGAGGATTGAATGATGGGGGAGGCTAGGTTGTATGATATTCGTATTTATTTAAGTCTAGTACTATCTCCACCTAAGTGAAGCCGACGCTACCGAAGGAATGCAGGTGCTTCATGACAGCCTCTCAATAGGCTTCTCTTTGCAGCCGCCCCAAGCCACGCTTTTCACAGTCAGCCACTACTCTCCCAGAAATTCGCCGCCCCCTCCAGATCATCCACATTCAGCAGATCAACGCCGTTGTCCCATAGCGTCCTCCACACGGCATTTCTAGTCCCGACAGGCCACCCGGGCTGGTCCCAGTACCGGACACCGATTCCCCTGCCGTGCGCGGTAGCGACCTGACTCCGTAGCGTCTGGAGCTGCTCGTCGTCGAATGTCTGGTTGCGGATGTCGCCGAACACGACGGCGAAGTCGGTGCTCGCGATGGGGCTCACCTCCTTGGTGATGTTGGCGAACGTGGTCTCTAGCGTTGCCAGTGGGCCATCCCAGAAGTAGTCCCGCTTCGAGACGCCCTGTACTTGGCTGAGTGGCGTGTTGCCCGTGCCGATCACGGTGACCGGGCCCGGCGTCACGTCGGTCCCATCGAAGGTGGTGAGATAACCAGCTGCGCGGAGCGGCTGGAGGGCGCGGACCACGAAGGGAAAGGTGCTGGCGCCATCAGTCTTGACGTCGACCCAAAGGTAAAGTGTCTGGCCACTAGAGGTGTCGAAGACGCCGTTCTTGGTCGGCCCTGACACGTAGCTGCTGTTCGGGTTCTCGGCGCGGAGGACGCTGAGGATTGGCTGAATATATAAGCTGTCAAACGTGCGACTGGCGGTGAGAGCACTCCGTTCGTGGCCGACGAGCAGGGTTCCGTTGACTAGCCATACGTCGGCTTCGACGCTCACGGCACCCACCGAGAGGGCGGAATAGAAGGGGACGGGGCGCCAGTAGTCATTGTGCGAATGCAGAGCCTTTGGAATGATTCCCTGCGTCAGGGCCGTAGGGTAGGTGTACCGCCCAGTCCCGGCTTTGGAAAGAATTTCACGAAGGGGCTGTGAGATGGGGATGTCAGACTGAGCCGTTGCTACGGCGACCAGCGCTAGGAGGAGGAGCGACGAGCAAAGCATCATGATCCACGGAAGAGAACTGCTTTATGGAAGCTATCTTCGTATTTAAACCTTGGATAAATTGCCTTGGGACGTTGCACCATATTTATATACTCTTCGGAGATCCGGAAAGCTGTATCGCCATGACGTTGACGCATGCCGAGCTTGTCAGGGGTGTAACAATATTTTCTCCGCTGGCCAATGAACCACTCCACGTGGCCCTCTCCACATGCAGAAAAACCGTGTTTTGCAATCATTTCTATCTGATCCTTGGATCGACAAGTAGACTTCCAAGAATAGCCATGTGTGACCAATTATTTTCCACCACTCAAGTTTATGATAAATGTGGTATGGTTATCACAAGATTGTTTGTCGTGTTGACGTATCACGAGACTCACATGTTCCTGGGATGTAAGACGGGCAGTTATTGGAAGTGACATTTCTAGGATTAATCCCTAATCCTAACCATCCCAGGTCAAGTCTATTCCAGCCCTCGGGCTCATATCGGGACGTCTCATTAGTTTCAATTACCTCTGATTTGCAAATGCGGGATAATTGCCTTGATTCTGATAAACAGGGAGTCTTTCTCTCATTTTGTTGCAATTGCAGAGATATATATGCCAAAGTGAAATTAAATTAAGTTACCTTCATAAGATCTCACACGAGAGAATTAGAATTATCTCACCCCTTTCGTCCCGGGCCCTTTTGATCATGGGATAATAGTCAGACTTCAATATTCCCATTCTCTTCAATATCCGGCACCGCTTCTCAGTTCGATGTTCCATTCGGCAGCACCTCGAGGACCCCAACCCCAGAGATGGTGTTCTCGTCCGATACGGTGTTGTTGCCCTGCCCGTTGGCGGTGCTGAGGACGACGTAGGTCTGGCCCAGGGGTGGCAGCTCGCCGCTACTGGTGTCGTTGGCACCCGGGAGCTTCTGAATCTTGTACTGCGACCGCATTTAACGTTAGCTCCCGCCCTTGTACCCCCCTTCATATGCGAATGAGCGATTGTACTTACATCCTTGCCGCCCTGAGTGACGTAGGTCTGCACATAGTAAACATTCAAGCCGGAGTAGAACACAGCATAGACTGCGGTATCCTTGGTAGCCAGACCCGCAGACATTGCATTGGCATAGGCGTTGGAGAATGTCACGCTCGAGCTGCCCTCGGTGTACGGATACTGGCTAGGCTGCAATGTCAGGGGCGGGAAAGCCTTGAAGGGCAGCGGAGCCGCCCCCGGAGCGAAGCCCGTGATGAACTGTGCGGCCAGCGAGAAGACGGCGTTGAAGTCCAGAGGAGTGTCCATGGGTTTCGGGAAGGGGGCCTCGCCCAGGGCAGCGCGCACGTAAGCCGCGTGGCGAGCCTCGACGGTCAGGATGGAGCCGGCCGCGGTCAGGTACGCCTTGTTGGCGATGGCGCCGGCGGCGCCCAGGTAGGCAGAGACGCCGACTCCCTCGAGGATGGCGGAGAGCGCCACAAAGGACTTGACATCGGTGCTGGGGAAGGAGTATGTTGCTTCCTGGACTGCCTTTGCGCCGAGGGCGGTGGCGAGGAAGGTCACATGGTCCTAGATAGATGAATTATTGTGTTAGAACACAAATCTGACAGGGAAACGGAAGTAATGGGTTATTCAGAGCAACAGATCCCACTCACCTGCTCGTCGGCATAGATGCTCATCAGGTTGTTGTAGAAAGAAGCCTCGAAACCAGCGTTGCAGAAGTCTTGCTCGGTGTAGTTGGCGAGGCCTTCCTGGTAGAACTTCCTCTCCAGAAATTCCAGGGTCAAGGCGTAGTTCAGGATGTCAATGTCGGCTCCTGGAGGAGGGTCGAAGTTGGCCTTCTTTACGAGGAGGGGGGAGGCTGTGCTGGATCCGACGGTCGCAAGGACCGTCAAGAGCAAGGAGGATCTCATAATAAGGTCGTGTTTGTTGTTGTTCTGGGATTAAATATCGACTTTGATGGGTTTCTTGACTTGCTAAAGGTTCTATCAGGGGCACAAGTCGAGAGCATCGTCAGCATTATATAAACTTATCCCATATTCCATGAACGCATGTTGCACAAACTCCAGCCCTCGTGTTAGCCACGAGGCACTTGCAGCTTTTGCCTCCACCACGATAAGTGCCGCTCGTCGTTCTCTCGGATGGAAAGTTATCCGGGCATCAAGAGACATGTCATTTCTCGATGTCACGACGCTTAGCATCATGATCGACCAAGAAAATAGCGAGGAGAACAAGGAACAAAGCCGACTCAGAATGAGACAAGTCCCTCAGCCAGAGAAGTGTTCTCGAATCACCCCTGTTGAAGTAACTTATTGAGGTACCGTGATGGATGACGTGACGCGCGCGGAAGGCTCACGGTCTGTAAAGGGGCAAACAATTACTGGCGCACTCCATACATCATTCCCAATCGAAACTTCTCGGTCAAATAAGAAGAGACAACCCCGTTTTTCTTTCTTAGCTCCACGAGGCTATTCGCCAAAAAGGAGGAAAAGGCGCCTTACTACTACTCAACCATGCCCAATTTGCCGCCAGCGCATCTGCATTGGGTCATTATCTGGGTGATACCAAACCACGGGCCTAGCGGCGACGTTAAGAGTGCCAATCTCAAGAACGTGTCGACCCGGATCCAGCCCCACCCGCCGGATCCACGGATTCCCGAGACAGTAGTTGGGCTGTTCCGGTTGTTTGGTTGGCGGGTTTTGGGACACCCAGGGACGCTAAGAAACTGTGGATAACGGACTTTACCGACCGCCCGGGCTCTTCCATCATCGGTGACACCATTACTACTACTTTCCTGCACCCAGGCTGCCAGGATACCCCAACGCCGATCATCGCCCTGTAGTCTCTCCCCTGCGTCGACCCGACCAGAGACGGGCTCCATTCTTGGCGTCCGTCACTAATTACTGTGGTAGACAGCGTTAGTCGCATGCCTAATTGTGGCGAACGATATTTTCGATCCCGGGCATATGACAGATGTCGAGGGGTCGACGACTCGTGGAGGATCGAGTGCTGTCGGACGGAGTAATCATGTTGTCGACGGCGATCGTAGATTTTGCTCCTCCCTTGACTTTTTGTTTTTGCGGCTTGTTGTCTCTGAAGCGAGCATTTCCAACTTCCTTTTCCCCTCTTATCTCTGCACGATATCCTGCCGTTCCCTCTTTCTAAGATTGGCAATTTTCTCACAGGTTTATTTTGATAGATAAATTGCACGCAAAATAATAATAGATTCCCCTCATCCATCGCGGCGCCGCACTACCTCGAGGAGAGCCGCGCTGCGTGCACACGGCTGCCCGACGCGCTGCGGCGGTTAAGCGTCCGGAGGGCGTGGGCGGCGAAGGAGATGGAAGAGGCGGCTGTTGCATGCTCTCAACGGCGTGACAAACTAATACTGGTTCTTGTACTCGCCGCTCCAGTACTGGGGCAGTTCGGCGGAGGATCGCCAGTGATCGTAACACAAGCCAATGCATCAAAGTCCTCGATAAGCAGGCAACAGGCACATTGTCTTCGTTATTCGCCGTCCCCAACTGTATAGTTACAGTTAGCCGAGCCTACACACCTACCCAAATTGGCTCAGAGTCTCGTGCTTGGTGGAAGGAACTCTCCCAGTTCCTTCCATTATATTCTCGCCCGACCATCCCTTCCTCCATTCTTTTTAAAACGAAGGGACAGCAATCTCTTAGTTACAGATCTACCCTAAGACATTTTCCCACTGCGTCTTCCCTAACAACGTAATTGTCACCACTATAGCTGTAATACCAGCAGAATATTGCCCAATCCCTGTACCACCCTGGACGTCTTCCATGACAGTACTCCAAATCACAGTGAGAAGTAGCGTGACCACAACCGCCCCCACAACAAGTGTCCGTATAAGACCCCAGTTAAACCCCTCCACGATGTACACTCCCCACCCTACGGGCAGAGATCCGAGGTCCACTCCGCAGCTTAGCCTCGCCATACAATTTCTTTAGGAGCCGGTTGATTACCGCCGAGCCGGTGTGGTCGCCCGGCTCGAAAAAGGAGTGCATGAAGACCTGCGGGTGGACCGGGTACTTCCCGATGTCAGGCGGACACGGCCGGTAGGCGTACTCGCCGTTGTAGACTTCTTTGATGGAGGGGATAGAGTCGACTTCTATGTTTCCCACGCACTCTCGCGACTTGTGTCGGAACATGAGTTCGAACTTGGGTTCTCGTCGTGTTAGGATTTGTCCTCGGCTTAGAGCCGGCTTGGCTTGTGGCTGAAGGAGTTTTGTCTCACCTTGACATATTGAATCGTTTTTGGGACGGTGAACGGTTTGCGATTTCGCGTTCCACGCATCTCGTCATATGCCGTCCTAACCCTCTGAAACAACACTTCGTCGTGCCCAACGTTTGTCAGGTCCACGTTTCGCATCGTTGTGCGGTTTGGGTCGCTGTTTATACAAAGCAGTAGGTAACGTTTGGTCCCGGGTGCGTGGACGGAATGCTGCAGCTCGTTGCTGTCTGACAGGATGGTCGACGGCGGGGTGGAAGGGGCGTTTCCGCTAGTGTCCACAGAACCTCTTTGTGGCAACGAGCTCTGAGATCCCGGTAGCGACGACGACGTGGAGCCGCTTTCGGAGCCGCTCACAGATACCGTTCGCGAGTTCGACGGACCGGCAGCGTCCTGGGGCGAATCGCACCCCGCCATCCGCGCAATCTTCGGGGATTTCGATGTTCAACCTCTTGCCACATTTCTAACGCAGAAGTCAGTCGCTTCCCAACCCCACGGACGGAATCACTAACGCAGTTCCAGCTGACACGGAGACGTCCGGCGTCCGGTCGTGACTGTAGCAGGATAATGTCTGATATAGCGCCAACGACCCTTCGCAGTTTTGCTCGAAACTTCCAGGCACGAGACTGCCCACTCTCATGGACCGCACCGGAATTGTCGTCTTCTTCGAGCTTCGCTGGGCTGGCCCGATCGAATACGCTCGCCATATCCGTACCGAAGCTCTCCACCGAGCTAGCGCTGATGCTGGGCCGCCTTTGCTCATGCGTCGATTCTCGCTCCGAAGAAGGGGTACAATGACCAATAATAGCGCTCAGGGGGAGGGTACTGTTGCCTCCAACTTCCCCTGCAGTGGCTGTTTCATCGTCCTTCCCGCCCTGTTGCTCGAAATCGACTTCCCCATCGTCCTCATTTACCGCAGAAGGGGGTATGGTCTCATCACCTGTCACCCCAACGTCCCCGTCTTCGTCAGGGGTAGGGGCACCTGAATCGTCTCCAGAATTTAGGGCCTTGCTTTCCCAGCCCATGTCACTCCGGGGAAATTCGCCGGAAAACTCATCAAGGTAGGAGCCGTTAAATTCACGGTAGATTCTAGCTGAGTTGATAGGGAAATCTTTCAATTCTCATTCGCATCAGCCAGCCAGTCGGAGTTATCGACTAGGTGAGGTGGGATGTGCCCGGGGGTGAAGTGTGGGAAATCTTGAGAGGTCGAGTACGACGTCGAGGTTGATGGCGTGTGTTCTTGCTTCAACGGCAAGGAATCTGGGTCGGCCATCGGGGGTGGCTGCTTAAAAATGTCACGGGCCTCATCATCCGAGACGTAGACCGGGATGCCGTCCGTTTTGTCGTGCATCCTCTTTCCAGTGGCTTTGGTCTGTACATCAATCCATCCGTGGCCCATCTCCATGTGCTTCTTGTAACGGGACTCTCGCGTTGACTTGTACGGGCACGGCTTGTACAGGCACTGGTAGAAGGGCGGGACAGCCAGATGTTTGGGATCGACGTGGCGGTCCAGTTCTCCCTCAGTCGGCCAGCCATACTCGCTATATTTGCAGGTAGACACCGGACACTCCCAAGGATGAGTGTGAGTCTTCTCGTGTTTGGTCAGGTCGACGGGGCGTCTGAATCCCCTGTCGCAGCCAGGCTCACGGCACTTATGGGGGGCGTACTCGCCTTGCCTAGCGTTATTCTTCCGGCGGGCCATCACGATTTGCATTTCGTCTCCAACCTCCAACTCCTGGGTCATAGACTGCTTCCGCTCGACTGAGTTCTCGTCGACGTCCCGGTCCAGGCCCACCGGTTTGCCAGTGGCAATGGAGATGGTCGTGCCGTCCTTTTTGACTGTAACCAGCTCGGCGGGTTGGCCATTCTCGACAAGACCACCAATAAGCTTAGCCTCATCAGCTCCACTCTCGTGAGCGATAGCTAAATGTGAGGCGTAATGCTTGACCTGGTCTACGAAGTCGATAAAGTACCCGTTAGTATAGGGTAGATCCCCATGTCGGGTTTTCTCGCCGTCGCTGAGATAGTCGACGGTTGCCCGAACGCATCCACTAGTCGTCAAGCAGAAATCCAGGTACAACGCGGAAGATTTAGACCTCTCCTATTACGAAAAGCCGTATAAGTATTTTCCTTGACACCCAGATTTTGGAAACCAACGTACCGGAGCCCTAAGGATCAGGGATCTTTCGAGATCTCGCAGGCAGATGACCTCTTTCTCTTGAATTCTGCTCGGTATGTCGGCGAGGATGGGCTCAAAGTCCTTTAGAGACGGCTCAGCTAGTAGAGGTTGAAGAATGTGCTCGCGGATTTTGTTGATAGCCCGGATGCTGAGGCTGGGCGAATTCTCCACGACGAACCTCGTGATGGCCGATGCCTTGTTGGATGACACAAAAGAGCTGCCAAGTCCGCTGTCAGACTCGTGGTTGCCAGCATGGCCACGGTGGTGTCGAGAAGTCACCAGGTACTGCTTGCCTCTCTTGGCTGTCTCGGTTTCCTTGGCCATGGCCTGGTCGACGACCATAGGGAGCGATAGGGTGCCTCTAGGAACGAGGGATCTGGAGTTGCAGTCGGCTTTCTCGACCAACGGCGGCGGCGGAGCGTTCAAGGTAGTCTCAGAGAGGTTCGAGTTCTCCGCCCGCTGAGGCTGCGATGGGCGACCACCATCTGTAGCCGACCACATGGTCCAAATTTAGGTTTGAATGATCGTACAAGGAGATGATGGGCTGTGACAGGCGAAGTGGCAATGGACCTTATGTTTGCATATTACGTTGAGAAACTATGATAATAAGAGACTTGGAAGAGATGTTCTAGCAGTGAGAAAAGTGAGGCTGACGTGCGGTGTCGGCGACGCACGTCCGCGCCGCAGTGGCGCGTGGCTGCCTCGGGATTGGAGGGAGTTGGCAGGCACTATGCCTTCCTTGGAACTGGAGAGGACCGGAATAGGTTGCACCGCTTGCCGTTCCTTTGGCTCTAGGTACGGCCCAAGTTGACCATTCCCGGATCGTCATTGGAGTTCTCCTTTTGCCCCGTAATATTGATACAATCGCATTGTGTGACTGAGGTACAGACTATTGATGCTTAAATAGAAACGAAAGAAAAAGAAGAAGAAAAACAGGCAACAAACCATCCATACATCATTTTATACACGCAAATTCTCAGGCATACTCTGAATAAGCCGGCAGCTCCTCGACCTGCTCGAACTCGGTCATGGAGATGTCGTAGCCCAGGTGGCGCTTGAGCAGCTCGTGGGTGACGAACCTCTCGGGGCAGTTGCCCTGGGCATCGACAAAGGAGACGTGGTGGTTGACGGAGCTGATGCGGTCGAGCTCGTTGGCGTGGCGGTGATGGTGGGGGCAGCCCTCGGCGCCGATGAGGAAGATGGTGACGTGGGCCCACGACAAGCCCAGCAAGTCAAGCTCGAACTCGTCCATGTCTGTCGCCTCGCCGTCCAAGAGCAACAACAGCCGCAGAATGGGGGTGTCTGGCCCGGCCTGCCACCCGTAGATGGGATGGTGCACCGCCGACTGTGAGTGTTTCCGGAAGTGTAGCTCCTTGACTTTTTGCCAGCCCGTCATGACCCGAGTCCCGCCACCGACTCTGACGTTGCTCCACATTAGGTCGAGGTTCCTGTGATTGATGGCACCGATGTGCTGCGCGTGATTCGCGAAGGTGACCAAGTCGTAGCCATCGGATCGATGGTCGTGGTTTGCCATTGCGTCTGTGAAGCGGCGCACTATAGATTTGGCGACGTCTGATCGACAAATGTTAGTCCAGGTATGGTGAAGAGATACAGAAGAAAGATTCGGTAGACAGTTTACCTTTGTTCTTGGGCTGAGTGGTTTGCTCGTAGCCCATAACGAGATACTGGTCATAGATGGGCCGCACGGGATCGAAGTCCATGGACCCGGAAACGTCCAGGAGGATCATGGTATCGTCCGACGGTTGCTCGGGTCGATCAAAGGGCCTAAATGGAGGCGGCATGACTTGCTTGGAGTACCCAGTAGAAGTATGCTGCAGGTGACAGGTGTCATTTGCAGAGTAGTACAAAGGCGGCGGCTCAACCGCCCGAGCCATCCTGTCGCGGGCCATGGTCATTTCCGATATGAAGTCGGGCTTCATTCTCAAGCCGACGCTACCTTCGCGATGGTTCAAGACCCAGTATAGTCGCTCCTCGGCAAGATCCTCATAGCCCCTCCACGCCGGGGTAATACCCCTCCAACCCGCTGCTGCCTCGATGGAGAACTTCAGCGGGTTAGATGCCTGGTTTGCCCACGCCACGGGGATAGGCTCAAAGTACCCAGCCTTGAGGAGATGGAGGTACTGAATGGGAGATCGAGCTCGGAGGTCATCAATCTTCTTGGTCATGCCCACCTTGTCCTGATACCCCGCGACGATCTGCCGCCATTGGTCGTCTGGCCACCGTCCTCGTTCCTCGGCAAGAATCTTTCCCCTGAGAGCATTGGCTTTATCTTCGGATGACTTTATGCCAATGGCCTTCTTGAAGCTCGAGAATTTCGATGCGGGTTTTCCAGTCTGCAGGGCCCTGTGGCGACCTCCTTTCTCGGATGCTTCTCCTGGCTTCTCCTTGGGTGAGGGAGTGCCACGAGTATCCTTGTTCGGCGGCTCCTTACCACCTATGGCTAAGTTTTCCATCCCAGTAGGCAGCAACTCGTCCTCCCAGATGCTTTGATATGGCTCTTTCGCATCGACCTTTGCCTGAGCTTCACGATTGAGCTTGGCATTCAGCCTGATGGTTTGTTGTATCCACATCGCATGATAACCCGGCTTGGGGCTAGGAATCTGGAGATTCCAGCTGTATTGGGCTTGCCAATACCCATATGGGGAGCCAACGCGGAGTTGATAGGGGTTGCTAGAGAAGCCGAAGATAACCGGGTTGTCGCTGTAAAATGACTCTCCTGGTACCAGAGTAAGAGGAAGCTAGTTACGAGCTACCTAGATGAATCTGGTATACTAACCTGGGTACATAACCGCCCTTGCCCATAGCTCTTGCACCCCGGCTCGGCTCCATTTCCTCTGCTGATACTGGTGGATGGGACAATAGCAGAGAGTGTCTACCTCATGCTCGGGCTCGATCTCACTGTTATAGATGCGATACCGGAACTGGAGGTTTTGTAGCATTTGCTGCATCTCTTGCTGCAGGTAGGTTAACCATGGCTGTCATTAACACCACCAGTTGTCCCTCTTGAAAGAAAGAAAACAAGAAAACGCGAACGCACCTCATCTATCGCTCGTCGCTTGCCAGCTTCAATCACGTCATTGGTGTGGTAACGGGCGACGCCGCGCAAATTTGAAGAGCTGCTTTGGGTTACTTGAGATGGCCCAGGCAACGCTGCGTATGACGGCGGAGGCGGAGGAGGAGCGGTTGCCGTCTTGCCATTGTAGGCTTTTACGTCTTCATCTCCACTGTCGGCCTTGTGGCTTACTTGTCCTGCAAGCGGGTCTGACTGACGGTGGATGAAGGCAGCGATGAATTCGAGAGACTCTGGAGAGTCACCTAATAAGCTCTGCAGATGCTGGGCACGCTCGGCTTCGGGAAGGTTACTGGTGTATGTCACGATCTGCTCGAGATCTTCGTCATCCAGTGCTAGAATCTTGCGGAGGCGCGGCAGCACCCACAGCTTCAGTGCCATATCAATTCGATTTCTTGGCCAGTACCTGCATGGGGTTCGTGTGGATGTGGATTCAATAGCGGGCGAGGTTCTTGGCGTTTTGCCAAGATGATCTGTGACGGGGATCAGCTTTGTAGTATAGCTTGGAAGGCGGGGTGGCGGGGGGCGTGGGGTTCGAAAATGGCGCAACCCGCCGGGCCTAAGCTAAAAGCCCGGAATAATTATACCCGGCACTGCCCGGCACCGCCCCGATCTTGCCCCGCCGTTAGTGACAAGATGGTCGTCATAGGGTTAACACATGGATGAGCTTTCGCCACTTGTAAGCTGACGCCTTGCCTTTGAGCCTTGGATCTAATGCGTTACACGGAACAGTGATCATGAAATGACGAGAATTCGTCTTTCTCACAATAGGGTGGATACCTTGATCTAGGTACCTATTATGAATGATCTTCTCCTCCTAACTCGTTCTACGGCACGTGCTTGCTTTGCCTGGGCCAGACGTCGGGAAACACGTTGTCCTGTCAGCACCGGGCTACGCTATTCTTGCGTTGTCCTCTGCGGATCTTCCCCGGCTCCCTGGAGATATGTGGTTGGTTAAGCATGTTAAAACAAGAATAAGGGTCAAGTACCTAGTTGGGGGGAGAAGTGCGGGGAGGCTAAGTATCGATATCACGGCCCGGTTGAAGTTCCTACATCTCACTGTGTGTATAACGAGGTTAGGTATAGCTAATTAAGGTGCATCAGAGTCATCACTTAGCGCCAAGCCTGAGGATTACAACCCGACAACTATTTACAACCCACTAATTACCACTTCCGGTTCCACAACGTCCGCTGCCCTTCTCTCCTGTCCTGCTTGCCTTGAAGCACGGCAACCACTCAAGGTATGCCTTGATGAAGAGTTCCGCCGATTGCTTCACAGGCGGGTTGGCAACGTCCTCAGATCCCCGCGGCGAGTCGCCAGGCCTGAAGGATATGTCCTCTGCGTGCACGGCGCCGGCGAACAAGAGGCCAAATATATCTGTTCCCGAGGGAGCTTCGCCGCACTTTGGGATATCCTGCGTTATCTTCCGCTTCGGCGCTCCGAGGTCCTGATCCAGGCTCATCACGCTGAAAGCCCGCCAGGGGTCGAACTCGCCATTCGTCCACATCACGTTAGACGGCTTCATGTTCCATCCGCCTAGAGAATTGGGATACGTAGTGTTCGGCGTGTCTGGGAAGGCGGACTGGGCGAAACCAGGGAAGTAGCCGGTCATGTCTGTCTCATGGTAGAATGTGTAGTTAAGGAGCTTGCTGCCAAGCCGCAGGGGCGAGCTACCGTTCACAGCCATGACTCCGCCAATCTCGGTCAAGACCTGCCACTTCCAAGCATGGATGTCGCCGAATACATACTCCGAGGTCTCCTCGGAACCAAGTTTGTCCATCATCTCCGAAATGAACATGTCGAGGTACTGGTTGAGTCCGTATAGGTAAGCAGCAAGGCCGATCTCGACGCTATTGGACGCCGCAATGCCTAAGTCGGAGGGAGTGCCGTCCCCGTTATTATACAGGTTAGTGCTGAACCTTTCAACCGGATCCGTACTTGTGGCTGAGGCGTTCCCAAGGTAAGCATCGACATTGAACGCCTCCATGCTATCGCAGAACCTCTGAACGGTACTGGTGATGCCAAAGCTTTGGACCATGGTCATCAGCAGAGTAAAGAGACCGGTGGCAACATTCGTGTTGCTGAGGTCGGCCGCGTTGCTCTGAATCCATTCCCCGTCGCCGTCGACGCCCTGGGTCGACAGGTACACTGCCACTTTGATGTCTAGGATGCTGCTCTCGTCACCGGAGTCGAAAACCTCGTCGATATGGTCGACGACGGCCTGAATATCAGAGGTGCAGTTCCTGGGGAGGGCGCGGTAGATGGAGTTGAAGTACGCAGAGCCGTCAGCGACAGTCTCGACCGGGGCAGAAGACGCCCAGGCAGCGTAGACAACCTCCGGGTTGCGAATCCTAGCCCAGGCGGCGCGGTTTCCCGGATAGCTGCCCCCGACCCAGATCCACGGTGTGTGGTACGGGTCAAGATGCTGGGTGGCATCCGTGCCGGCAAGAACCGTGTTGTCGGATCCAAGCTTAGTCTTGTTGAAGACCTCTTTTGCAAAGTAGGCCACGTCCGCCAGGGCCTGCTCTATCGTGAGGTACTGGTAGTCGTCTAATCCGCCGAGGGGAATACCCTCGTATTCGACAGGGCTGCTGGTGAATTCACCCTCCGAAATGTTTAGCGGAACCGGGTTGCTGGCGCCGTAGTACCGGTGCTCCCAAGCAATGACAACACCACCGAGAGCCTTTGCCAGCTCCATCGGCGCACTGATGGTGCCATCCCACTCTGCCAGCAACATTGCGAGGGTGTCCATGCTGATTCCAGCCTCTCCCCAGTCATACAGGATCACAGGGCCACCTGGTTTATAGTAAGTGTCATTGACAAAGTAGCGGTTGTCGAATGTCCGCGTGTCGGTCGTATTGAAATGGTCTACCGGGATCGTCGCGGTGTATCCTGGAACATCTGGCGGGGATTCGTCATCGGGGGAAAGCTGTCTCTTGAGCATGTGGTGGCCGTTCTTGAATGCGCAGGCCTGTGACAACAAGGCGAACCCGACACCCCATTGCAATACGGGCTTCATGATCATGTCGGCTGGGGACTCTGTCTGCTACAGGTTTGAAGAAACTGCGATTTGAATGTGTCCACGTTTCCTTCATCAAGAGTCGCTGGGTCTGCAGCCGACGTTTTATATAAATAAACTAAAATAAAATAAAAGTAAACACCCCGAGGGTAGTCGTGGGATTCACATCCTTGGGCGCAATTCCGGCCCGCATCCTCCTATTCAAGCCCGCATCCTATCATTTCGGCTGGCTCCAATCCTACCATTTCGGCCCCCATCCTATCATGCTCTCAATGCTCTGCAGTGCCCTGGTCTGTGCCACCCGGCCAAGACAAGCCAAGACAGGTTAAGTTGCCCAGATCCACACTGCTACATCATGGGGTCATCCGCCGGGGCAGTGCCTGGACGGATAGATGATCGAAACAACATATTCAGAGTTGCCATGGGGGCCGTTCGGATGTGCCCGCTCTGAAAGGATCAACTTTCTTATTTTATCTTCCTTTTTCATTACAAGGCAACCCGAATGAGCCGGCTGGGAACCCGGCTAAACCTTTCAGGGCCTCCCGCTGCTTAGCAACTCCTTGCCCAAACATTGGAGACGCATTTCTTCCCGCAATCCCGCCCTGCCCCAAAAGAACATCCTACCCCTGTAATACCTCTTTTGTCCAGCCTCGTGGCCCCTCTCGTAGCAAATCCCGGTAAGAGCTGATGGAGCTGATTGATCGTTTGGGGCGGCGTAGGCTGCATGTTGAAGGGACAGGTATGCAAATCGCCCAACTTTTCTCGCATCTGCACAATTTAACCATCAGACCAGGCCTACTGCCTCCTGGGCTTGTTTGACGTCAACATGCCCCCTCCTGTATGAAGAGGGCCGAGGGGCCTCCTTCAGGCTGCAAGAGGAGATCATGTGCAGACAAACGACGAAAGCATCTTTGCATGGCCGCATCCCCTCGACCAGCAGTCTCATGTTCAACTGACAGGCTTGTTGGCGTCGACACCGGATCTTTTCAAGGACTCTTCCCAAGTCAGCATGGCGGCCGATAAAGGAAAAGCAGGCGTGGCGCCGCGTGGAGCTTCGGAGGGAGGTTATCTGAACGCTTTCGAGCTGGTCCGGCAGCTTTTACAAGTGCAGCTGCCTACCATCTGCCCGCTCCAGGCAATGAAGTTAACCCTCACCGACTCCGTCCTAGGGCTGGAGAGCATCTCGCACATTGTCCCAGAAGCTGACAGCCTGCCGCAAGTAGACCATTGGAAAGCACCCGCCTTAGTCTTTGTTGCCGGTGACGAGACCAGCACGGCTACAGTGTTGATACCCGGGAATGATAACCATCCCTCATCCACTCTGAAGAACACGGACCGCACCGAGGGACCCTCGCGAGACTTAGGCCAAGGACAGGGGGTGAGCAAAGAGCTGGTGAGGGTAGAGGGGTATGTCACTTGGGTTTCGTCCCGTAATACCGTCTTAAATACAAGTTGACTCAGTGGTTCGAGCCCTCGATGCTTTCTTCAGGCGGAGGATTTCTGTCGTCCCAGGGCTCGAAAATCCCCGAGCCCTTCAACAGACCCCCGATCGTCTCCCATATCAAGAGGAACGCAAAGAGGGCCATGACGACGATCATGAAATTCTCAGCGCTGAGATGGTCGTGCGTCTCGGGCAGGGCAATGAGGATCATGGCGATAATGAACCGCATTCCGATCCTCGGCATCTTGGATAAGATCAGGTCCTCGTCTCGCCCGACGCGATACAGCATGCCGTAAACCCACAGACAGAATAACCCAACGCCGAGCCCGCCGCCGAGAAGCTGCCGCTGGCCCTCCTCGAGCTCCCGTGCCCGCGTACTCACGGCACACATGTGGCCGCCGATGAGGAACGACGCCGAGAGCGGCAGGTGTAGCGTGAAGTAACCAAAGGCAGTCCAGGCAGACCGCCGGATCGGGTGCGTGGCCTGCGCGCTCCCGTCGCCGCTCGCGTAGATCCAGTTAAGGACGAAGGCGATGACGAGCGTGCAGACAGCCTTCACGTAGCCCGAGGTCAGGCCGATGCCGGCAGGGTCGCCGACGATGATGCTGTAGACGAACTCGCCGAGGATGATGATGAAGAAGGCGGCCAGGCGGTCGACCTCGTGGGCGATGTCGACGGCCGTGCTGTACGTGAGCTTCAGCTTCCGCTTGATCCACGGGCTCAGCGTGAGGGCCCAGGTGGTCTCTTGGTAGAAGATGAGGACGACGACGATGGCGATCTTGGCCCGGATGCTGACGCGCTCGAAGAAGAGGGGGATGACGAGGAAGAGGCCGACGAACATGGTCCCGGCCATGATGCGCGCCTGAGCGCGGTGCTGGTAGCTTGCAAACGACGCGACCAGGAAGACACTTAGGGTGGTAAACCTCGCCACCATGTATGCGCCAGCTGTCGTTCGCATAGCCCAGATATCCTCATCCACCGCGTTGGCGTTGTTAGCATAGAGCACTAGAAGTGCCATGACCCACAAGATAACCAAACGTTGTATCAGATCGTCAACATAAAACGCGTTACCGATCTCCCTTAGATCTGACCAAATATACCACGCAGGCGCAAAGATGAGCAGATACTTGACGAGATGCTGGCCATCTGGATGTTCGCTGAGTGAATCGGCAAAGTTGGCTACCATGGCGACATCTGTCATGGTCAGAACACACGGACGTACAAGGAAATCCATATATATATATAATATATATGCATGAGAGTCATTTGGAGATTAAGGGCGACAGGATGGGTGGAGTTGTGGGCTAGAGGGAAAAAGCTTACAGAGCAAGTCAAGGAAGAGCTCGAACCGACTCGCTTGTCGCTCCCCCTCGCTCGCCTTGTAGAGCCGGCCATTGTAGAACCACTGTAGAGCTTTGGGCCGTTTGATGAGATAGCACGATGGCTTGGTTTTTTCTTGAAGCTCATCGCAGTTCATGCTGATGGTGGAGCAGCGAGAGGTTGCGTTACTTTGCACTCAGCGCAGGTGAGATAATTACCTTGTTAGCTGAGGCGGAGGGAAAAGGAGAGCGATGGGGGGAGGGGTATCTTTCAGCTGAGATATGCACATACACAAAGTCCTGTCCCGCTCTATATACTCAGTACTACAATATCCGTACTTAAGCAGCTTTGTAGTATTAGGCTAGCCCAAGGTGGACTAGTCTGTCCCTGGACGCAGGTGGCAGAAGCTGGCAATAGCTGCGGCAACTGTCAAGGTCGCCGAGCAAATGGGGACATGCCTGTGGAGACTGCCCAGAAAGTAAGGACACCAACACTAAGCCTTAGGTACACTACGACTAAAATCTCCATGAGTGTACGTCGTAGGCAATATATACTCATTTGGGCTAGGCATTAAGGCACACTCAATTGGGATCGAATGGAATGAAGGAAGGAATCACCGCAGAGGTGCCTTGTACCCCTAGATTCCATACCCCTGCAGGTCTCTCTCGCTTACGCGCTCAGTCTAATTACCTCCTTCTCCGCCACATCTCCCAAATAATTCACATTGCAAACTCGGCATTATCTTCCCACGCCTACGCTGTGTATCTGCCATTGCAACCATGGCGACCAAGAGGAAGACAATTCTAATCACAGGCTGCTCTTCTGGGGGTATTGGTGCCGCCCTTGCCCGCGCCTTGGCCAACCAGGGCCACCACGTCTTTGCGACGGCGCGGAACACCGCCAAGATACCCGCCGAACTCACCGAGTTATCCAACGTCTCGACGCTGCAGCTCGACGTCACATCACCCACCTCAGTCGCACACGCCGCAAGTGTCGTCGGCGAAGTCACGGGGCAGCTGCAGGGCGTCAGGGGACTCGATGTGCTGGTCAACAACGCCGGATTCGGGTACACGATGCCGATCCTCGATATCGACATAGAGGAGGCTCAGAAGGTCTACGACACGAATGTTTGGGGGCCATTGAGAACCATCCAGACCTTTTCCGACCTCCTGATTGCGAGGAAAGGACGCGTGGTCAATGTGAGCAGCCTGAGTGCAGTTCTGAACCCGCCGTGGTATGGTAAGCATTAAAACTTCCGCCTTCAGTCTCCGAATCCTTCACTTGAGTTGGCCATCTCACACAATTCCCCTCCCCATTGCAGCGACGTATGCCTCCTCTAAGGCGGCCCTAACTACCCTGTCCGAGACGCTGCGCCTCGAGCTCGCCCCCTTCGGCGTCAGCGTCGTCACCATCATGCTCGGCACCATCGCCACATCGTTCCACACCAACGAGCCCACCCTCGTGCTGCCGCCCACGTCGCGGTACGCTGCCGCCCTCGACGCCATCACCACCTGGTCAAAAGGTGAAGCTGGTCCCCAGAGGGCCCCCCTCGAGGACGCTGTGAAGTCGCTGCTCCCCGACATTGTTGGGGAGTCGAAGAGCGGACAGACATGGAGGGGCCCATTTAGTGCGATTGTTAGGTTTGCGTCAACATGGTTGCCAACGTTTATTCTTGTAAGTGTACCTATGCTGGTGTCAGTTCCATGCGGTGGGCATGTCTATGTTACTAACACTCCGGTTGATCTAGGACTACCAGCTCAGCGCAGGACATGGACTCGATATGGTGTCTGAGAGTCTGAAGAAATAATTAGAAGTAGCTTGATTTGTTTTCGACGGTGAAATGTGTCAACACATTCTATTTAATACACCATTACACCATATTACCTCATTTATCGTCACTCTTGTCTCCCTTACGATCCAGATTCCCAAATCCCACCCTGGATTGTTCAGGGTCATTTCCATGATAAAACTGGCCTATTGGTATAGAGAGAGTAAAATCACGGCACGTCAAAGTGAATGGACAAAAAAATGGAGGTAATTACCTCTTCTTCTGCCAGCCCGCCCTACAGCGACATCATCTCCTTCACCGTGGCCAAGATCTCGTCAGGTTTATTTGCACACAGGCTGCCATGACTCTCCCCTGGACGACACGGAGCTCTGCCTTCGGCATCAGAGCGAGCCCCTTCTTCACCATAGCTAGCGGGACATTCACGTCTTGGTCTCCATGCCAGACAACCATCTGCCCCGGCTCGATCTCCAGCTCATCAAGCCCAAACCCCCACATGCTCCCGAGCATCCTCGCATCCCAAGCCGCAGGATAAGACCCTTGCCTGAGCGCCTCGCGCAGACTGTTCACGATGGCGGGTCGAAGCTCCCTGTTAGACTCCCACGCGTCCCGGTCGGCGCCCGGCCTCGACCTCATCATGTCCTCCAGCGCCTGCTCCAGCCTCTCGGGGTGCCCCGTATCCTGCGCTACCTCCCCAAACTGCCAGTCCATATCCCAAGCCACGAGACTCGTAGCCCAGGGCGCAACCCACAGCAGGATGTGGGACTGGAGCAGCATGTCGGCCGTGCCGAGAGCCGCAGGGACGATGCCGGCCACAATGCCGACGGCGACAACGCGGCTGCGGCATGGCCGTGCGCGCCACCATGCGAGGGCATACAGAGCCCCGCCGAGACGCCCAGCACGGCGAAGCGGGAGACGCCCAGGTGGTCGGCCAGGGCGAGCACGTCGGCGGGCCCGTCGAAAAAGCGGCGGTCGGGCTGGAAGGTGGACGACGAGCTGCCGGGGCGCGAGGGCGCGATGATGCGCAGGCCGTGGCGGGCGGTGGGGGCGGAGAAGAGGGCTGCCTCGTGGTGCGAGGCCGGGAAGCCGTGGAAGTAGAAGACGGTGGGCGTGTTGCTGGCCATGGCGCCGTAGATGTCGTAGACGAGCTCCCGCCCGTCGGGGAGGGTTAAGGACTTGGTGGTGTCCTCCATTTGTGTGTATCTCGAGGAGATGCTGAGGGCCGAGAGCGACTAGAGTGGGTTTGTTCTTGGTCTAATATCTCTCTTTTCGGGTCTGACGATGCTCAACTATGTCAAGTGAGAATTAAAGTGAGAAAATAGAGGCAGGCCAAGTTTTCGTCTTCTTTTTCTAACGTTTACCATTTGGAGATGATGAAACTTGTCATTCGCATGCTTACTTCAGATGTGCTATTAATATTTTTGGTGGGAGCTGAGCCACAATTCCACGTCCTCAACTTCGTCTTGGCACATATTGTAGTACATCATAACATTATAGGTTATTACTGGACCATAAAAACCTCTAATCACTTGACTTGTCCACGTCAGTATGCCTGTAAATAGGTCAGGGCACAATCTTGCCGCAGGAGAACTACCCAAGATTCGGGGCAGCTAGAAACAAAAGAATTCAATTGCCAACAATCCTGCGAGTTGCCTCTGCTGTCTGAGAAGCAAAAGGGACAACGGGTCAAACTCCTTGTTGCATATCGAGTGGGACTTGGTTTGATATGGACGTACAGAAATCTTGCCAAGGTTCCCAAGTCACACTGCTCGACTGAGCATTGTACGACACCATGTGTCCTCGAACGGCGTCTGGTAAAGGCCACAAGTCTGTCGTGCGGATCTTCCGGGCCTCTGCAACATGAACTGTTTAGGAGGGCATTGGAAGTGGCGTTAGGTAATGAATCATACAGAAGACACAGAATATACATTGAAAGCGTTGTCCTTGCGTATAAATGGCGTTTCCCTGTCCTACATGTAACGGCTTGTGGCTAGTTCAGTTATGGGACGTTGTGAAGCCACAATCCCGGGTGAGCTTGGTGACTCCTGACCTGACAGCTATATCGCTAGCTACTTGCACCGCTCAACAAACTCGTACAAAGAATGAGGCTTTAAGCGATATTGAATACAGTGTAGCAAAATACTCTATCTGGACTAGAAAGTTGACGGGCTATTTCATGTTATTGCCCATCTCAGGAGGTGACCCTCCGACCCATTTGGATAATCGAAAAGTCGACAGAAGAGATAACAATCTATAGTTATTTGCTTCGGAGCAATCATAATATAGCCCTAGCCCTGGGGCTGGATCTAATAGGGTGTAGCTGAAGTGGCTGAGCCCCCAGGATGGAACCGGGACTGGATCGGGACCAGGCCGGAACCCCCGCCGGCGCTGGGATTTAAAATGGGTCCAATCCCCGGTAACATGATACCTTCCGATGCACCGGAAAGTCCGCCAGCATGGTGCAGATGGTCAATTATGAGGTTGATAGTGCAAAAATCGGCACTGAAACCCTCTCAAAGCTTCTACTCTCAACATACGAGGCAGGGGCAATCTCGAGGGCCCCGTCAATACAGCTTAACGGCCAGAAACCCTCCCCCCCCCTTCCCCCCCCGGGACAGTGGAAAGGCGGGGTTTATAGCCAGCCCAAGTGACTTGAGCCGGGCAACAATGCAAGCATCTAAACTCCCAGGGGCCGCTAACCTAAGATGTAACTGGCCATTATAATTCAAACCGACTAGAAGCCAACAGTGAGCTCAACTAGAGACATGGAAAAGCACCTTGCATATATGATAGATGATGTTCCGCCTGTAAACCTCACTCGACCGCGCGACTTGCATCAGTGGGGCTTGTGGAACAGAAGTCAATCATCAGCTATCTACAGGAGAATAAACAAATATGAGACGCATGGGGAGGAAACAAGAGCACAGAATCAACGACATTAACCATATCCAGCAAGGCCTTTCCGTGCTGCTGGCGTTGCGATCCCAGGAAGGGATCGTTCATGGTGTTTCTGTTGGGCTGCAGAAAGTCAATGTGCGGCTGCAAAGGAGTGTCAGTAACTTGGGCACCACAGCGTGAAATTCAGGCCTCCCGTCAGCCACCAGGTCTGGGATTAGCCAATCAAAACGACCATAGTTACCAGGATGGTCAACATGGTGTGAACATGAACAGCCACTTCAGCCATCTGCAGGCAAGGTCCTTTAATATCACCCAGTCACGCCAGTCAGGCTTGATAACGCCTACAGCTTTTAGCGCTGTGGCGCCCTCTCGTCCAGGGAGCCATAACCGGAATGGGGCGAAGGGGGTTGCACCACTTGTTGGGCGTTTACCTACCTTCACATTCGAGGCATAATTATTTCCGAGGCCTCTGACGTTGCAGAATGAAACCCAGACCCTCGTTCCTCCAACCCCACGGATTTTCCCATGGCAGACGTTTAATAGTTTTCTGCATTTCAACGAACGACCACCATGGCTGAGGCTGTTGCCGGTCTCAGCCTTGCGGCGACTATTCTCCAGGTCCTCGACTTTGGCAAACAATTCCTTTGCGCGGCATGGGCCATTTACCGGTCTAGAGCCGAGGGTATCGACCTCCTTTCCGATCTGCAGAGCATCACGAATGACTTCGACTCCGTTCTCGGGGAACTTGAAGGGGGTGCTGCTCGGGATCGTGCTCTGCGCTCAGCAAAGGGCGATGATGATGGCATCTTCTTGTTGGCCGAAAAATGCGCAGCCGTTCTGAGTGAGATGCTGCAGTCACTGGCAAAGATCGGGGCGCCCGGGAAGGGCCGCAAGCGCGATGCCGTCAAGACGGCCTTTAAGCTCGCGTGGAAGAAGGACGACATCGAGACCCTTCAAAAGCGGCTGGAGCAGTTCCGAGACGAACTAAACCTCCATTTGGTCTTCTCGCTCAGGTGAGTTTCTGAGGTCTCCCAACCCGAAGTGGGTTTGTTCATTTGGCTCACGACTTTCTCCAAGGGTCACTGCAAGAATGGGTCTGGAAAAACAAGATGAAATCCTTAAACAGCTCCGTATGACCAAGGGAGGTAGCCAAGGTCTCTCTGCCGGAGAGCCCGGTGACGTGAAAGACGCTGCAAAAGGATTCGGTTCGATGGTGGTTGAATACCTCACCGAAAGATTGGAGCAACCCGACGCTGGGAGAGCTGATCTCCTGAAGACTCTGGTCGGCGCCATATACAACGGATCGGAAGTATCAGACAATACACCGGCTTCGAACATTTATCTCTCGGATCGTCGGAGAGAGATGCTACAGCAAAATCATAGCCAGGCTCTACTATCGCGGTATGCAAGACAGGGAACATGGGATTCTGCAAGCTCACGAGAAAACCTTCCGGTGGGTGTTCGAAGACAGCGGCCAGGTTTCTGTTCCCTGGTCGGACCTGAAAGAATGGCTCGCATCGGACAATGCAATCTACTGGATCACCGGAAAGGCCGGATCTGGCAAGTCAACCTTGATGAGATATATATCTCAACCAATCCCCAATCCCGGGGAGGAGGAGACGATGGCGATCCTTCCGAGTCCCATGACCCATCAGCCTCGGTGCGCTCAGTATCTGAATAAGTGGGCCGGTGATGAACTGCCGCTCATAATGGCATCATTCTACTTCTGGGCTGCCGGATCGTCCAAGACCCAGACGTCACAAGCCGGCCTCTTTCGCAGCATCCTATATCAACTCCTCAAGGCATCTCTCGAGTCCATCCCCGTGATAGCGCCCAGTCGATGGGAAGCATTGTCTCTGTTTAACGAAGACCCGAGGGACTTTACTGAGGGGGAGCTTGGTGAGACGCTTTGCCGGGCTGTCAAGCACATTGCGGCGACGTCGAAAGTTGCTCTGTTTGTGGATGGCCTGGACGAGTTTGAGGGAAATCCGGGAACACTGATTGCGATAATACGCCGCCTCACCTCGAGTTCTCCCATCAAGATGTGCGTCTCGAGTCGTCCTTGGGCCGAGTTCGAGGACGAATTCAGGAGCAAACCAAACCTCAGGCTCGAAGATCTCACCCAGTCGGACATCAAGAACTATGTCGCGGCCAAGCTCCACGAGAATACATACTTTGCCCAGCTCCAGGCCACGCAGGGCAAAGTTGCAGAACAGCTTATCGGTTCCATCGTCGAGAAAGCGTCTGGCGTCTTTTTGTGGGTTCAACTCGTCGTTGCCTCGCTGCTAGAAGGCCTGCGCAATGGGGATCGGGTCGAAGACCTTGCGAGAGCCTGGCACTCCTTCCTGTCGAGTTGGAAGACCTCTACGGAAGGATTCTGGACCAGATTGACCCATTATACCGGGAACATGCCTCGCAGTACTTCCAGCTGATGCGGTCATACACCGAGCCGCCCTCACTTCTCCTTTTTTCGTTCGCAGATGAAGTTGCCTTCACTGACTTCGCCCTGAATCTCAACCCTGCGACACTGTCGAACACGGAGATTATCATTCGACTCGATGATATGCGCCGCCGCTTGAACAGTCGATGTAAGGGCCTGCTTGAGGTCAACAATGCTAGCCGCAGGCTGATCCACGGTCGCTTCGATTCTGGTGGTACTGTTCAGTATCTACATAAAACAGTTATGGAGTATATTGAGCGTCCCAATGTGCGAGAAGATCTTGACAGTCATCTACAAACCTTGTATGACCCCAACGTCAGATTACTAGCTGCAGCCGTGGCCGAGATCAGTCTGTCTGGGGCAATGGTCCAGGTGTCTGCTTACTCTAGTGGCAACATTGTCCTCCGTTGCCTGAACTACGCAGCTTTCTCTCATTCAAGTCACAGCAAAGATGTAGTCCAGCTCCTGGACAAATTGCGTCGGGTTACGTCTCTGCCAATGACAGAGACCGCTCGGGTCGTCCGCTTCTTCACAAACAATGCCGGAGCTGTCCGAGACGATGACGATTTTCTCTGTCTTGCCGCCGAGAGCATGGTCGTGGAATATGTCAAGGCCAAGACAGATTGGGGCTGCTGTCTCACTCTTGAGTCACGGGGAATACGTCGAGGACTCTTACGATCGTGGGTTGGCAAGCTTGGGGGAGTACCGCACAAGCCACTATCCTTCTCTCTAATCTCGGCCCTGGACTTGCACCATCCCCTTAGCCCTACAATGTTTCGGATGCTATTAAACAAAGGTGCAGACCCAAATCTTCGCCAAAGCACGTACTTTTATGCTGGGGTAACGCCGTGGCATCTGGTTCTTGGAAGCATCATCGTCGCATTCTCTTCCAACGCCTCCGTCAGCGAGGAGGAGCTGTCGAATGTGTCGGATTGCGCAAGAGTCATGATCGATCATGGCGCCAATATAAGTCGAGACATCGTCCGTAAGGCTTATGAGGAAGGGATGGATTGGTTGGAGCTCATTCCTACGAAAGATAGCGGCCAGCGTAGAGCCATCATTGAACAAGTATATCAGGCCCTGAAACGTATCAAGGTGGGTAAGCAATCAAGTCTTGTAATTGATTGCGAGTACATTGTCAGGCGCCAGAACGACAGATTCATAGTGGGAGTGGGGAAAGCAGGGCTAGGTGCGGTGGCGGAGCGGCTGGTCGGTGGGAGAGGGCACTCTGTGGGTTAGATACGAGGCGTCTCTGCCTTGCTTGACCTGCTGGCGGAACCCTGACCCCTGCGATGAAGAGGGTACGATGAGTGACAACATAGAGGGAAATGATGTGTTACGTAGATCTTGACACCACATGCCAGCTGTGGAATGGCGCAGGCCTTGACAAGCAGGTGGCGATGGAGGTGCCTCATGAGGGACGGTGGAACCGGGGAATGGAAAGAATCATGGAGTTGGAAAAATGGGAAGAGAAGATGCAGCAAAATGCGAAGCCTAGAGTAGGTATGTAGTCTCCATTTAAGTTATCCTTGCTTCTATCCAAACTGCAAGACAGTGAAAAGTCGGCCACATCCTTTCTTTAACTACCTTGAGGTGCAGCCCCCATCGGCCATAGGGGCAGACCCAGTTACGAAAGAGCTCCTACCCCCCGCTAGATAAAGAACACTATCATCCATCCCCTTTGCGCTCCCCATCCGCCGCATGGGTACCGCGGTGGCCACGCGCTTCTCCATCGTCCTGAGGACCTGCGGGTTCTTCGTCGTTAGCGGCGTCTCGGCATAGCCCGGGCAGATGGCGTTGATTCCTTGGCCTAATCCTCGGATGCCATCCTCGTCAGCCCAGTCACCGCATGCTTAGTCGCCGTGTACGCCGTCGACAGCGTAATGCCAACCACGCCCTGGATGGACCCAAAGTTGACGGTGGACCCGCGCTGCAACAGCCTGCCGTCGATGGTAGACTGCATCGGTTCCTGCCCCACCATGACCTTGGCGGCCGCCCTCGGGACGAAGAAGGTCCCCGTGAGGTTGATGTCGATGACGCGTTGCTAGTCGGCCGTCTTGGCGGATGCCGCCCCGCCTTCGTGCTTTATCGCGATGCCCGCGGCGTTGACGACGTAGTCGAGTCGGCCGAACTTGTCAGCTACTTCGTTGACGACTTGGTCGACGTGGTCTTCGTCGGTGACGTTATTGGGGTATATTTTGACCCTCCATGGTGTCCCCCTTGATTCGTCTCGGCGTTTGTCGAGTTCGCCCTCGGTCTCGGCCTTTACTGCTGCTGAAGCTTCCTGGTTGACACCCAGGAGTGCAATCCCGGCAGAGCCTTCATTTTGTAAAACGCGGTCTGAAAGTGACTGCACAGAAGAGGAGGGCGGAATCTATCGAGATTGCGAGAGTCATTGCGTTCTTGCATAGCGATGAGGCATCCTTAGTGACTGGCGCCGTCTACAACGTCGATAGCGGGTGGGTGTGTTGAGCGGATCAAGTATTGACCAGTCCTTCTTCCAACAAGAAGGATTCCTACTCAGATGTAATCCTCCAACTCAGCTTATGACTGTGGCTTGTGTATTAACCAGATTTCCCGCTATTCTGTGGCTGCTTCCACCGCATCTCTTGTTTCAGAAAGCCTTTGATGGCTATTTTGACCTGACTAACCTTCCAGTTCCAGTTCTCCCGACTATCCCTCCCATCTTTATCCTTGGGTGCATCCACAATCTCCCTAGGGATGCCGTCAAGAGTTAGATACCGCCCGAGGTGCACGATTCGGCCTTTCCCCTTCTGCGTAATCCCCTTCCCTTCCTTCGCCACGAGAGCCTTCCTTAGCCTAATCATGTTATCGTGCTCTCGCCCGGTGAACACCATGATGTAGTCGTACTTTTTGAACACGTCCTTCTGGAGACCTCGTGATCGATGCGCGCCTATGTGTTCCTGGACGGACTTCTTGAAGGGGAAGTTGTATGCCCCGTTATCAAACAACGCAGCCAACGCAACTTCCTTGGGTTTCTTGTTCCCTTCGGCCATGGGAAGCCGGTAGGATGGATACGAGAATTCGAGGCTGTCGATGGTGTCGACGACATCACTCCCTCTCTTGACGAAGAACCCTGCAGAATGGACGATTTTCACCCGCCAATCGCCGCCTGCGCCGAGAGTCCACTCCTTGAGTAGCTTCATGAGAGCCTCCGCCACGACACCCCGAGCGATATTGGTAGGGTCAACAAAGAGAACTCGGTAATCCTGCCGCGAAGCTACAGGCGAAGGGGAAGGTGACGGCGACAGCGGCAACTTCGGCCCGCTGCCCGCATTCGTCGTAGGTCCCGGTGTAGCGAGATTCTGCTGCGCAGCAGCTCCAACACTGCCGCCCACAAGCAAAGCGTTGATCCCAATGCAGCCCATAAGCTGGAGATGGTCCCTCAGATCCTGCCGATGCAGTTCGATGTCATCCGCCAAGCCCGAGAGCTTCTCGGGGCTGCTGCCCAGCGCAAAGTAAGCTTGCGCGAGGGTCTTGAAGCGGAGCTGGAATCCAAAGGGCCCGATGTCGTTGTTCCATTTGTAGAACAGCGCCTGTACCTTGGATGAGTCGTCGCGGATGTCCTCGATGATGGATAGCAGCTCTTCTGTCTGGGCTGGCCGCAATCTGGCGAGGGCGTGCTCTTTTTTCTCGCGCAGGAATAGCTCGAGGTGGGCGAGGAGGGCGTTTAGCCGTTCCATGCGTTTGCCTATCTTGCGCATCTGTTCCGGTGCGTCTTGGATCTTTTGGTACATTTCAACTGCCTTGTTCACAATCTCGATCACCTGGAGAACGGTATCGAGTGACAGCGACATGTTGTCGTCAGGCGTGAGATGGAGTAACGAGGAAGGATGGGGATAGACAGTCTGATAGGTTCGGTTCCAATTTTACAAGAGGAATACGAGGAAGATACCGTTGGAAATAATAATGGAATTATGGATCAATGCTGAATGTGCTGTGTGCAATTGATTGTTGTCCGGCGTTGGTGTTGATGTGAAAATGCCTCAGCTCTCAGGTATCAAAAAATTATCCCCGAATTACCCCGCACAATGTTGTGACACACGTCAGATGATCCAGATGTTGTCGTTGATGAGGTTATTTTGCAGAAGAACATGGAGAGAGTCTAGTGAATGGTGATGGCAAATCAGTGGTCTTCTCTCATAATTATAGGCTCAATACGCTGCAAGAGGGTTACTCGCCCTAGACATTGGATGGTAAGGTTGAGGGCCAATCCACCCCCAACACCATTTTTGCCCTTGCCCTTGACATCAACGCTCATTTGGCCCGCCCAAGTCTGGGCAGGAGACTCGTCCACGACGGAATCCCCGTGTCCCCCGGCACCCGACTTGCCGCCCGACGCCTCCCCGCCATCCCCCTTCGTCCTGTTCTTGCCGCCGCGCTTCCCCCGTTAGCTTGCTTGTTGTGCATCGACTAGGAAACGATGACTGCGGCCTTGCACCATCACTACTACCACCACTACTTTCAGGGACGACCTCCGCGGCCGGCGCACAACCCATCCCACGCCCCCGCCCCCGCGACCGCCACCACCACCATCAAGCATGACAGTGATCTCACGCATCTGCGCAGCGTCGCGGCACATGCCGGCTTCAATCTGAGCAGCCTGGTGCAAGATCCAGGCCAGGCGCTCTCAGCCAGCAATGTAGCACGCCACCAAGTCACGGGATTCTGCCTCCAGGGCCGGGTAAACGGCAGTAACAGCAGACGTAGTTGTCGTTGCTGCTGCGGCGTCGCGGAGGAGCGAGTCTGGGATGGCGCATTTGTTGCTTGCTAGTGACGGCGGGGGTGGGTAACCTTCTGCTTGGCCTCCTGTTCCTATCCGTCCTCGCGTGTATGTGTGTATGCGGATGTCTTGTCTAGGACTGAGCAAGAGGGGTGCGGCGATGGAGTCGACAGGGGCTCTGCTGTTGACTGACCCGACATACTGCCTTGTCGGAAGCCGGGAGGAGTGGCCGAAAACCGGCTGCGCGAAGCAGCAGGGAGAGTAGCACCGCACGCTGTCACCGCCTCGCAGTCGGCGGCGGTGGAGGCTGCAGCTCCTCGTCCTCCCAACGAACACACGCAGAGTCCGAAGCCCTCGGCCGACAGTTCCATACCCTGATGATGCTGTCGGCCAGGGTGCGCCGTGAGCTCGACTCGTGACGCCGTTTGAGAGTTGCGAGGCAGGTCTGGAGGCGGGCTTGAGTCTAAAACAGGGGGTGGCTAAATTTGACTTGGACATGGTCGCCTTGGGCATGGGGATGTGACACGGAAAGGGAAGACATGGAGTTGCGGATTGCCTTTGTCAAGATCGAGAGATTGGAGTACAAGTTCCTGCGCGTAATGAGGAGCCACGCCTCGACGACTCGGCTAGGGGAGAGGTCCAGCCCTTCTACGGTGCCGCTCCCACGTCGGGGTCTTGTGGCCCCGGGCTTGGGGACGGCGGCTACCGTCACCTCAACTCGGACTCGGACGCGACGATCATGCAAGAGTACAAAACTCGGATGGAGTAGCTAAAGCGCCGGTAACCATTTGAAAGGAATTCCGAGAATCCACTCTCTTACACCTTAAATAGCATGCTTCTCTTTATCACATCCATTATCTCAGCCGCCTTCTTTGCAACATCTCTACACTCAGCTCCGTATGTCTCGTTGCCAGCCACCTCGTTGAATCTATCCCTCCACAATACCCATCTCTCCAACTCGATAGGCCCATGCTCCTCGGGCTCACCAACAAGCCACCTCGGTACCTTGTCATCCTCCACCAGGTCCTCGGGGCTCAGCACAAGCTTAAATAGTCCCTGGCCATGCCACAGGACCAGCTGCGCCGCGCCAAGAACCCACGCATCCCGGACCTCCGGAGTCTCCTCGTTGTGTCTCCTCTCCAAAGCGCGGCTGAGGATAGACAAGGGAGTCCTCGACCAGGGGCGAAAGATGCCGATGGCCAGGACATTGGCAACAAAAGCCACGTAGTTGACGAACCTATCCGAGGAGTACTCGGGATCTGACTCTTCTCTTGGCTGCAGGTTGGCATCCGTGAGGTCTATCCCAAGCGTCTGGTAAAAGGCTTCGAGCTCCCCGTTCTAAATGTTTCGCAGTTGATTAGTTGTTGGCTCAGTAATTTCTTGGCAAAGCCCTCCCTCCACTTACATTCCACCCGCCCTGATTGAGCCGTTCCGTACTCCTTCCCATGCACCACAGCAGTCTTGCGAGTTTCTGTTGCGAGGGGTGGTGGTAGGGGATCTGCGCGGCGAGCTCTAGGCAGACGATGATAATGGCGCCATAGTCGACTTCATGGCCGGGGAATGCCTTGAGAATACAATTGACCGCATCGCTTGTTGACAAGGAGCTTTCTGGTTGGAGAAAGTCGCAAAAGACCAGAAAGATCATGTAGTGAAGGGCGTGGAACCCCTCGGGGACTGCGGTCGGGGGTGTGCTCAGCCATTTGAACCTGGGAACCTTGGTTCGGATGTCCGACAGGAAGCTAGAGAATGTATTCGCCTGCCTGTCGAGATTTCCAAGGTCTCCAAGGGCATCAATGTTGAGCTTTAGGGTGACCATGGCGTGTGAAAACAGTTTGCAATGGAGAGGGAGAGGGAGAAGGAGAGGGAGCTTAAGTAGTAGTGTCCCCGGGATGCGGGGAAGAAGAGCAGTGACCGAGTATTCTACGCTTGCTACCCGAAAGGATTTCGGGACACGGCGCTGGTTGGTTCTCAATCCCTGTGATTCGTTCCTTGCCTAAGGTTGACAGACGGGCGACAATCTGAAACTGTCTGTAAATATAAAAATTTGGCAAGCCCAATGATGGGAATTCTCAACCGCTGTGTAGTCGCCGAGGCCCCCTGCGTTTGCAACGGCTAAAAGCAACGTCGCTCAACTATTGCCTATTAACCAATCGCTGCCTCTCTCTCCAACCCAGCATCGAACCACACCACATAGTAGGAAACAGCGATGGGATCGAGGAAAAGCTAACCTCCGTAGCACAGTTGGTGTCCACCAATGCAATCCACTCCGAACCGCCGTGGTACCTAGACTTGCTTTGCATCAGGCGGTTTCAAGACGACCAGCCTCACATATAGAATTAGATGTGCTGAGCCAGAAATAGAAAGCCTGTGTCAGGCTAGATTCAACCTTCGCCCCTCCATGATCACTGCTTATATGCACATCATGAGGGCGGGGGGATTAATATATGCCCCTTCCTCTTCACAGCTGTCATGCAGCTTGTTCACCTCGTTCTTTGCAAGACCCAGCTCCCCAAGACTGTCCTTTGCGTCTCTTTTCGTTTACCCAAGGTCTAAGAGTCTCGACTTCTGCTTTAAGGCAGCATGTGTTTCGGGAGCGATGACGATGACTCGGCTCCTCCACGTCCGCTTCAGGTCTGTACACTACTTGCTCCCAAACGCCATTGCCTCCAGGAGTCGAATCGAAAATCCACAGGGACTGACGCAACACTAGGAATACGACCTCGAATATCTTCAAATCCGCCGGCGCGCCAGCAGCGTCAAGCGACACCTCGACAATGGCCCCGCCGTGAAGGTCGGCTACAACGGGGCGCGGTACCCACACAAGTACCACAACAGGAACGGGCCCAACGCCCCGCTCTTCCCGCCGGGCAGCTTTTACGAATACCCGACGAAGGACTTCCCGTACCATCTGCAGAATGCGAAGGGGAAGATCCGGACGCCGTCGGGGAACCATTTCCTTGGCCCGGCGGAGGAGAGGGCCATGAAGGGCCACACACGGACCATCACCGACCGCAATAAGAGCCTCCAGGGGGTTATCTATCACCACGACGCCGGGTCAAATGCATTCATGCGTGCGAGGGAAATTAGGGAGCCTAAGGGGCCTTGGAAATGGTAAGAAAGGCCAAGGCTATGGATGGTATCTTACGGGTGGCGAGGATGCGAAGGGTCCTATTGGTATAGTGGCGGCGTAGATGGGCAAGAAGGGAGGGAACATATCGGTTTATTTTGTAACTGTTTCTGTTATTAGGCACTTGCATCTCCAAAGCTCCCTGTACGAGGGGCATGTGCTGGTTAATAAGCCATGCGGCTACCTTGAGCATCCCCAAGTGTTGCCAACAATCGTGTCATTTTTCGTTTTCTCAGTTTGTTTGCATGGGACACAGGGCTCTCCGACGCGCTTTATCCCCCCGGTCCAAGCAGAGATCATCATGACCTTCAGCATGGCAGACCTCTTGGGCCCAGCCAAGAAGATCAGGTGGTGGGGGCAGCCGTTTTAGAGAGAGTGAGGGAGACCGGAGATGAGAATCAGGAGATCACACCATCTTCCTGCTTCCTCCTGCCGACTCGCCGAGACTTTCGTGATGCGGCTTTACCTTGCTACTGCCATAGGTATTTGGCATGTGACATTGTGGACATGTAATTCTATTGGAATGGTGTTGGGTATTGGAAGGAAAAGGGGGGATGGCTGTTGGCTACGCGAATCCTTCCGTTCTCCTGCCATTCGGCAGGCGCTGAGGCAACTACAAGACACGGCCCCACCACGGCCCCACACAGCAACCTGTCGGAGGAACTTCATCGGCCAAGCAGGAATAGAAAGAAAAATAAATTTTAGGATAACAAACCACACTCGCAATGCAATGTTTGGAAGATGTTTGTCGCTTAATTGAGGGCAATTGATTAGCCTTAATCTTGTGTCCCCCAAACGGCGCTGTCCATTTCCCGATTGTGTCTCTGACAGGGTTGGTCCAGTTCAATCAATGACCTATAATTAATGCCAAACAAAAGGACGCACAATACGAATTCTCAACCAACGAAATAGTAGAGAAACCTGTGTCGCTTCATCCATGGCAATTGATTGATATTATTTTCATACATGAAAATGGAGGTTGCGAACATTTCAATCTGCCCCATCACGCGGATGGACCTGCCTCAATACATCAGCAAGTGGCCTCGAAAAAGAAAAGAGAGCATCATTCCAAGCGCAACAAACCATTGCGTCTGTAGCAAATGTGAAATTATGTATCGCTTAATTGAGAGCGATTAATTGACGGCATCTTTTTTGATTTGCTTCCATTTTCTAGTGCGGGTAGTTGGCGATGCTATCAATGCTTGACTCCCTGTAATTAGATGCTGCGAACAGAGGGGCATGGTGGAATTGAAAGCCGATAAAATAGAGAAAGAAAAAGAAAAAGAAAAATAGAAGAAAAAAGAACCTGAATGGAATACACACCGCACAACCACAAGTAAAAAAGTATCAAGCAAAAATTACCAAATAAAAAAAAAATTTTAACAACCGAAGGGAATTGAGCCCTACGTGGGGGTCGAACCCACAACCTTGAGATTAAGAGTCTCACGCTCTACCGATTGAGCTAGCAAGGCGGCTGTTGTTGTTGCTAATTTCCGGCGCAAACCTCGCTGATATAGCTTTGTGGAGGTCGCACCCACAACGCTTTCTGAGTTACGGTGGCGAACGAGATACGGAGGATTGTAACTACTATCGACCCCTATCGATCCCCGGGCCAACCCTCAAGAGAGGCCATCGGAATACGTTGTGCCAGATGGCCCCTTTCGGGACTGAGCTGCTAGCTGGCATATATGATGTCACTGGTGGCGGCGAGCTGTACATTATTATTGCTGACTTCCGGCTGGTATACTCAACGATCATTCTGCAACCACACTTTCGGCCCGGTCCCCAGAACGCTCGGCGCTTGGAGTGTTTGGACGCTGAGGCCGCGAGTTCGTCGGAACCGTCGCAGATCCATTCCCTCTCTCGTTACCAATACTTGGCAGCATACCGAAGAAAATGGCGTGCCCAAATGTTTTCGGGTCGGCGAGGAAGTCCGGGTTGGAGAAAATATCGTCCTTACAAATGGCGCAGCGATACGCCCACTGCATGCATGTTACCTGCACATCCTTCTGCTGCGCCTCCACTGCGGCAATGGTGAGGGGCCCTTCTCGCCTGCAAACCAATCGGTCACACTGTTAAGCGCCAAGGACAGAGCCTGATTTCTTGTCTCTGGTCGCGAAAGTTGGCTGCTTTTAACTTTCTTCCCTCCACCATCGTTGCCAACGCCTACTTTCATCCGATGGTTTTCACTATCATCTATACTTGATCCCAAGAGACCTGAAATTACTCCACTCATTGATTACTTCCAGTAATTAGTCCTCCATGGCAGACCCTCTTTCGCTGCTGGGTCTGGCAGCCGGCCTCGTCTCCCTCGGCCTGCAGACCTGCAGCGGCATCACAACGTACCTCGGCGCCATCAAATGCCGTGCAGAGGACATTACGTCAATCAGACGCCAGAACTACGCCCTGAATAGCGTCCTGCAAGCCATAGAACCGTCGCTATCCCGCCTGCCATCCGACCATCAAGCGTCTGTGGCCGCAGTGCAAAGTTGCTTCCAATCCTGTGAGACGGAGCTCAAGGCTCTGAAGACCTTGGTCGACGGACTTGCTCACAATAACGCGTCAAACGCTACCGTCAAGGACAGAATCAAGGGCCAGGCGAAGAAGCTAAGCTATCCCTTCAACCGCCAGAAGCTCCAGCAGTTGGAAAGCAGATTGAACCAGGCCAACGCCGGATTACAGCTGGCCTTGCAGAGTTTAGGACTGTCCGCAATCATCCCACGTTTCTCCTTATTGTGCTGCTACAGTGGTACTAACAGTTTAACAGGGACTTATCTTGCTTAAGCGCGCAGGAAACCACGGCAATCGTCGAATCGACCAATGCCGCCCTCTCCGCCGGTCTCTTGACCATTCAGTCGGAGGTCGCCACACTTCATACACCTCTCATGGAGATCCGCGGAGGCTTGCCTGAACTCCAGCGAGGCGTTGAATCCGTCAGCAATCTCCTCTCACTTGAGATAGGAACCATGTCGACCGTGGTCATGGAAAGCAATCGTGCCTTAAAAGACGACACTCGAGCTACGCGGAGATGCGTAGACCTATCGTTGAGATCGCAGCAGGAGCAACTTCATAGGATTGAAAGTCAGCTCAACAGCCTCTGTGGGGAGCTGGATCTTAGTCAGATCTCGCGCAAGAACCGAGACCGGGCGAGCGTTAGTAACCTACCTTGTAGTTATAACAGGGCTGTGAGCGTATGGGAACTTACAAGGACACCTACAGGAGACTGAAAACGTCCTTCTTAGTCGACTACTCGGCAAACCCGGCAACCTGAGGCAGATTTGCGACCAAGTTTCGGTCCACAGCGGCTTCGCAAGAGCAAATCCAGGAAACACCAACAGCCCTATCTTCACGATCCCTCCAGACAGTGCGGCCCTTCAAACAAGCAGAGTTGCGTCATCTCTGGCGGCGAATTGTCCAGCATGCTCTTGTCCTAGGCCTCAGCGGTTTTCTTCCGTCAAGAGCATCCGATTGGGATCGCTGTGCCTCTACGATGAATCATCCGCCGAGGAGCATTTCCCAGGCTGCCCTGCTTCCCGAGCCAACACGAAAGGCCATCGCCGAGCGGTTGGCGTGAGGTATTTTGGCCTAACTAACGTCTTACAACAGGCCATCCAAATTTCACTCGCCGCGACTTCCGGCGCAGGCGGCCGAAGTTTTAGTCCGACTTTTGCCTACTACCCCACCGTCGACGAATGCACTGCTCCAGCCTTTCGCATAGTAGAACTCATCTTCACGGCTTCCGACGCTACCCTGCTCGATTGGGATGCGTTTGTGGCATCTGCCTTGACTAAGTTATTGAAGCTTTTCCGCGAGCATAGGGCCTCACCGCGTGCAGTTGACTCCAAGAACTGGACTTTAAGCCACTATATAACTTACACGGTATGCGAAACAGGGTGGGTTATTGCCATCTATTTAGATGCATTTCCCATTCATGCTAACTAAAAGACCTTCGTGCTAGATGTCCAACCTGGCCACATTCCGTCCAAGGCATTCTTTAGGTCCGTTGCTGGTGCTGTTTGAAGCGCTAGTTCGGCAAGGTGTTCCGGCCTGTAGCCTTGGCCTAAATGGCGAGTATGTGACCTATCAGTAATTAATGGGACGGCTCCAATGTGGATTTAACTTTCAAAAGGAATCGAAACTCACTAATGGTCTCTGACAGGACGCCGTTGGCGCGCGTAGCAGAAATAAAGGCACCCTACAATCTTGCCGTTGCTAGTATCGTTGATAAGTCGACAGCCGAACCGGACATGCCTGGGTTCCAGGAATACCTCGGTTTCCCTCGCATCCCTGAGTTTCTTCATGTCCTCCGCTGTTAAACAGCATTGCGGAAGGTTTGCCACCACAATGTTTGTTTGGGATTATGTCTCCCAAGCAACCGCCAGAGTACCTAGCTAACATCCCCCAGCATTTGGTTGCGGACCCTTGAGCTTGGCCGTCCTTGCAAACGACTTGGACGCCGTCAAGGATTTGTTGGCAAAATCCCCCTCTGCAATCTATGAGCGTAACGCCATGGGCCAGACGCCCTTCCACCTCGCAGCAGAAAATCCTCGTTGCTTGGGAGTGCTTATTCGCCATTCAGAGTCTTCCACGTTGATCAATCGGCCAGACAACCGAGGCCAGACACCGTTGGCCTACGCCGTCGAATGCAGCCTCTCCTGCTGTCGCAACGGGACTCGGCGCCGCAAGTGTTCCCGGTGCAACTGCGCAGACTGTGCATTGATCCTGCTCAAAGCCGACTGTTCCGTCCCTTACGATCGGTTCTGGGGGATAATATTATCCCGGTCGTCGGAAAGGTGCGAGCGCAGATACATTGCCCATTTGGCAAACAGGCGTGAGAGGCTCAAACAGCTGGCCTTAGAGCTCCTTACAGATTCCGAGGCACAGCGCCTAGGGCTCCGAGACACGAGAATGCTCGACTTCCACGCCGAAGAAACTGTCAAATTGATACAGCAGCAAGGGGTGCGCATCCCGGATGCACTCGCCATTACCCAGGGGGAATACCGCCCGATATATCACGAACGGCCTCAACCCCACCACGCCGACCTTCTTTTCAGGTCGGGTTTCCGCGACGTAGATATTGGCCATGATCACGAGACCACCCCACTGGCGAGGGCATCCAGCGATTTACCATACTGTCAGTGGCTTATCGAACATGGGGCGGATCCCTTCCGTCGATTATCAGGCATGCCAGCTTCGCTTGGCGTGTGCAGTGCGTACCCCATATTTAGGAAACTTGGGTGGAAGATAAGTAATTGCCCGGGCAAACCTCCCAAACCTCACGTAATGCGGTCGATACAAGCACTCAACGCAACCATTCTCCCAGTCGACATTGCCGACAATTGCCAGTGCAGATGCTCGCCTGGTGGTTGCAGCCCGTTCACTTACATGCTGCAAGGGTTGTGGTATCGAGGGAAGCGGCACCCCAAGAGCATAGCTTCTTGGTTCTGCTGGTACCTGGAATCTTTCGAGGCGGATCTTAGGCCGACGCACCACGTTGCCGCTATTCGATCCCTTACATTCAACACTCTAGATATATTGCATACGTGCTGTTATCCAGGTCCTGAAAAAGCATGCGGCCACTCGCCAGACGATGTCCACGACGTGGAAGAAGAAGAAGAATAAGCTGCAATGTTGGAACTGCTCGAAGAACTGGTAAAAGTCTTCGAGCGCCGCATGGCCGTGATTCTCGCGGAGGACACCGGCGGCGCATCTAGATTCAGCGAATTTTGGCAAGGATACTGGGTGGATCGGATGGACGCCGAGTTAGCCCGCCTGAACGGCAGCAACCTGTCCGAAGAGGAAAGACGGAAAGCGGAGGAGCTCGGCGTCGTCTGGCACGATCAATCTGATTTGGATGATCAATACGATTTAGACTCGGTTGACTCACTAGATCATAGACCTTCCGAGTGCTAGTTCCACGAACTAGATAGAATTGTACCGGGTTAGAGAGTGCCACGCTCGGCGGCGATGCTGGAGGAAGACAAGCCGTGGCGTTTCCGTCTGCGACAGCGACCAACCAGGCCAGGTAGCCTACCAGACATAGCTAGGATGCAATGTTGGATAAATGCGGATCAATCTAGGACTTCCTCAAGATGTTAGGTTGAGCCTCACTGATCATTACTACTTGGTGTCACTGAAGGAGGCAAAGGGGGCATACCCCCCATCATGCACAGACTTGTTCTTGGCCTGTCCAGAGACGACAGCGTATATCTACGGCGAGGACCACAAGGGTGCATATGATGTCTTTCCAGCCGTTCCTTTCCTCAACAGGGGAGTTGTGATTCACTAATAGCACGCCGGATGCCTTGCGTTACGGACCTTCACACTATATATCCGTGAGAGACCCGAGTCAACAAGCCCCACGCGTTGCCAAATAAGAGGATTAAGTTTGGTGGATGCTCCTTATCGGGGGTGTGAATTATGCTAACCGATTTCGTGTTCTACGGTGCCTCGAATAGAGATTTCCTTCGCTCTCGCAATATCATAAATTGAGTAGACATATGTCCCAGAGGCAGCTACCAAAGCCTGAAATGGAACTCCCAGGTGTAAAGTCCCAGGGGCTTTGCTTCATCACGGAGGTATGCGTGAGCAACTCTGCTCTCAATGTCCAAGTCAACAAAATCGATCCCCAGGTTGTAAGCCGCTGCTCTCTGAGACGCCTTGAAGCCTATTGAAAAGTGTTAGACGACCCTGGCTTTGAAGACATGAATTAACGAGATTCACAACTTACGCTCTACCTCCTGTCTTGTCCGCTCACTGAAGATCGAGTGTGGACCGAAAGTTATGCCCTAGAGCCAAGCTATCAGCATTCATTCATTTTACCCAAAACCTTTTCTTTGGAGCTGTTTTCTTACCGCCGTTTTGAAGTCGATAAGTGTGTCCCGCACCAGTCCACTCCGCTTCGCCGCATTTGCAAGCTCGGAGATGATGTAGTCGACATCTTCCTTGTTCTCCGGACAGTCGTTTTCCCGATGAAGGTGATACCTGTACATGGACAGCTTGTCTGACAGCTGGGCCAGCTGGGCACTGATGGGCATGGCATCCGGCTCATCCCCGACGCTCATCAGCGCCGGAAGCAGATGCTCCTTGAAGTTGTCACTCAGAAGCGTGTCCCTGATGATCTTGTATCTCCCCTCGCTTGCGTCGCGCAGCACGTCTTCTAGGCTGTTGTCGTGGCAAATGTACGCAAAGTAGTAGCAGCGCCGAATGGCATCTGCGTACTGGCGTCGCAGCTGGTCGAACTCGCGGGCCGCCGTCTTGTCGTTGCCGTATCGGACCTTGAGTCGTTGTTCCTCGTCCGCTGAGGCGGTGGGAGGCACTCCCACCATGTCGAAAAAGTCTCCCACCTTGTCGGGCAGCTGGGAGCGGAATTCGTCATCGAGCCAGTCGGCGTGGGACAGGTCGCGGCACAGAAAGTGCATGCTGGTCAGTTCGAAGAGTCGCCGATTCTCGTTCAGAATGCTCGACAACGGGATCCAAACGATATATGTGTTACTTGAGACGATATATGGCAGATCATCACCAGGGCAATCTTCCTCGAGAAACTTTGAGCCCAGCCAGGGAATGTCGTCGTCGAAGAAAAGACTCTTTGCCTTTGCAGGCAAGGCATGCTGCGAGATCTCGGCGAAGATGTTGCTTGTCCATTCAGATGGCTTGTCATTGTCGTCATCGTCGAGTGGTGTGATGTCAAGGAAGTCCTCAATCCACCCGTCCAATGGCTGCGATCCGGCCTTGATCACTTCGAGTGGGCTGTCGTTGAAATCCGCAAAGGCGCCTCGCCAGCTCACTGTACGGGAATTTCCGGCTTCCTCAAAGGTGAATTTGGCGTTGTCGAATCCGGCATTGTCCTTATCCCACAACTGCTCCACGTCGACCTCGAACCCGATACGGTGCTTCTCTGGGCCATCCGAGTTGAAGGCCTTTGACAGATGGAAGTTGCCGGATTTTGGGTCTGAGCTGGTGACGGTGACGCTTGACGTGATGTCCTGGATGCTGTTCTCATTGTCTTGGGTGGTCCGGTAGAGCACGACATATTCTTGGATCTTGCCATCGGCAACAGCAACTCCAACTTGGAGTGCGCCCCAAATTGACCACTTTCCTGTGGTTTTTGCAATGTCGGTCGCCAAAACGGTTCGCTTGGGCGCCATTGTTTGACTTGGCAAAGGATAAGTAGCTGGTGATGATAGAAGGAAAGACTGTGTGAAGAGGCGAGGTTGGATATCTGGGGAACTAGAATAGTATGGTGATTTCAAGAGTATATATGTCCATCGAGATACATTACGCCAACTTTGTCATGTCCACTGTGCTAACCTCGTGTCCTCTTGCACATGGAATTGCCCCAGTCTATGCACCTCGCACCATACACTAGTCTCACTTACTCCAACCAATTACTTTGGTTGGAGTAATTCTAGGCACTTCCCACATGCCATGTGGCCATCCATAGGCTGTAGCTGAACACAAGTGATTGGTTTATTTCCAACTGGAATCATTAGTTGTTTCCCAATCTGGTACTTCAGCTCAATACACTAACCATTGTTGTAACCTTGCTCGCCTTGGCTGTAATTGATATCTGTGTGCCAGACCTAGACCTCGGGAGTGGATACGTTCCATGCACCTCGGTTGTAATTTAGAACTATTGCTTAATTATAGGCAAGACTTTCTGCATCCAGGCGTAGCGGAAGTCGTGCAAAGCTAAGGATGCGTTTCAGCTGCATGGAGGCATTTTTCATGCACAGAGGCTTGCGTTCTAGAACCAGTCGATTGGCCACCTGCGTGCTCAATAGAACTAATTATTGGTGAGCTGCATGCGCGCCTTTTCACAGCTTCGTTTCCCCAGGCTTTTTTATTGGATGGCTTATTATTGCTCAGCTGTTGAACAGCGAATATTGTGCACAGCTAACAATAGGTATCACCAAATAGGAAACAGGAAGCGGTGCTGCATTTCGCCATGTCCGAGAACTGTTTCTCCCATTTATGGACGAAAGGCCAGCAATCTTCTGTTCTGGGCAGCAACGAGAGGCCATACCAGTCAAGATGAGCTCACCTACCGACACCTGGCCATCGCAGCGGCCGTCCGTCAACGCAGACAAGACGGCTAAGTCAAGCATCTTGGGCTACATCGACAACACCACAGTAGCATCGGTGTCCGTCTCTGTGTTCCAGACCAATGCGAAGAACCCAAATGATCGGGAAGACGAGGGACAGAGCTGGGGCATCCTTGGTCTTGGAACCAAGACCCCAATGGACATCTTATATCCAGAGGTAAGTTATTGTGACAATTGTGCCCCTCCTTGGGAATAAGTCTATAAAACTTGAAGTTTTTGTTGAGGATTTCTAGGCCTACTACAAACCGCCCGGACGGGGAACTGTGGAGCACGACATCTCCGACTGTGTCCACGTTGTTTACGAAGGCCCCGGGTACTCGCGCACCACGCGCTTCATCAAGCTGCGAGATCCTGTCAAGTCAGACTACACATTCGACATCACTGTCACCGACTTTGGAAATCAGGCTGCCAAGTTCGAGGGCACCATGAATTGGCAGGGCATCGACTACGAGTGGACCGGCCAGTGTATCAGCAAAGGAAAAGTGGATCGTGAAGTGACCGAGATCAGCTTGCCCAAACCCGCCGGGCTTGAGGGCACGCTGCAAGAGCTGAGGGACATCTCGCCGTTGGCCTGGAAGAACGAAGGAAAGGACATCCCGCGAGGCACAGACCTGGCCCAACTGAAGGGTGACGAGGTAATGCAAAAGATCACGGTGCATGCACTCGACGACGAGACGAAGAGGACCCTGTTTCCGAACCAGCCCCCGCTGAGCCCAGCTGAGAGCTCCATCCTGGCTGACAGCCGCGACTACTTCAAGCGAGCTGCAGTGCACCTCATTGCGGAACAGCTCAAGAAAATTCACCAAATTAACCCCAAAATCTCAAAGGGGTCCTCCGTGGGGTTCCAGACCGAGTTTGACCAGACCCTTGTCAAGCACATCACCTACAAGTGGAAGACTTTCATGAGTATGATGACCTCATTTGCACCACCGACTGACGGCAAGCCCGATCCCGTCGTCGAGTACGGCTGGGATAGAACCAAAGACGCCGAGCTCATTATTCGCCTGCAGAGCCAGTTCCAGGAGGCATCCATGCGCTGCTACCTCGAGGGCTACAAACTGCGCTTCCCGGAGTGGGACAAGTTCCTCAAGCACCCCGTCTACTGGTTCAAATGCTTCTCGTCGTTGCTGGTCTCCCCGGAGCATTGCAATCGCTGGGTACACACGCTCATTGACCCACTCCAAAACACGAATAAAAACGCCGTCACAGCAAATCAGGAGGTCCTTCTGTGGGGAAACAAGCTCTCCGTGCTCAAGCAAGCGAGCCCCAAGGAGGTCAGGGACCAATTGGACATTGGCGAGGTCACGGAGTACCTCACCTCCCAGGCCCAGCTGGCGCTGGCTCATGCACAACTGGTGAACAAGGACCTAGTTGAGAGCACCAAGCGGGTAGGTTGTATTTCAGCGATCGACATGGCTGCCTAGAAGTCAGGCAGGAGGATAGCAGGATGCTAACCGTGAGTCACAGGCATTTGGCGGTGCGGCCCCGAGCGACATGGACAGCGGAGGAGAGCTCTACAACAAGGCGGTCGACTCTTGCATCCGACAAGAAGCAATCCAAATCCTCAGCAAAGCCGCAGACCCAACATCAGCGCTTGCCGCTCACCTGGAAAAGTACTGGCGCATTCGCTTGCCGCCCGGCGCCCCAGTAGATCGCACAGTTGGCATGCTCGTGGTGGCTCTCCAGGACGAGGAAGCCCTGAAGAAGTGCATGCAAGCTGACGGACTTAAGCCACTAACTCCCGCCCCCGACTCGGGCTCTCAGGATGTCGGCGAGTGGTACGCAAAAGTTTCATATACCAAGATCGTCGAGGCCTCCGTGCACGGCGCCGCCTATGCTGTGCTTCTCGTGGAGAGCAGCCGGCTAGCGGCCACCAGCGGCTCAAAAGCAAGCAAGGAGGGCGCAGAAGTGGGGAGAAAGGTCGCCATGGAGATCACCGCCGGGCTGGCGCTGACCTTCAAGCTCGTCAAGAAAGCGGGCAAGTTCCTTTACAAAGTCATCAGCCTGATTCTGGCACAGCGGAAGCTCGCCACGGTGCTTAACTCGATGATGATCAAGCTATCTCAGAACCTGGCCAGCTTCGGCAAACGGTTCACGACCACGCTGTTTGGCAGCCTCAAGAACGTCCTCAGAACCTTCGGCGCCGTCCTCGCCATTATCGGCATCTTCACCGCGTACAGAGACGCCAAGGCGGCCGGCGAGGTGCATCCAAACGACCGCGACCAGGCACTCATCATCTACTCCTGGGTACAGTTTGGGCTCAGCATCGCCTCGGCGCTGGTTGCGGTCGGCGCTATTACCTTCCAGGTGCTGGGATATGCCACGGCCGTGTCGGCATGCGGTCCTATCGGCGCAGTTATTGCAGGGGTCATGCTCGCTGCGTTTGCAGTCTACTATATCTGGTTCAGACCAGATCCATACAAGGACGTCAAGGGGTTTCTACACCGAGAGGCGAAGCCTGTAGGGAGCTATGACGAGAGCAAGGCTGTAGAGCTTGAGGAGCAAGAGTTGAACTTGGTTAGTGCTCCAAAAACTAATTAGCTAAGCTACACAGAGGGGAATAAATAGGAATACTTTGGACAAAAGTGGCCTATGTGCACGCTCAGGTTACGTGTGACATTTGCGATGAGTCGGGGCCACACCCTAGGCGGTGGCGGAATCTTCGGGGACTAGAAATATGCGACAGCTTGTGTACTGTAATTACCTGTATGAAGAAAGGACCTACACCCCAATATGAGACAATTTCGAAGAAGGCTCGCTGCTGGATATAGAGTTATTCTTTGCTATTTCAGCCTCTATTCCACCCATGATTCCGGCAAGGAGGGCGTCAGAAGACAAGAATCAGCTTACTTCTCGAGGTGAAAAGAGTAAAGAGGCCTCTAGGTATGTGCAATAAATTATAGTACTAGCAGTCTTTGGCAACGCTTATGCTTCTGCCACCTTCCGATCATATACGTCGGTTACCACGCCCTTCTCCGTCGAATCCAGTTTATCCAGCGGCACAGTGTGGCTGTCCGGGTCGACCCTGGCCCTCCACCCCATATACCAGGGACCGGCAAACAGCTCCGTCATGCGCTCCATGGGCACGCCCTTTGTCTCAGGCACCCACAAGCCGAGAACGACCAAGCCAGCAGCGCAGATGCACGCCCAGAAGACGTATGCGCCCCAGATGTCGAGGCTGACAAACATGTTGGGGGTAACGCGGACGACGGCAAACTGGAAGAACCAATGCAGTGTCATGTTTGCGGCGTAGCACACGCTGCGGATGCGGGTCGGGTAGATCTCGGTGCCGTAGAGGTACTGGACCGTGCAGAGGCCCACGCTCCATCCGACGGCGTAGACGAAGACGGAGGCGATGGCGGCGTCGGAGGCGGACTTGTTCTCCGAGTCGATCCAGATGGCCATGTAGATAGCCATGTACACGTGGGTGATGCACTGCAGGAACAGGCCCGTCATGAAGCACCGCCTCCGGCCGATGACGTCGACCATGCCCCACGTGAAGACCATGGTGAAGACCAGCTTGACGGCGCCGTACGCGCCCGAGGTGATCAGGGACAGGTTGCCGCCCTGCACGCCGGCGTACTCGAAAATCTGGGGAATGTAGTACGTGATGCCGTTCCCGCCGCTCCACTGGGCGATGGTCTGCATGACGGCGCCCAAGAGGAAGCGCTCCCTGTAGGTCGGGGTGGTGGCGATCTCCTTGACGATGGTCCACGTCGTCGTGCCGGAGAGAACCTCGTGCTTCCCGCGGAGCTGCTCGTGGATCTCGGCAAACTCCTTCTCCACCTCGCGGTCGGTCGGGTCGGCGTTGCGTAGTCGTGCTAGCACTGCGAGAGCCTCCTCGCTGCGGTCTTGGGATGCTAACCAGCGAGGGGTATCGCTGAGAAAGAACGAGGCGACTAGTGTGATTCCGACGGGGATCAGAGGAATACCCATGACAAGGCGATACTGCGCTGGGGTTGCCGGCATAGTCTTGTTGGCAGCGTAGTTGATGAAGAAACCTGGAAGAGTAGTCTCTTATTAGCCGCAAGATTGGATGGTGAATTGGTAAGAGGAACAAGTCATAATTACCCAACATGAGAAACGAGAGTAGGATAACCATGTAGATGGACACGACCATGCCTCGGGACTTGGCCGGCGCAATCTCAGACAGATACAGTGGCGCCACGACAGTGAGCCCGCCGGCTCCCAGTCCGCCCCATATCCGTGCAAACAGCATTAGGCCGAGGATGCCCGACGAGAAGGTGACCATGAAGAAGCCCGTCATCCACACCACCGTGAAGAGTTGCCATGTCCGCAGGCGCCCGATACGGTCTGTCACACCGAGGGCGAGAATGGCGCCGATGGCGGCGCCGAGGACGCCAAAGGACGAGATGTTGGCTTTCCGCGAAGCTAGATCGGCTGCGCTGCCCGTCCACTGGTCTTTTGTCAGGCCGAAATCCGTCAGGAAGGACTTTAGGCCTGTTGCCGCGCTGAAACCGCCTTCATCGTAACCTGGAGAGAGGGAAGAATTTCTTTCTAGCTCGGGTGATCCAACAAGATGTGCTGTGGGAAAAAGGGGGAAGCTCACCTTTGGGAATGGACCCGGCGGCAATGACCACGATGGTGAAGATGTAGTAGAAGTTCCAGTTCGGCATGATTGCTGTCTGGTGGACAGATTCTGAGGTGAGTCGAGTTGCCCTGATTCTCCAGCAAAATGTAAAGCAACCTAGCAACGTCTCAAGGAATGTCCCCAGGCTTTAAATATATCCTTACGACTCAACCTAGAGTCTCAATAGCGCCAGCAACATGGGGTTGGGCGTGGGGAAGACAATAATTCGAGAATTTTCCCACGACCTGTGTTTGGCCTCCCCGCGAAGAATCAGCAACCCCCACGGATTGTCTCCAGTTTTCCCCCCAGGAGCGACCCTACGGACAAGAGGCCGTCAGCTGGTGTCGGCGCTACATCGGAAGTTGGCCGAGTCTAGCCTATCACAGTTCCACTTGCCACTTCGCTACCTCCCTAAATAAAAGCCGGCGATGCGGCGCCGCACATTTTTCACACTTTTCACACTTTTCACACGGTAGCCAAGTGACACAGGCGAAGGGGTCTGTCTGGGCCCACAAGAATTGTCGTCGAGTCTCTTCATCAACTGCTGGTAATTCGAGTTATCACGGTGACATATGATCCACTCATTCATGCAGAACGCCGGCCCTTGGCGACTCGGGAGGTTGCCGCGGGGCAATATATCCAATTCGAAAGTCACGCACACAAATTCCCCTCATCCACGACTCCCTCAATTCCGTCCCAGGCCAGACGTCAAGCCCTCCTTTAATTATTCCTTCTTCCTCCACTAGGTCGGTCAACACCCCCGGCCACCCCAAGATGCGACGAGAGCAACTCCTCGCAGCTCGCAGCTATCTTCTCCGGGAATTTCGGCGAGCCATCGCTCTCATTCGGCGCTTCCTCCGACTGTCCACGGAGCATGGGAAAACAACACCCCGAATGTCCTCGGACATACAGCAGGGCAATCAGGGGAAGAAGCGCACACTCGCCCAGCGAATACCGCGCGGTTCCTGGGACTCGCACATGCACGTGTTAGACCCAACCAAATACGCCCTAGTCCCCGGCGCCGCCTATTGTCCCGGCCGGTACACCCTCGAGGATGCCCTGGAGTTTGAGTCATCGGTCGGGATCGACAACATCGTCCTCGTCCAGCCCTCGATATACGGCCACGACAACTCGTGTCTCCTAGACGCGTTGAGGGAGCTGGGCCCACGCCGTGGAAGGGGTGTCGTCTCCTTCGACCCGGAAGCGACGTCGGCGGAGCAGCTCCGGGAATGGCACGAGATGGGCGTCAGGGGTGTCCGGGTGAACATCCAGTCGACCGGCCGGTCGGCCGAACCGAGGGAGCTCGCAGACCGCTTGCACCAGTATGCGGAAGCTGTGAGGCCGCTGGATTGGGTGGTCCAGGTGTATGTGCCCATGGCCCTGCTCGAGCACCTTGCGCCGATTGTCCCGAGCCTCGACGTGCGGTTGTGCATCGACCACATCGGGCATCCGTCCCTGGGCGACTCCTCAAATTGCACGGATCCTTACGAGATGCCGGGTTTCAAGTCGTTGGTCGGCCTGCTGGAGGAAGGCCGCACGTTTGTTAAACTATCCGCACCGTATCGCGTGAGCCAGCTGGAGGACTACAGCGATCTCGAGCCGGTTGCGCGAGAGGTCATCAGGTTGAAAGGATTAAGCCGCGTGGTCTTTGCGACCGACTGGCCACATACTAGGTTTGAAGGGTTGGATATCAGGCCGTGGATGGAGACAGTGCTGGACTGGTGTGGGGATGACGAGGAGCTGCTTGGGAGGTTGTGCAGAGGGAATGCCGAGGATTTGTGGGGTGTCACAACGGGGTGAAAGTTTGGTTCATTTAGCACTATAGACAAGTGCTGTATTATGATGCATTACGAGTATTTTTGTATTGGGAATCTACTGTTTCTCACCATGTATCGCATATCCGTCGGATGTGGACCATGAGGGAATTGCCAAGACACCTGAATAGCTTCAGATCCCACATATGCTCTTGATGCGTACCAATTACTTAGTGCACCACGTATTTGATGCCGCGCAATAATTAATCTCAGAATTCAGAACTAGCACCATCAGAAACCCACACATTTCTCTTTCCGCTGCCTTATTCCATTAGATAACCCGCTTGTGAAATGAAGCCCCACCGATGTTGCTGCACTGTGCTAGGTGCCGGAGCTACTGCGAGACGGGGCCGTTAAGAGTTTTTTGAGCCTCTCGGTCAACTTCCGTGACGCCGCTGTTCTTCTGCGTCAACAACAAAAAAAGGAGGAAAAGGATCCATGTTGTTTCTGCCAAGTCCAGTGTCCCCATACGTAAACCCAGGCCTCATCGGAGGTTGACCGAGGGGACAATAGACCCCGAACGCCGATAAATGAGGATACTGAGAGATGGCAGGATGCCGACACAAAGCGTGCTTCTAGAGGCGAATGAACTAAATAAGAATAGAAATATGTGCGGTAGAAGGAAAGCCCTTCCGTCTCGGCATGTTGATGTCAAAGTGACTGATCCGGAAGATACATAGGCAACGCTCTGGTTGCAACCAAGTTCATAGCGAGTGGCATAGCAAGGGCGGCCCGAGGCTACATCATTGTAGGTACATGGCTGTTCTTATTACTAGAAACCTCGTGTATGTGGGACTTGTTCGATAGTTTACGCAGTAGCTTCCTGACCGTTCTCCCCACCAAGCTCCATCTGTTGAGCATCTCTACTGTTATGTCTATCGAGCGGGCTATGCCCCGGTTCTCCAGACCCAAGGAACGAATGGTTTCGTGCGATTTATCACTTTCCCCCTGACCCCAAGATAGCGCTGCCTTTTCCCTCTTTCCCTCTTTCCCTCTTTCCCTCTTTCCCTCTTTTCCTCTTTTCCTCTTTTCCTCTTTTCCTCTTTTCCTTCCCTCTCCCTATTCCCCCTTCTCTTTTCCTTGCTTTCAATCTTCCTCCCATTTTTACTCCAGAGGCTTTCCCTCGCTCGTTTTGCTCGAAAAAATATCTAGGCACCGAATGGAGGTGGCGACATATGATAATTGAGACCTAAGAAATCGTTGGTGGTGACTTGCTGAGAGAGAACAGGGTGCGTCGTGTATTGGTTCTGTACATCACTCAGGGGAAGCCGATGATTTCTTGCCGGCTGACGAAAACCAAAGTAGGCAGTTAATACTATATAGAAAACAGAACATGGTGTTAGCAGCGTCGGTTAGGTAGCTATGACGACGCTGTAGACTACAATGTGTGACCATATCGGCCGAGTTTGGTGCGCGGTACATGTGAACATCACTTCATTATTTAGAGGTTGATAAATAAACCAAATAACATGTACCCTACTCTACGTTGACCGTCCACAATATCCTGCCACAAAGTCATTGCAAAGACAAGGTAAGGTACATTCTTTGCCGCCACCATGCTCAACGGGCCCGGAGAGCAAGCCAAGCAGGGGAGAATATCGGCGGTTCTCCCACATCATCACAGGCCAATTCTTTCTTTGCCGGCACACCATCAGTGTTGTCCATCTCTTCCATCAGCGTGGACGCCTGCTTCTTGACGATCCGAAGAAGGACATTGCCCTGCAAAATGTCCGGGATCTCGACCTGGGGCATGACCATCTTCGCCTTAGGAGGAGCGGCCTTTGCTTCCTCAGTCGGTCCCTTCACCGCCTCCGCCGTCTCGCCCTTGTCCTCTTTCTCGGCAGTGACGGCGTCCCAGCCGGAACTGGAGCTGTCGTCGCCGCTGCTCTGGGGCACTTCGTCTTGGTCCGATTCGTCGTAGGTTCCCCGGGCTAGAGTCAGCAGCGACGCAACGAACAGCTCCTGCAGGTACGCAAAGCTGAAGCCAGGAGTCATCTTGGCAATGAGCGGGCAGATTGTTTCGGGGAAGTCGACCTTCTCGGAACTGGCAAACTTGTTGCACCAGTACTGGCTGTACGCGCTGCGTGCATTCTCGTCCGGAAGCTTGAAGTGGTACTTGCGATCGAAGCGGCTAGGTCGCTTGGTGATGGCCGGGTCCAAGTGGTCGAGATGGTTCGTCGACCCGATCATGAGGATACCCTCGTTGGACTCCAAGCCGTCAACTTCGTTGAGGAAGTAGCTGCGAGTCTTGGGGGTGACCATGCTATCGAGGTCCTCGAAGATGAGAAGGCATGGAGCCATAGTCCTTGCCTTCTTGAATATCTCCTGGATCGACCACTTGGGCCCGGCGCAGGCATCGAGAGATTTGACATACAGCGAGGGAACGGGGTCCTCGCGCCCAGCCAGCGAGTTGATCAGCGCCTTTATGGAGATGGTCTTGCCGTTTCCGGGCACGCCGTGGAGGATCACGCCGCGCTTCCACGGAACATTCATGGAGCGGTAGGCCTCCTGCGCGTCAAAGAAGTCCTGCACGTCTGCGATCAGGCCAGCCTTCATGTCGGCGTCGAGGATCACGTCCTCCCACGACGCGCCCTGGACGCTCTTCCAGAGCCCCTTGGATTTCTTCCACTCGGCGTTGTCGAAGACGTAGATCTCGCCGTGGAGCTCCCTGGTCCACTTCCCGGCCTCCAGGAGTAAGGCATCCGTGGCGGCGTTGTGGCGCTTCTCCGGCTCGAACGGGTGCAAGACGTAGAGCAACTTGATGTCGCGCGCCCAGCGGTCCTGGTACTCGGCTTGGTAGACGAGATAGTCGTCGTCGTTCCAGCTGTACAGCCAGGAGCCAAAATGGAGATCGTCTTCGACCTTGCCTGCGTCCTTCTCCAGTCTGTACCCAGGCGCCTTGTATGTGCGGACAGCGTGGTCTAAGCAATTGTCTTTCTGCGTCGCCGTTGCGAATCCAGCAGCGGCGAAGCCGAGGAGGTCGCATTTCGATGGGTTGCTAACTGTGACATGGTGGTTCGGATAGGTGGTGCGGAGGAAGTCGAGCACCACGAGCTCCGTGTTGGTCTGCTGCATATTGTTGTGCTGCAGCCAGAGCTCGTAGGCCCTTCCGTGATCGGCGTCCTCGAACATGGTGTCTTGAACCGAGATTTTTGGCGGTACGAACGTGTGCGAATGGTGAAGCTGTAGCAATGCTTGGAAAACTCTGGAGCAATAAGACGGGTCAACCACGAAAAGGACAAAAGGGGAGGAAGTTTTGGGAAGTTCGAGCACTCACCTGGCCAACGGATTCTTACAGCTTATATAGAACACCGTTCGGCTGCGGGGAACCAACGACGAGGCTGCCGAACTCATTGGCTGTCGGCGGCTCGAAGGATCGGGAATGACGCCACGGTCACCAAAGCGAGCTTCATCCCGATGGCCGCCTGACTCAATCTTCCCGTGTCTCCCAAGAGCTCGATTAGGCAACACTCACATGACCGAGTGATAGGTTCTGATTTACGTAACTTAATTTTCGAACCTCATGCTGTGCCGCTTGTGAGGTCACCTGTGAGCCGCTTTTTGATTGGCGGCGATGGTGTGTGCTCATAGGCAGCAGTGTGGTTCTTGCTGATGAGATCTGCCACGGGGTTACGGAGGGGTGGGTGTAGCCGTGGACGGATGGCTGAGGATAGGGCGATATGCAGTCTCTCCAGCCTAATTTCAATGCGTCTTACAACCGAATTTTGAAGAGTGCTGCTGACTTGCCTCGTGCTTGAATGTGCTGCCGTATGAGTTGTGAGACCAAATGTTCGCAATTGGCGGTTCCCATTTTTTTTTCTCTCCCAAAAGTCAATATCAGGGTCCCATGAACAAGTCGGGGCTGATACCTAGACGAGTACATTGATTACGCATCGCAAGAAAAATACAAAATATCAGAGGAAAACGGCACGCCGACACGCTGCACAGCTTCGCAGAGCAGGGTATTCGACTCAATGCAAGCGACAACCACCCCCTCCTCCTTTGCCATGAGACGCTCGGCTCCCTAAATAAATCCCATCAAGGATAACGCATAACAGCAGCAACATCAGTAATTCAGGGGGCAGGCTTGTCACCACCATACTTGGCCAGCCACTCATCATTAATGCCGCGATAATCCTCCGGGCCATACGGATACCACATCTCCGCCACGAACCCCCCCTTCCGATGCACCTCCAGCCCGAGATCCCGCAGCAGCAGATCAAGATACGGCACGGCGTCGAATATGAAGCTCGGGCACTTGCTAGCCCAGTCGATGGGGTACCTCCACCTGCCGAACCGATTGTGCAGCACCGTCTCGTACCTCAGCTTCCGCATAGCCTCGTCGTCGCCGACAGCGGCGGCAGGGTCGACGGCGAGGCGACCCGAGAAGTAGGCGGCGACCCAGAGGCCTTGCAGATGGGCGGTCAGGACGTTGCTGAAGTTAGACACCATGCCGACGAAGGCGATGTCGCGGGCGCGGAGGAGGCGCTCCGAGGGCGGGACGAGGAAGTGGTGGAGCATAAAGGGGGTCAGGGGGGTGCAGGGGGTGACGGCGTCGGTGCTGTCGATGCCCTTTTGGTCGGTTAGGGGTACGTAGTGCTTGTTCCATACGGGTTGGTCCTTGAGACGCGGGAAGCGGGAGAAGATCTCCTTGTCGGCTTGGTCGATGAGATCCTGCTGGTTGGCGAGGTCTTCGTCCGGGGGGGCGCTGCCGCTTTCCGAGGTTGGCGTGTGCGGGAGGCCGAGCTCCTTGTCGATTCCCTCGGGGAGGAATTTCATGGGCGGGACGTGCTTCCAGCCCGTGTTAGCAAGGAGGGCGTCTGACTCGAACTCGGTGCCGTCGGCGAGGTGGACCTTGCCCGGGCTGAGGTGGTCAATCTCGCCCACGTGGATGGCGACCTTGTCGCCCTTGGCGAGCTCAAAAAAGTCGGTGTCGTAGTTGAGGATGCTGAAGCTGGTTCCTGTGAACATGGCCGGAATCCACGGCTTGAGTTTGGCCGTCTCCGGGTGCTTGTCGTACGCGTTGAGGGTCATGACGTCTCCACCCAGGATGTTCCAGAAGGCGTTGACCATGGCCCGCCCGACTGCGGTGCCGTGGAGGAAATTGCGGGTGCCGACGTAGCCATCGACCTCACCCCACACGCAGGGGCTAAACCACGTCAAGAAACGTATATCTGCGCACCATATGGGGTCAGAGCTGGGGGAAGGGAAGGGTAGAGGTGAGACCAGGGGTCGCAAAGTGCTTACTCGCGAGCTTCTCAATCCACTTTTTGAGAGGCGTCACGTATGGCGGTGCCATCCAACAAGGGCCATGTCCAGATGCTGTTGTTTTCAAAGTCAGCCCCAACTATTGCACTCTGCAAGGGGGGCATGCCCCCCAAAAAAAAACAAAGGAAACATACACCGGATAACCCAGTTCACCTTCACACCAGCCGTGGCGTACGAGTAAACGGCATCCCAGGCGGACTTTGTGGCTCCAAACACAGTCACAGACTTTGCTGTCTGCAAAGTGTCGGCGTGCTGCATAAAGTGCTTGCTGTGGAATATGCTCCCGCCGAAGGACTCTTGGCCGTCAAAGTGCGGCATGAAGGCCTCCGAAGTCAGCCCCGTGGCAATGACGAGGCGGCGCGCAAAGAGCTTGGTCTCGCGTTGCTCCGAGTCCGCGATGGTCAAGATCCAGCCGCCCTCGGCCGTGTCCTGGTGCTCCGCCACGAGGACCTTGGTCTGGAGGCGGACCAAGTCTGCGATCCCGAACTTGGCCGCATACTCCTTGAGATAGGTATTGATAACCGTGCCGGGAATGTGTTCGTCGGTCTTGACCCCGAACGAGGCGGTGTCCATGGGAAAGTCGGGGTACTCATATGTCCCAAGGAGGTTGTTGCTCTTCAAATCCGGGTACATGCGATGGTCGGCCCATGTGCCGCCCAGCGACGCTTGAGACTCGAACACAGCCAGGGATGCCTCTGGATGTGTGCAGTGATACTGCTTTGCGGCAGCCAAGCCGTACCATCCTGCCGAGAACTGCTTATCAGCATGTGCCGTTTCTCGAATTTTCTGTGTTTTGTTCTTTCTTTCCTCCTTTTTTTCTTCTGGTTTTGGTCCTTGATTGGGAGGCACTTGGGGTGCGGGGAACATGCTTACCAGCGCCGACAACCGCGCAGTCGAGCGTCTCCATTGTGCCTTACTGCACTGGTACTGATTTCCGGTTTGTGTTTCTATCGGATCCAGACTTTGCTGCTTGGTCAAGCTAAAAGTGGAAAAGCAACGATTAGGATCGGCCCTTAAGAGTCCCCCCCTGAAGGCTGCGGCAGCAATTTCCCAAGCCAGAAGAAAGCTTGCATTCCCGGGGATGGCACCACTGCATCCCGGTGGCCGGAACCCCCACCCCCCCCCCCAGTTCAACGGTGAACCAAGTTGCATGTGCCTCGTTTACGGATTAGCAAACCTATCCGGGATGGAATTGCAACTCTGCCTCGGCAATGATCAGATGCAGCTTCTGTCCTCCGTACTTGCTGGTGAGCAAGGGGAGGGGTTATCTCCTCCAGTTTACATTGGTAATGCGAAAATTCCCGCACTCCCATTGTAGAGACCTGGTATGCCCGGGTGGGAACCCGAGCTCCCTGTCCGTGCAGCCAACAGCTGTGGGGCGCGGCACGTTGCAGTTCATTAGCGTGGTGACTCGACCCCCCGTGTGTGCTTTTGTTTACGCAGTGCATATGCAATGTGTGAGGTACTTTTTCCTCGACGTTTCCAAGTTTCCAACGTCACTTCCGACTGCGCAACGTTTCTACCACTTGCTGCTATTCGCTCTACACCCCGGCTGTCACCCCAGCTGAACTCCGTAAAGCCCCCTGAAGCCTGCCGCTAACTTTTCCCCAGAACCTGTGTTCTTGGTGTAGTGTACACTATGTACATACAGACTACGTGCGACACATCACATAACTAGGGTTCTGCCCCGTGTACCCGCAGTTATCCACCTGCCTTCATGCCGAATGTCGGATCATATCGAAACCGGGGTGTCATTGTGCAAAGGGGCAAGAACGAGCGAGCAGTCTCGATCGATGCAGCACGCAATTGTTCCCCCAGTTCGTACAGTATGCGTACAAAGGGAGACGAGATCACCCTCGCTTAGCAATGGGTTTTCTCGCTTTCCATGTCCGCAAGTTGAGTCTCTCAACAGCGGCATCCCATCGCCATCATGAATTCCACCGGCCCTCCGCCTGACCCCGCCGCGGTTGCTGCGGCGCAAGCTGCGGCGCAAGCTGCGGCGCAGGCCGCCATGAACCAGTTTACGATCGAGGCGTGGACGCTCCTCGGCGTTGGAATCCTCGTCACCACGCTCAGGACGTATGCTCGGGTCAGGAGTATCGGCATCAGAGGCCTTCAAGCCGACGATTACCTCGTCTGGCTCGGAGTGGTTAGTCTAGGCTCCCTTCCGGTGTCTGTGGGAGATTTTGCCGGGCTGATCAGGGGTCCACGCAGACATTCTACGCCATCGAGACTGGCCTTGCGTACTCTGTGGGCGCGGTGGCCCATGGGCTTGCCAACAATGGCATGACTGACGAACAACGGGCTGCGCTATCCCCAGACAGCGAAGAGTACCGACTCAGGTATGTATCTAGATCTACTCGGACATCAGAGGATTTGAACGAACGCCAACCTCCCTTCCATGTAGGGCCATTGGTTCCAAGATCCAGGTCGCTGGGTGGTCGAGCTACTTGATGCTGCTTTGGGCACTCAAGACGTCTCTGCTGGTGTTTTACATGCGGTTGACGGTATGCATCTCTGCCACACATGGTCCCTCTGTTGCTCCAGCTGATTGCTGAATTCCCCCCAACAGTCGGGCCTGCCTCGTAGCTACCGGATCCGCATCTATATTGGCTTTGCCTTGCTCATCGCGACCTGGATTATTATCGTGATGAACCTCTTCCTCGCATGCCGTCCCATCCACAAATACTGGCAGATCTTCCCGGATCCTGGGAGTGGGTTTTCCCCGTCAACCTCCGAGAGAAGAGACCCGCAACCTGCTAACCTGATCCGCTCTACCTTTTTTGTTAGATATCTGCCAACCGGCCGTGTCCAACCAGGTCATCTGGACCTACCTCTCCTGCAACGTCGTCACGGACTTTTATTTACTGTCCATACCCGTTCCCATGCTCTGGCAGTCCAGCCTCAAGCCCGCCAAGAAAGTAGGCTTGATAATCTTGTTCAGCGGAGGGCTCTTTGTCATCATTTGCGCCATCCTGCGCTGTGTACTGATCGTCACTGTGAGTTCCCCTGGTGCGTGCGTGCGTGTGTGTGTGTCCCACCGTGCCGTAATGTCCGCTGACATGGTCTCGGCGTGTCCCAGGATCCCGTCAATGGCGCCCAGCTAGCCGGCTCATGGGCGGTGCGGGAGACCTTCGTCGCCGTGGTTACGACCAACCTGCCTCTGATCTTCCCACTCGTCAAGACCTTCCTGGTCCCGATCTTCGGCTCTCTCCTCACCTCCAAGCGCTCGACCCACAAGCTGGACGGCACGCCCAAGGACACGCGCACCTTCGGCGGTAGCGGCGGCCAGAGCTGGCGGGGCCGCGGCCCTCCCACAGCGAACCCCCTCACCAACGTGACCTTTAGCGAGAGCGAGGAGCGCATGGTGGAGAACGGGATCCACATGCACGATATCAAGACGTGGAGCGAGTCGGACTCGGGGAACCCGCCGAGCAGCAATAACAACAACAATGGCGGCAACGACAAGAACATCCGGAAGTGCGTCGAAATCGCTGTGGTGCGCGAGGAGAGGACCAGGAAATCAACAGACCGCCGGGGCACCATGCCGGCCGACGAGGAGAGCCTGCCCGTGCAAGGCCATTTCGCGTTTGCCAGGGGTCCGCATAGGACGAGTTTTCACGCGGGCAATCAGATCTAAAATGAAACACGTAAGACGGGGTGGAGACCACTTCCACGGACATGAGTGGGTGTAAAAAAAGAAAAACCACGGACTTGGGGGGAACAAAAGGCCAAAAGGCGGAAGGGACAGGCAAGGTGGGATTTTCCGCGCCGTTTATTTTACGGCACTGTACGGATTACACGCTTGTATCATTATCGAAGGCCTGACTAGACTTGGCGCGACAAGGGATGGTACGTTCGGATTTGGCTCCCGCGGAGTCGTCTTGGCGCTCTATGGTCATTTTTGACGAAATTTCAATGTACTTGTACATACCTACTGTACTTCCTTGACCCAATCTGATAAGTCCAGTCAATTTTCCACTATACTCTGGACAAAGCGTCTTCTTTCAAATTGTCAAGATTCATCATATAATTATTCCTCCTACTGTTGTGTCGTGCAGAAGTTTGAACCCCCCTGTTAAGCCCCAGAAAACACACGCCATACCACTCGTGCCACTTTCAGGGGGTTTGCGCTAACTAACCCACGTCCTAACCCTAGCCCCAACTCCAGCCCAAGAAAAGCTTGGTCCACTACCTTTTTAGAACGCCTCTGCATTAGTCCCTTACTAGCGCAAATACCACATACAAGTAACTCTACTTCCGTACACGTGTAGTAGTCTCCCAGCACCCACCATCAAAATCCCGTGTTACATAGGTACCATCGAGTCACCTCAGCACATGGCCGCAGCATCCCGATAAGCAGCCAGCCCCTTGATCCCCAAGAATTCGTTATCACAGACGGGGAAATACCAGCCCTGCCCTTCCCGACGAAGGCACGGTTGATGAACACGACAACTACCTACTATTACCTCGTCGCTCTGATCGCCCTCGGCCCAACACAGGTCCTCGGTCCTAGAGCAGACGATGCTCTAATTACCTGTCGCCGGTGCCGCCCAGTTCCCTAGCCACGGCGATGATCTCGTTCTGCCGCTGTGACAATGCTGGAGATTCCTGACGGGGGTCCGATTGGAAGCTCACCGACACGATGATCTCTCCTGGGCTGCGTACCCGTGGTGGCATTGTGTATATAGCTCAGTGGCGCAGTCATTGGAAACGGGGCTCCCGAAAGCTGCGACTGCGTACGAATGTATAGGCAGACCGTGGGAATCCCGCGTGGGGGTTTCTGTATGGATCGAATTTTGTGTCTTGTGTGAAACAGGCTTCCTATGCGTATCGGGTTAGCTAGCCTCCTGAAACCACCACGCAAGAGCTAATCCTACCAGCCAGCAGGGGATGAGGGTGGATGATTGACGAAAAGAGCAGCCACTACTTACCTGCGCCTACAGTGTCAGGGAACTTCCCACACCTTTGTTGATTCCCTGCAGATCCCTTGATAACGAGAAAGGTCCAGAAGAAAATTTTCACACAGAGATGATCAATAGCCGTATTCGTCCTCGTTAAACCCTGGTATCACAAGGTAAAGAAATCGATCACATGTGCTTGCCTGCGGCTCCTCGAGTGTACCTGTCTTGCAGTATGTGGCTCCCTCAACCTGGCATGCTGCGAACGGCCGCATCGTTACAACCAATCCCTACTTCCGGACTACTGTCAACACGTGTAACCGAGACTCATCTAGTATGTCCCTCCAATTCTGCGACTTTGGGACGGGGCCCCTGAGGCGGAGGAGTGCCGAGGCATCTTCACCACCGACAATAAGATGTGGGTCCATCGGCGAGCCTTGATCCAGCCCGCTTCGTCCCGGGCCCCGGTGAACGACTTCAAGATCTTTGGCCACCACGTAGTCCAACTCATTGCGTTCATTACAGGATGCAATTACATACACTGTTGACCTGCAGCAACTATTCTTCTACAGGGTGTGAACCCCACCCCTGATCCCAACCCTCTCCCTCGTCTGTTTCAGACTCGCATCTAATCCTGCATGAAAGGTCTCGGACTCGTAGAGCGAATACATGTTCCGAGAGTTGGCCGGTCTAATGTCGGAGGACGCCTCCGACTCGCGTATGTGTGTTTTCCAGCCCTCTGCCTCTTCCACCCTCGCCACCAACATCCGCAGAGCCAACAAGACAGAGTCCACCCCGTCAGCCGCGGACCGGACGGCAACGTCCCCGCTCTTCGTGGCCAAGCTCCGCGTCGTCACGTACAGCACCTTCGTGATGGCACCGGCGGGCCGAGATCTTCAGCGCTGACGCCGGCGACGAGTTCCGCTTGGAGGGGTGGGAACAGACTCTGCGATTTGGCTGAGAGTTCTTGTTTGTGCGCTCATGTGTGTATCCGTGTCGGCATCCCGTGGATCTCCCTGCCGTCACTCGGGAAGGCAAATCATAGAGCCCACAGCCAGCGCGTCACAGACAAGTTTAGGGTTCCACCCAAGTATATCCTCGACGCTGATGCCCCTATCCTCGGCGATGGCCCAGCACGTATCCCCGCTCTTAATGGTGTACACCTCACTACCCGGCTCGCATCTAACCTCGGCCTTCTTCCCGCCAGACCCCGCGCCCCGGTAGAGGAACCAGAAGAGCACAACGAGAGTCAGGCCAATGAGGAGGGCGAAGTTGAGCAGCGGCATCATCTCGTGTCGCCAGGAGACCTTTGGCTGGAGCTGGTCGGATGCGAGGAACGGTTGGTTGTCGGAGGAGGGGTTGTCGTCGTCGCCGACGCGGGTCAGCCGGCCGTACTGGGATCCCGGGGCGCCCTCCCAGTAGCTGCCGTCGGCGTCTTGGAAGGTGTGGACTTGGGTGTCGGCGTCGTAGCCGACTCGCCTCATGCCCTCTGGGAGGCGCTCTTCGTCTGTGTCGTATTGCGAGAAGCGGGACATGGTGGGTGTCGTGGGGGTTGAGTGAGGAACGACGAAGGGAATCGGTTGGTTTGGTAGGCAGCGTAAAAAAGGGGAATGCGGCGGCGTCGAAGGAACAGTTGATAACCCAAGCTTGTGAAGGGTACAGGATTGAAGAATGAATAGAGGAGAGAGTTTGGCGGACACCATGGATGAATACGAGATCCAACTGAGGGGACGAAACACGTCATACGTCAGCTCCGTCAGCTGAGTAAGACATCACGTGGCAGGTCATTCGCCGCCCCATGCCCCATGATAATAATAATAAATAATAAATAAAATAAAATAACTAGGCATCCAACATCCGTCTTGGTCCTTTTATGTTGTCGTTATCATGCTACCTAACACCGTTGACTTCCTCTAGATATTTGGTGAAATATTCTCCTCCATCACACTTCCATTGTAGCCGGAGGAAAGACAATTTCCCCACCCGGGGAGTCGTATCATCCCCGTCCAGACGGCTTTTCCAGGTCAGCGTCTTTGTCTACGGAATATCCCATCGTTGATTAGCCCGTGGACTTGAGATAGCACCCCATGAATACTTGAAAACAAGCCAACCAATGATCGCCAATATAAGCGACACCACAGCAAACAGAAGGAACCATCTCCAGTCTGGATTGTCCCTGAGGATATCGACGTTCATGCCGAACAGACTCTTGGTGAGGGTCAACTCGTTAGGTGATTAAGTCCAATGTATCAGATGGACTTGAAGAGGATAGGTAGGGTCCTGAGTGCTTACCGAGGCGAACATGACGGGAAGGAAGATGAACTAATTAGTGGGTATTAGCAGTTGGTGTCTACATTCCGATACGTGGATGCAATTCTACCGTGATCCAGCTGAGACGTTTTATGCTGGTAGCGAGGCTCGTGGAGTGATGGGCCTCATTCACAGCCACCCAGGCGAATTCCTTGGGGCGGGTCAGTCATGGTGTGATTATACCATTCCAGCGAGTGCAACTTACCAAGTGTAATAGATCTCTGACGATCTGATCCAGTTCATTGAGTTGCTCTTCGACGGCCCTGGCAAAGTCCGCCATCTTGTTGATATTGACACCGGGTTCAACATCAGGGAGGGTGTCGTGCTGCTCGAGAGCGTTCCTCCCGCTGCTTACTTGGTCTCTGAAGTAGCCCCTTAACTCGGCCAATTTGCGAGCGTCTTCTGCAAGTTTGCGCACGAACTTCAGTTCTTGTCCCATGTTTTTGAGCTGAGCTTCGCGCTGCAAGAAAAGTCAGCGTGCTGAATTGGGGATAGATATGCAAGAGAGATGGCATAAATGGAGGAAAGTCCAATTACCCTGTTGGATAGGCACTGTCGGGCCATGTTGCAAATGCCCAACCACCTGTCTTTCAAGTGGTCTAGGAAGAGGCCGAAAAGCTCGGTACCGTCAGAAGGGACCCACCCATATGGCAGCATGCTATAGAATTCGATAGGTTCGGTTTTCGGGGGTTTGCCATCTGTGGGAGGCGGCGTTGTCTTCGTCCATAAGATCTCGCACCTGTTCCACTGGGATGTTTCAATACTGGCCAGGTCTTTCGCATGGAGTAGCTCCGGTCCCGGTACAGTGGCTGTCACAAATATGTACTTCTCCAGATCGTCGTACACGATTTCTGATAAACGCCGATCCCGGATACGAGCCTGCTCAGGCGCGGGTGGCCTTGGAAGTCTGCTGCCCTCCAGGCACAAGCTGTCCAATGTTTAAATTAGCACGTTGGCACAAATATGTCCCTGTAGGAAATAAATCAGATGTAACTTGACTCACACGAGCCTCTTTCCAACTGTGAAATTTCCAGCGTCGGACATGCTTCTGACCATCTTGTGAGATCTTTTCGGTGGAGGTGGCGTAGGAGACTGTCCCCACTGGTTATTTGCTGGTCGCGGAGCCTTCAGCCTTGCTTCCTCGGATAATACCAGGAGGGCATCGCCGGACCATGACGGAATGGCCTCGCGCCAAGCTTCCGCTTTGAGTGCGTCAAGGCTGGCAGAACGCCCGAGTAGTAGTTCAATCGTATCGCCTCTGTCACTCCGCTTACTTTTCATTGCCAAGTTCAGAGGGGTTATTCCTTTTTTGTCCTTGGCGTTGACCTCTGCTCTATGATTGAGAAGCTCTTCCGCGATGGCCTTGGAGCCAAGGTCGACAGCTAAATGCAATGCAGTTCGGCCATGCTCGTCCTTCTCGTGGAGAAGTCCTCGTAGGGATGGTTTTCTAGATATCGCATCGAGCGAACCTTGGATTGATTTGAGTCTCCCCAAGTGGACCAAACGACGGAGTGGGTGCTCTCCCATCATGTTCAATGCCATAGCTGTGATGTCGGGATTTCCAGTCTCGAGGGCCCGCGAAATAGGTGGCACCCGGTCATCCTTCCCGTCCCCTTCCTCGTCAATCTTGAATAGATCGACAACTTCCTTCAGTTTCTCCAGAAGGACTTTCACAATCTCAACATTCCCACTTTCTACCGCCTTTGAGAGAGGGGTCTGGCCGCTTTTGTCTTTGTGGTTTAGGTCGATGTCTGAGTAGCCCAGCAGTATTTTTACCACCTGTAGATTTTCTTTTTCTACAGCAACTGAGAGCACAGTCCGACCTTTCTCATCTTGGTGATTTTTGTCCACCTTCTTGCTTTCCAGTAACGCTGTCAAGGCCTCCATCCCAAAGTCCAAAGGCTGATTGCGGGGGGGATTGGCACGGAGGTCTGTGGTGTGGAAGATTGGAGTCGATCCACCATCGTCCGGGAGATTCGGGTTTACGTTTCGATTGTCCAAAAGAATCTTGACAGACTTCGTGTAACGGCCCTTGATCGCCTCCACCAACAGCTGATTTAGGTGACTAGGGTCCTCATCCTCTCGCAGAGGACGAATTTTATCACGAATAAAGCCTTGCTCCTCAAACGATGTGGCCATCTTGGGTTGTATGATGATTGTCCAAGTCAAAAGGGTGGAGTACTGTTGATGAAAAATGCATGCTGCAGTCGTAGACGTGGCATTGCTGCCTTGTGGCGCCGTGGCATACTGCATGCGACCAGGATTATGCAAGGAGTAGCACATGTCTTGTTGGGTAATTAATTGGTACTTATTGGTTGGGTTGGACTGTTATAACAATGCAGGCAAATCACAGCCAAATACCAAGACACCCGTGGGGGGCAATATGCCTCTGGAGCTCGGTATCCTCCCCGACACCTTCGACCCGGTTCAGCAACAACCCCGGCCACGGCCACGGCCGGAGATGCGGGCACTGTGGTTGCATCTTCAATTGCCACGGCGGCCAGGTTGGCGATAGCTTCAAAATCCGACTGCGTTGAATGTGACGGTGTTCTGAGGCAGGTGGGAAATTGGTGTCTAACTAGAATAGGTTTAGTTAGAGTGCTAATCTACAACTTGGCTAATCTTAGCTCACTTTAGAGTACACTAATTCACGCACGCCAAGCAACGGGACTAACCGGGTGAACAGCGCGAGTCCACAGCACAGTCCCCACCGAAGAAGAGTCATACATTGAACCTTCAGCGCCTTCTTAAAGCCCATCTCTGCTCACGAGACATCCTCTATGCTCCAGCCACAGACGCAGCAATGAAGCCAGCAGCCACTCGATCATTACTCCGCTCCATAAGCGAGCGAGACAGCCAAACCCTGGCCCTCCCAGATGGCCGCCTCCTCGGCTACGCCGAGTACGGCCACTCGACCGGCCGACCCATCCTCTTCCTCCACGGCTTTCCAGTCTCGCGCCTCGAGGCCCTCGCCCTAGACAAGATTGCCCGCCGCCGCCGCCTGCGGGTCATCTCGCCCGACCGGCCCGGGTTCGGCCTCTCCACCTTCCAGCCGCGCCGCCGCATCGCCGACTGGCCCGCCGACGTCAGCGCCCTGGCGGCGCATCTGAAACTGGGCCGCTTCGCCATCATGGGCACGTCTGGCGGCTCGCCCTACGCGCTGGCGTGCGCGCATGCGCTGCCGCGCGAGACGATGTCGGCTGTGGGAATCATGGGCGGGATGGGATCCTTTGATCCGGGCACGAAGCACATTCCGATGGGGTCGTGGACGTTGGGCATGGCGTCGCAGTATTGGCCTGCCGGAGTAAGGATCGTGGCCGACGCGTTGATGGGTGCGATTCGGTGGGTTGCGACGACTGGGATGGTGACGAGATGGATCGACGGCTTTCTGGAAGAGTCGAGTCGAAAGAAGAAGGAAGCTGCTGCGGCAGCGGCAGTGGAAGGCTCAGCAACGGCAGAAGAGGAACCGGACGAAGCAGCGGAAGAGGAAGCACAACTGTCGACGGCGGAACGAAGGGAAAGGCTACTGCGCACTTTGTTCGACGGCTTTGCGCAGGGCGCAAAGGGAATGGTGCAAGAGGCACAGCTGGTGTCGCAAGATTGGGGATTCAGGTTGGAGGACGTTTCCTACGACCCGATCCTGTTGTGGCACGGAACGAAAGACTCAAACTCGCCGATTGGGTGGGTGCGGTCCATGGCTGAGCGGTTGCCGAATGGAGTCCTCAAGGAGTTTGAGGGCGACACGCATTTCACCATAGTCAATCATCTGGACAAGATCCTGTCTGACCTCGTCCCAGATGAGACGTCGGCAAAATCTTCGGACGGCACTGCAGCGCAGTAGCGTCTGTTGTCTCTCTCCTCATGTCCTCGCCAACCCAGTCATTTGAGTGCTTCGTTGGCAGGAGCTACCTTTGTACTGTAATTACTTGACTACCCTCCTCACTAGGCATTATCGTCTTAACCCTACTCTAGTAATGTATGATACGAGTCCTGGTTTCCGTCTCCGAACTTTTGTTGTGTGGTCTTTCTGTATTATAACTGAACAATGGCTACTAAATGGGCGTCGAGAATGGTCTTCGGAACGGCATGCCTTCGACATCATTACCAAGGATGGTCGCGTCAAGCCAAACGCACTGCAGCCATCCACATACGAAGGTGAGTGAGCCTTCTGCCGGGTGACTCACTGCGGAAAATTGATCAATGCAAGATAGCAAGATCAACCCCGAACGTTGCCTCGATGCGACCAAACTCACCGTATCAACAAACCCCTCATCAGGAGAAGCTTGAGTGCTCTGTTCGGATGTAATGGAAGCAGGCAATCCAGGCAAGGTCCCCGCTTAGCCCGACGCCTTGGCGATCGCTGCGGAAATCACCTAGCGTCAGCACGGCAACCGGCGTGGGCGGCGGTGGTGCCGATGACAGTTCGTGCTATTCGTTTTCCTGTAGCTTTGTTTTGATCTACCTAAATGACTGCCGACTCATGATGAAAGCATGTTGAATCTTCTATTAGAGGGACTTTGGACCAAACAAGGTGCAGACCCGCTATGTGGCCCCGATATCTAGAACGAACTTCAGATCCTAGTTATCTCGTCAGCTTGTACACTCATGTCTAGTTTGACTGTTTATACCTCGAGCCTCCCGCCAGCGTCGTCGTCCGCTGCATTGCTATCCAGTGACAGCCTCGCGAGTCGTCGCTTGCGCTCTTGTCGCTCTACGATGTTCTAGACGTCGATCTAAGTTAGCCATGAACTTGCCAGTGTCTGATGTGAGGACATGTACCTGCTCAACAGAATTTTGCGTTATGTACCGAAGAACCGTAACTGCTTTGGTCTGGCCCATACGGTGTGCCCTTGCTATCGCCTGCTCCTCTATAGCCGGGTTCCATTGTGGCTCAACGATATGGACGCGAGTCGCCGCCGTCAGAGTAAGGCTAGTTTGGAGTTAGTCCCTAGTGACAATTGCTGGAGTACGTGAGCTCCTTACCCGACTGAGCCTGTTTCGAGGGTCATGAGCAAGACCCTGACTTGAGGCTCATCTTGAAACCGACTGAGATGTTTCTGCCGATCTACACCATTCACCCTCCCATCGATCTGGACATAGCCTATGCCTTTGCTGTCAAGCATGGCTGCCAGGGCGTCCAGGGTCAGCCTCCAGAAAGCAAAGACTAGGCTAGAAGGAGAAGTGTTAGCTATTATAGGCCACCTCTAGCATACACTAAAGTTTTCACCTTTTTGAGACAGCCTGGTGCTGTTCAAGATTATTCACAACGGCTTTGAGTTTGGACGAGTGGCATGTGGTAATCATGTCTCGCCCCGTGTCAATCGAAAATGGTGAGTATGGAGGTAGGCCTGCTGCTGGTGAGATGGGTCCAGGAGAGGCAACGGAGCTCGCCGGTGTCGACTCCAGTCGAGGTATCGATTTGTCGTTTAGATATCGCGAGCACTCGGGGCAGACACTCTCACCATCGAGTAGCGCCATGGTGTCATCGTCGTTGCCGCTGCAGAACTTGCAAGTCAGGTCGCACACAGTGAGCTTTTCTTTCTGTTTCATCGCTGTTGAAGCTCGAAGTGACAGGTAGCTCTGCTGAAGAGTGCCGTAGCTACATAACTGGCGGAGCTTCATGATCGTAGCAAAAAGAACTGAGTATTTTTTGAGAGAAGAGTTCCGACTGACGATCTTGTCAAATTGCTTCTGGCATTCGGTGAAAATACGAGACTGCTCCGCGGTTTCTTCGACGCTGAGGGCGACGGGGATTCTCTCTTCTTCCACGGGCGGGAGTTCAAGATAACTGGAGTTCCGACGCAGACAGACAGCTCCGAGCAGGATTTTGAGATTCCTGAAGCCACCTTTGGAGTCTGACTGGAGCGGCTGCACAATATGCCTCTCAAACACAGAGCGACTTGCGAAGGGCTGGAGTTGGAGGAATTTCAGAAGAGACCGTAGATCCTCCATAGAGTTTTGAATCGGTGTGCCGGTAAGGCACCATCTCCTCTCAGATTTCAGCTCCGCTGCAGCCTTGAATTGCTGGGCAGATTGGTTCCGAATCCAGTGTGCTGTCCCAACTCATGTTAGCGTCTGGGTTTTGTCAAGGGATAAAAGGATCTCGTGGCAGCTGCAGGACTCCCACCTTCGTCTAGGACAACCCTGAACCAGCAAAGCTTTTGCAAAACTCGGTTGCCCTTCCAATCTGCGGTCAGGGTGCCGTAAGTTGTAAGCACAACATCACAACCCAGCAATGCTTCCGCCGATTTGGCGCGGTTTTCTCCATGGAACAGGACAGTAGACAATGATCCGGTTGTCAGGTGCCTTTAGTAAGGTCAGTTCAAGTGTCTCCTCCAAGGATCTGACATGGCTTACCTGTCTATCTCAGAGACCCAAACGTCTAGAACCTCTATGACGCCAATGTCAGCTATGTATACCTATTCAGCAACGAGAGGACAGGTTGTTTTCTCATACGCCGGGATGTCGCAACTACCAGAGTTGCCTCAGTATGCGGAAACCCACCAGGGGGTGTTGCTTCCGCCTGGCACACACTGGCAGCGTCTTTAGACGCCACAATGGTGCTCAGAATCGTCAGGCTCTTCCCCAAGCCCATGGAATCAGCCAGGATGCCCCCGGCACACAACGAGTATATTCCCGAGAAGAATCTACGAAACGATTAGCTTCATTCAGGTCACCTAGGGCTCATTTGGATCCTACTGGGGACCAATGAGGGCTTTCATGTCTGAGAAGATTTCGTGCCGACATGATGAATCTTCTCGACTGAGAATGAATTGCACACCGTCTGCCTGGTGCCTGCTTGTTGGTTAGAGAGATTGCCAAGGGACACGAACAAACCGGGGTACGAACGGCTTGAGCTTAGTACGAAGGCGTTTAGAAGGAGTGGATCTCTGAGGTCGCAGATAAGTTGGTTCATGTAACGATCCCAGGGCAGCTTCAACCACATCTGAAATACGCTTGGAATCTGACTCGACGAGAGGTGGTCCAACCAGATGTCGTAGATCTGTTGGCTCGTCGTCGGGGTAGAACCAGTGCGGGTTGACATATCGAATGCCAGCTGGCAGAAAGAGAGGATGCTGGAGATTGGCTGAAGTCGTTTCCAAGGCAGTCCCAACCTCATCGCCGAGAATCTCGGGCCCCATGATGTTGACGGAGGTACCAACGATAACAGTCTTCTTCTTCTTCCCCCTTCCTCCCAAGCCTTCCAGAACTGGCGACGCAATGACAGCCTCGAATGTGAGCGCACTAATGTATTTCAAAGTATTTAAATGGCCTTCGGTCACAATGTCTAAGATCCCGAGATCTCGATCTGATTCGCCGTCTGCTTCGCATATGAGATGATATTGTGCGCCTCGAACATTGAGTCCGAAGCGGTGAAATCGATCCCATGGCAGTGGCCGAACCTTCAATGCTTCGGAACAGACTAGCTGTGCACTTGCCGGGAATATCTTCTCGTGAGTTAGTCCAAAAAGCACGTGGGATTTCTAGACACGGTGGTGATGGAGTGCACCAACAGAAATAAAATATTGAAGCTGGGGCATCGAACTCACTGTTCCATAGCATATGTTTTCGGGCGTACTATCCGGCGTGGAAGGCTCTCTCATCTCGATATCGTCTTCAATCTCGAGGCGTTGTGTTGATGGGGTCAGGGACCAAGCATATTGGTGGTCAACATCCACCTGGAGCCGCTTAGCGGGCGAGATGCTGTCGCTGGCGCCGACATCGCGTCGGGATCGCTTGTGCCCCGATGACATGCCGATTAGCAAAACCCAGCATTCAGGGTAGGTTGAAAGTTTCTTTCCCGGTTCCTCGGGGGTAGCCAAAGCGAAGGAAAGAACCATTAAGAAAGTAAGGAAAGTGGAGGAGCAGGGCAAAAGATTGGGGCCCAAGGCACTTCTCAGACGACGAGGCTGCGGTGGAGGCAGTGCCTGCAGCCATACGCATTGAACTGCCAATCAAGAACATCCAACGCAGCCGATGAACGTCTGCTGGGTTGCCTCACAGCCCACAGCCCACGGCCCCGCTTTGCAGCCCTGACTGCCACAAACTATCACATCCCCCCTTCTCCTCTCTCTATTTCTTCTCCTCACACGATTCCAGAAATTGCAGCGATGACTACCTCGACGCTGAGAAGCCTGGAGCCATCCCGTGAGTATGAGTAATAAAGCTCAACAGATGGCTTCCTCGAGCCTGATTTCCCAGCCCAGAGACGCCTTCAGCAAGGCTGTCGAGCGGTTTCGGAACGGGCTCACCGAAGAGCAAAAGGCTCAATTTGCCACCACCAGTCTGAAAGATGTCAAACTCGAGATCCAACGGGTCCAAGATCGGTATGGGCCAGAGAAGAGGCTACGGAGGATGAGAAGACTCTCCAAATTCTTAGAAGCCATGTCACAGATCGAACAGGTCGTCAGCGTCTTCCTCAACGTGCATGAAGTCGTTGCGTTTGTCTGGGTATGTATCTATGTGGTCTTCCTTGCCTCGGATTTTCATGGTTTTACTCTGTTCTGACTCTCTAAAGGGCCCGATCAAGCTGGGACTGGTTGTTGCCTCAGCGAGGCTCGAGACGCTGGATTGCTTGCTTGATACCTACGTCGAGATTGGCGAGGTGATTCCAGGCCTTCAGCAATACGACAGCATTTTCAAAGCCTGTCCGGCCGTCACGGAAGTACTCGAAATGTATTTCTGTGACGTCCTCCAGTTTCACGCCAACGCACTGGATGTCTTCGCGCGACCAGGTAAACAGCCCCAGTTTTCCGGTGACATCGTGGGCATACTAATTAAAGCTTTATCTCGCAGCATGGAAAGATTTCTTCCATTCTGCCTGGAAGACATTCAGGAGCAAATTCAACCCCATCATTGAAAGCCTCAGGCGCCATCGGGCATTGCTTCTCGACGAAAAAATGACAGCTGCCATCATCGAAATCCAAAAGACGCGACAAGTAACCGTCCAGCACCTACAGGACCTGACAGCTACATCCGACACACATTTCAAAACCCTCTTGAGTGAAATGGAGGCGGTGTATCGACAGCTGTCCAAGCATATCTACGAGAATGAGAAGATGGCAACTCAGCAAGAGTCGAAACGGCAGCAAGAAAATCTATTGGCAATAAAATCGGCTATCGGAGAGAAGCTTGACGCCCCAGACTACGAAACAGACCATCAAACAGCCGCAAGGCAACGGTTTGCGGGCTCAGGGGACGGGGTGCTCCAAGATAAGCGCTTCTTGGAATGGTCTCAGGGGCAAGACAAAGAGAAGCATAATATCCTGTATCTGCATGGCAAACCTGGAGCAGGTAAGTTGCCCCAACACAGCCAGCTAGTATACCTAGTCACTAAATTCTCAAGGAAAATCAATCATGGTTTCACGTATCATTGACCATTTGGTGTCCGAGGCTACTTCACCAGTGCTATTCTTCTACTTCCGGCACGGCGATGACACCAAGACATCCATGACGGGGCTGCTTCGAGCACTTCTCGTGCAGTTGCTGTACCAAGATGACAGCTTAACGGAACAATTTCATCAGAAATGTTCCTCTATCAGCCGTCCAGAGCTCTGTTCACTACCGAAGCTTCAGGATCTCATGCTCGAGACATTGAAAAGCCAGAGGTCATGTTTCATTGTATTGGACGGCCTCGACGAGTGCGGGCAAGACAAACCCAGGTCGAAGGAAATCTCAGAGGCTATAATCGACTGGTTCGAACATGTCATCCCGAAATGCCGGGCCGAAGGCGGACACCTGCGGCTGTTGCTCTCAGGCCAACGAGATGGCATTCTGGACCAACGACTGTCAGAAGTTCCCGCAATCAGCCTGGACACCACGAACTCCCACAAGCAAGATATTCGACGCTTTGCGGAAGAAAGGGCACTCGAAATCCGCCAACGGTTTTCTGTTTCTATTGAACGCCAGGCTTCAATTGTCAACAAGGTGACCGATGCCTCTGATGGTGAATTGCAACACTCCTAGTTCTTGTACCTGGCCCTCGCTAACATGAAATGCCAAGGGATGTTCCTCTATGCCAAGGTGGTACTAGAAAACCTTCTTGAGCAAGGCTCCGAGGCAGATCTAGAAGATGAGCTTAATGAGAGCTTTCCCATGGGACTAGAAGAGGCGTAGGTGTACATCCCTTCTCTATTTTGAGGGGGCGTATCTAACATGAAAACCAAAAGATATCAGCGCGTTGTTGCTCGCGTCCTGGATCGTCCACCTCCTAGGAAGAGATATGCTGCAGAAAAGATCCTACGTTGGATTGTCTGCGCGGCTCGACCACTCTACTGGAGAGAAATCCAGGCGTTCTTCTGCATCAATCCCGAGGACGGAACCTGCGATGCCAAGAGACGCCGTGTGGATCCATGCAAGGCCATCTGTGGGTCTCTTGTTGAGGTCGAGCCTTGTAGCCTTGAGCCAAAGGCAGAGTCCGAGGCCAGGTTGAAGCTTGTTCACGCGACTGCGGGAAGGTGGGCTCCTCCATAGCTATAAGCTCCCCTCTGTACGTTTTACGGAGAATTAACTAACGTAAAGACAATTCCGCGTAGTTTCCTCGTCCGTTCCGGCAGAATCAACCTGCTTTTGGAACATGCCAACATGGCCTTGTTCTGCTCTCGTTACCTGGCATCACCGCCATTTGATCCAGCCCTATCCGCAAAAGAAGTCATTGAGGTAGCAAGATCAGGCTATTACGGTTCGCAGGACTATGCCACGTCGTTCTGGCACCACCACATCAGAGCCCTGCTCGACTCTCCCACAACTGGCAGACCGCAATTAGGAGGCGGTCTTGTCGCCGCTGTGGCCGCATTCTTTAGCCAATTCAGTATCCATTCCCAGCATGAAGCCCTCGCCGATTCTGGATCACTTTTGGCACCAGCATGTGTCAGAGATGTTGTCGACAAATTCCATGACGGCACCATTGACGCCCGGACCCTGGACGAGAGAACGATCTTCATCAGAAAAATCATCGAAACAATGGATGTATCCGAGCTCGACAGCAGACAACGAGCTTTCAGTTCGCTACATGGAGTGCGTAGATTCAAGTGCCCCAAACCGCACTGTTATCACTTCGCCTTGGGGTTCCAGATCCAAAAGGGTCGAGACGACCATGTTGCGGAACATGAACGTCCATTCAAATGCTCGGCAGAATCCTGCTATGCTCGAACGTTTGGCTTTCCTTTACGCTCGGATCTGGAAGCGCATGAAAAGAGTCAACACCCTCCATCTTCGTCAAACAAGGCCCTTTTCCCCAGCTCCAGAGACAAGAACCGAGCTGATAATATCTGGACTGCCTGTGCCACCGGAGATCTGGACGCCGTTAAACGCCGCATTGCGAATGGGGTCGACATACATCATACTGAAGGCGCTGCACGCAGAGGGCTTACCCCACTGATTATTGCCGCCAGAAATGGGCGTTTAGAGGTTTGTCGACTTCTCGTCAAACATGGGGCCAGTGTCTTCCACGCCGACTACAAGGTTCGACCTGACCTGACCGCAATCGGAGAAGCAGTCAGGCGATGTGATCTCGGCTTTTTCTGGGCCCTTTTTAACTTATCAGGAGATGAAGAAAGAGATGCTTTTGTTAAAGGAAACCTGCGGCCATATATTCAGGCTGCAGTTCTCGCAAACTCCAAGGAAGTCCTGCCGGTGTTGCTATCATGGTACTCACCGTACCCAAACAAAGTCAGTTTCGCTCAACTACTTCGCGACATTGCCTCATGCAAAGCGGATGATCCAGCAGGTAAAGAATCCTTGGAACTGATTCTAAACCATGAATTTCCGAAAACCGAACCAGGATACTCAAAAGATACATGGTACCCGAGTTTGGTGGAACCAGACGACAGAGGCCGTTCAGCAATTCGCATATCCTGCTTGCAGGGTTCCCGACCAGTGGTGGCATTCTTATTAGAAAGACTAAACAAGGATGACATCATGCCGCCGGATGTTCATGGCAACACCCTGCTCCATTACTTCGCTCAACCTTTCCCCCCCTGCGATGTTTTCATCCTGAAGCAGCTATTGGAACTCGACGAAGGGGTCTCTTTTTCTATCGCAAACAAAAACGGGCAGAAGCCGTTACATCTGGCCGGTGCATATTCAGATCAGCTGAATGAGTCTGCCTTGGATCTGCTTTTGGAGTTCGGGGCCCGATTTCTCTCGGATGAAGACAGCAGAGGTCTCACTCCGCTACATACTGTGGCTGGGAAGCGTCGGCCGAAATTTGCGAGAAAACTGCTGGCAACAGGCCAGGTGGATCTCAGGAAACCAGATCGCGATGGCAGAACGCCGTTCTCGACTGCAGCAAGCATGCCTAATGGCCGAGAAATGATGGAGCTTCTTCTTTCATACGACTCGTCTCTGGCCGCGATACCAGATGTCTCACCCGCAGCAGCAACACCACTGGTACATGCTGTCAACAGGGGATACCGAAAAAATGTCGCATTACTCCTTAGTCTCCCGGAAGCAGACACTTTGATGGACGACTCTTGGCCACAGTTTTTGTCAACTCCCGCGAATCGTTTGACGGATCCATTGCTCATTGGTTGCTTGGTGGCAAAGAGGGCAGACCTTGCCAAGAGGGTCCTGCGAGATCGGAAGCTCAAGTTGGCAGCTATTAAAGATGGCAGCTATGGGGCCGGCTTTATAGTTGAGGGTTTGAACGACCACGATATACTTCCGCTCATGTTCTTGCGGCAAGTTATCACAAATATTGACCTCACATCAGAACACCTGAGCATATTGGATGAGGAAACTCAGCGGTTCTTCGAGGAAGATGACTGGGATGCAGATTGGAAAAAGCCAATCATGGACATCGACCCTGACATACCGTTCTCAAGCCTTGCGAGTTTTGCTATACATGACGGAAACGCACGGCTTGTACAGTTGTTGGTTGATGAAGGGCATTCTCGCTCGGTCAACAATGTGGAAACCGATCCACTGACGGTGGAGAAGCTGGGGAACATGAACGTAGCGGGATGGAATCGGGCCGCGAACAACGATTCCTTTTGGTTGTGGGAGGAGACAAAACCCCCCGACTTGTATTGAGGCACATGTATTCGGGAATTCACATACATGTAAGGGTACATGAGGTCTAGGGTACAGGAGGTCTAGTACATGGAGATATGTAGTGACTTAATCCTATTCTCCTCCAGTTTCCATGGTGTGTCCCCAATATCAACTTCTCAACCAAGCTTAAGTACCCATGAAAGAACCCATAACACAAGCCCGTAACTCCATCCAAACCTACGCTCGATGTTCGCCAGGCCCCTTCAAATGCCATAGGCCGCCACAGGAACCTTCATTGCATTCACATCGATGCGGCCTAACATCTGCGACTGCCCGTCCGTCAGCGCGTCCATGGCCCGCAGCGAGATGTCGAAGTCCATCTTGGCGCGGTCGACGGCCAGGATGTTGAGCGTCAACCCCCTGTACTCGAGCTTCCAGCAGGTGCGGCGCTGCTAAAATGAGGGCCACAGTTAGCAAAGGGAATGCGCATTGAAAAAGGGGGCTTGTCGGCCAACGCCACACCTTTCTCAGGGAAATCTCGTTCAGGACCGCCTTGACACACGCGGGCGCCATGGCTGTGGCGTACGGTTGCCATTGCTTGCTCTTGCTCTCGTCTCCGTAGTCACACACGCCTCGAATCACGAATCACGCCCACGGGAATGCGGTTCATGGTCCCGGCTGCCTCCATCTTCAGGTCGATGACGTTGTACTTGTTCGTCAGCTTGTCCTTCGCCCGTGCATTTTTCATCAGCTTCTCGCCAGAACCGACAGCCCGCACCAGACTCGCGTGAGCTTCGACGCAGGCCGCCGCCCTCGCTTCGATAACTTTCTCGGTACCATGCTCTACTTTCCTGTTTCGATATCTTTTCGGCCTAGTCATATGCCTACCTACTGATTTTAGAATTCCCCTTCTCAAACGTAATGCTGCCTTGACACAGCCCTAGTCCACGATGCAAGCATGGCGGCAGAAGCAACAACTGGATCTGCCATTCAGCTCTTGAGCCAGTATCCAGGAAATACACCTTTGAAGGATCCTGTACGGAGAGAGCTGGTGCCTGTGCGATCGGGCGTGGTGGGGGACACTAAACAAGGTGGAGCAAAAGAGGGTTATAAGACGGAGATACACTGACCCCGGAGTAGCTAAGTTCTGATGCAAGATATTGGTGGACCGGAGCTGATGATGATCCGATCTCTAGCTACGACGGGATTGCCTACTTTAAGATGGGTCTCCCCACCCACCACCACCAGGAATGAACAGCCATGGTAATCCCAGACGACGTTGTCTAATTCCTTGTACTAATCTCTTTGACATCCTCCTGAATATAGCACTCATGTCACAGGTATCGGATGAGATGGGACTTCCCTCTCTACCCTTGACTGCCGAGGAAGATGAATCGAAGAAGCGGCGGGCCTCGAAGGCTTGTTCTACGTGTCACGCTCGAAAAGTGCGCTGCGACGTGCTAGAAGTCGGACTCCCCTGCACCAAGTGCCGGGTCAATAAGTTCGAATGTGCTATCAAAGATAGGAGAAAGCGACGCAAGAAAGGCGACTCCACAGGCCGGGGAGACACAGATCGCAACAGCAACGGGCCTCCCCCTCCACTGAACCGCTCAATACCGGAGCATAGTATGCTCTACCAAGTTCCCCATTATCCCTTCTTCCGAAGCTTCAGCCACCGCGGGAAGGCCCGGATTCATGCCCAGGACAGCGACCATGGCGTATTGCTTCCTGTCCCTGCACGCGACCAATCTGCCTTCTCCCATGGAGGCGACTCGGCAAGGACCATCGACGATACACAGTTCCTGAAGCGCAAAGGAGTCTTCGAGCTACCACCCAAAGAAGTGTTGGACCAATGCGTCTCGGTCTATTTCCAGCTCTTCCATCCGTTCTTTCCTGTCCTGCACAAGCCATCTTTTCTCGATCAATATTGCCAATCCGACCGGGACGCACTTCTCCATGGCCGAGGACCCAGCTTGTTGCTTCTACAGGCCATCATCTTCACCGCGAGCTCGGTAAGATCTCTCTGCCACATCATCCCGCTGCTGTTGCTCATCAATTCAGATCATACCTGGTCAGAGTATCCTTGAAATGGGATTTTCATCTCGGAAACAAGCGCGGAGCTGTTTTTATATGAGGGCGCGGGTAAGCAGATAATTAACCCGAGTCTCAATGCCCCCAGTTTCAAGTAATTGATAAAAAGTTTGTTTGCTGACAATCCGGAAGTACTTGCACAACCTTAACTACGAGCCAGACGATATTGTAACAATCCAGGCACTTCTTCTGATGAGCCATTACTATCCATCCATGGTGGAGCAAAGGCACACCTGGTTCTGGGTGCATCAGGCGATCGGCCTAGCCCAAGGCGCTGGGCTGCACCGAGACCCCGGCCAGGCAGCACCTCAACGAAAGTTATGGGCGAGGATATGGTGGGCGTGCCTCGTACGAGACAGGCTCATTTGCTTAGGCACGGGTCGGCCAATGCATATTAATAGCCTCGAATGCAACGTCCCTCTTCTCACAGCTGCAGACCTGGAGGAAGACGGCGACTGCGAGGACGACCGCACCGTCAAAGCTATCTTTATCGAGTTTACGAAGCTTTGCCAGTACATGGAGGGTGTACTGTCGCTCCCTTTGGCAACCGACGATTCTCTACACGAGCAGATCAGCATATGTGAGGCCGCTTTACGAAGTTGGCTCTCTAACCTGGATCCAGCCGCAAGACGAAGCAACGATGGAGATTCCAACATCCATCCTGCACCAGGTAACGACATTTCGGAACTCTATCGGACCATTCTGCACTTGATTTACAAGTAAGCTCTCTCCCTTAATTTTACGATCCTAGTCTTACTGATAATATGGCATAAGCGTCGTGCTCATGTCACTTCGGCAGTCCGTCAGCACACTCGATGAACACCGGACTGACAGCCCGAGATTGCCTTCTGTAGATGTGCAATCAGTCGCCAGTGACTCTGCCAGGCTACTAGAAGGCCTTGTGGCGGCCGATCTAGTTCGCTATTGCCCTACTCAAGTGTAGCTTCATCCTTCACCGGATTTTTATGCCTCGCGTGTCTTTACTGATCTTGAAGCAGTGTAACGACTGTGCTACCACCGCTCATTGTTCAGCTTCTACTGATGCGTGGTTTCAACCACGGGCCTGAGTGTGAAGTTGTAAATGGTCGATTCCTGACTTGCATGGCGGCTCTCAAGCAGCTCGGGGAGATATACTGGCATGCGAGCTTCTATTACGAATTCTTCGAGCTGACGGCATCAGGTTCTCAACCCACATCGGCTGCTAATCAGCACGCTACGGCGGAGGCGCCTGAAATCATCTTTGGCGGCAGGACGCCCGGGCGGCATACCAACAAAGATCTGGGACTCCAAAGCTGTCACTCGACTCGCACAGGAAGTGCGGAAGCCGTCAGAACAACGAGACAGGCGATAGTACCAGGCACCGACAGGGCCCCCTTTCATCAACAACACGCCTACCACGGTGAAACATCTACGGCCACTCCCGACTTGAAAACCCCCTCACCATCATCCTTCGATGGTCTATCGGGCGATACCCTGGGTCTAGATGGGCATACCCCTGGAGATGTGGATTTTACTGGGACTGAGGCTGGAGCATTCGAGAGTTGGCTAGACGATTATGGATTATTTCAGAGCATGTTTCCTTCAGCCTAACCTGGGGAACCGTCTCAGGTCATATAGAATTGTCCGCCTATTTCACCCTCTAGTGTATTGTCTAACACGCGCCCTTCCCCATCAATCATGCCTTCGGCCCGTTTATTATACCTAGACCCTTCTCACTGGTCCAGAAACTTCCTGATGGATATTCGTATGCCGCAATTGCCTCGGGCTTGTATTCGACGCTGTAGCCAGCCTCCCACGGGGTAACGAAGTATCCGTCCTTTGTCTGTACTGGGTGCTTCAAGACCTCACTGAATGAGTTGATGTGCTCCAAGAGACTCTTCTCTCCTGAGACACAGATGTAGTTCAAGAGGGCGAGATGTTGGGTGTATTCGTTAAGACCGATGCCCCCGCTGTGCGGAACGATGGGCACGTTGAACCTGATCAAGGTTAGCGGGGGTAATCATTAATTAGTTCACTCCCTGGGACTCCAGGCAGACGTACTTCTTGGCCATAAGCAGCACTGCCAGGACTTCATTCACCCCGCCTAGTCTGCAGGCATCGATTTGGCAGTAGTCGATGGCGTCGGCTTGGAGCAACTGCTTGAATATGACGCGGTTTTGGCAATGCTCGCCGGTAGCAACTCCAACACCATATGGCTTCAGAGCTTTCCGGATGGCAGCATGGCCGAGGATGTCATCGGGCGAAGTGGGCTCCTCGATAAACCTGTTGAAGGTATTAATTAGTGTCAGCCAAGATGTCCAACCTCCCAACCAAGTAATTAGGACCCATCATGACTTACACAGGTTTGAACTCGACCAGCTTTTTCATGTTTTCGATGGCATCTGGCACGCTCCAGACCTGGTTTGCGTCAACCATGAGCATCCGATCATGCCCGATCGTGTCGCGGGCAATCTTCAGTCGGCGCCTGTCATCTTTGATATCGCCCCCAACCTTTAGCTTGAACTTATCCATCCCCACCGCAAGGTTCGACCTGATAAGCTCAACCATCTTCTCGTCCGAGAACCCCAACCACCCCGCCTGCGTGGTATACGCCGGAACCGCCCGATTGCTCCGCGCATCCCTCACCCGCGCCGCCTTCGTCTTCTCCAGTCCCCTCAGCAGCGCCACTGCCTCCTCAGGCGTGATCGCATCGACGATATACCGGAAATCAATACACGCCACAAACTCCTCCGGCGTCAGATCGCACACCAACTTCCACAGCGGCTTCCCCAGATACCTCGCCCACAGATCCCAAAGCGCATTCACGCACGCGCTCAGGCCCAGGTGCACGACCCCCTTCTCGGGGCCGACCCAGCGCATCTGCGAGTCGGAGACCAGGTACCGCCACGTGCGCCCCATGTCCGCGGTCAGTTCCCCCAGGGTCTTGCCGACGAGGCGCTCGGCGATGGCGCGGGCGGCAGCGGTGCAGAGGTCGTTGCCGCGGCCGATGGTGAAGGAGATGCCGTGGCCGGTCAGGTCGGTGTTGGTGGTCAGGCGGACGTGGGCGGCGCTGTAGTCGCCCGAGGGGTTCATGGCGTCGGAGCCGGAGGCGTCGAGGCTGGTTGGGAAGCGGAGATCTGGGGGGTTGGGAATGTTAGGAAAGGGGTAATTGTATTTAGGAATGTGGGCGGCATTTTGGGTTAATTACCGTATGTCTCGAAGCCCACGATTTTGATGTCGGAGATGGGTAGCCGTGAGCCGGCGAGGGTGGATGAAGGAATATCATCCTCGTTGCTGATATTCAGGAGACCCGGAGCCATGACGTCTGGGTTTCTTTGAGATAATTATTCGTTCCGTATTAGTTTAGTGTCAGGAGAGCAGCTGAACAATCGATCCCAGGCACAGTTCTGGACAACCTGAGGTTTAAGTAATATCGACATCCGCTAACATGAACTCATCCCATTTCCTTAGAGCGCTGTAAAGATTGCCATTTGGTGCCAATGTTCCGGCAACTCGACAATGGGCAGTAGCTCGGCCAGTCATGATGGAGAAATCGGCTCTTCGGGCAATCCCAGCAGGTATTCGCTCTGTGCGGGCCCAGCTCAGTAACCAATCATCAAGCTTGAATCGGCTCTTCGGCTCCAAACGAACTGGACAAGGGACATCCCCGTTGCCAAGGATGGAGCCTCAACGACGGCAAACAAAGACACTGCACTAGGCTGTAAGACAGTGGGCCAATGATAGAACTGCCTTCGGCGTTTCGGCTCTACAAACTTGCCTGCGGTCAAGCTTGAGATGGGGAAATCTAGTCGTATAAGTGGATCTGCGCGCTGTTCCCCGCACCTACCCCATGATATTCACGACGTGGTTCCAACTCCGGGGCCCCGGAATCACTGACATCCAGCTAGATTCGTCTGCACTAGAAGCTAGATGAGGCCGGGGTAGTGTATGACTAGGGCATATCCGTCAGTTCCCAGCAGATGGACATGACAAGTTGGACAGTGAGGCCAGCTCAATATAAAGCAGGAGCTTCCCTGCTCGAAAACCGGCATCACTTTTGTCGTCGCGACCTGGTCCAATCTCCCAACTGCCATCCAGGCCTCACACAACAAGTTCTTCAGTGTTCATCATGGACGACTACAACCACGACATCAAGGAAGTCCCGAGACAGGCCAGCAACGGCGAGAGTGAACATGTCTCCGAAGACATGAAGCCTGCGGTTGCGGTCAAGATCAACCAGCTACATGCTGAAATGTATCATGAGGCTTTGCAGCTCTATCCCAACGACGATGCCATCGACAAGGAAGACGAAAGGAGGCTTCGGCGGAAGCTTGACATGCGCATCTTGCCGCTGCTCGGCATATGCTATTTCTTCTATGTTAGTAACTGGACTCTAACTCTCGTGGGCATCGGCCAACAATTTGGATTGGAATTCGCATGACTGACTCTACATCAGTACGTTGACAAAACAACGCTCTCCTACGCGGCCATCTTCGGCATCAAAGACGACCTTCATCTCCAAGGCACCCAGTACTCATGGCTGTCAAGCATCTTTTATTTTGGCTGGCTCTTCTGGTCCATACCGTCCAACCTCATCATGCAGCGCTGCCCTCCGGCCTGGTACCTGGCCTTCAACATCTTCATGTGGGGCGCTCTGCTCATGTGCCAGGCCGCCTCGCACAGTTTCACGGCCCTCGCCGCCCTGCGGATCCTGTCCGGCGCCTTCGAGGCTATCGCCGACCCGGCTTTCATGCTCATTACGTCCATGTTCTACACCCGTGAGGAACAGCCTTCTCGTATCTCGGCGTGGTATGCTTGGAATGGCGTTGGTGTAGCTGGCGGAGGTCTCATTGGTAAGTTGGATGCATTCCATCCCATCGCGAAACTGGCCTTGTTATAAGCCCGCGAGCTGATCAGAAGGCTAGGATACGGAATTGGCCAACTCAACAGTGGCGCACTCGCGTCATGGCGGTACGAATTCCTCATCGTCGGCGCATTTTGCTCCTTCTGGGCCATTGTCCTGCTCCTTCTGCTCCCAAACTCGCCCACCACCTTCTGGGGCTTCACTCACAAGGAGAGATTGCTGCTGATTGCGCGCATGCGGCGCAACCAGACTGGTGTTGAGCAGCAGAGTATCAACTGGGGCCAGGTCAAGGAGGCCTACCTCGACTACAAGACCTGGCTATTCACGTTTCTCGGTTTTGTCTCGGCGGTTCCGAATGGCGGTATTTCGAACTTCTCCACATTGGTTATCCAAGGTCTGGGGTTTGATACGCTGCACACAGCGTTATTGGGCATACCGCAGGGCGCTCTGGTCGTCATCTGGATCACTCTCGGTGCGGTCGCAAACAAATACATGCCACCGAACAGCCGCACGATCGTCTCTGCGATATTCATGCTCCCAACCATGGCCGGGGCGTTGGGGTTCCTGCTCGCGCCAACGGATGCGTATGTCGGGCGACTGATCTGCTTGTAAGCTTATTATCATCCCCTCCTGCCTGTCTCTCCACTATATAGAAACTGACTGATCTGCTCAGCTACCTCACGGGCTCATACCAAGCCTCGTTTGTCATCTGCCTCTCCATGGTGACAAGCAACACCGGCGGCCAATCCAAGAAGATGATCGTGTCAGGCATGGTCTGGTTCGGCTCATGCGTGGGCAGCATCGCCAGCCCTTTCTTCTACAAGTCGGATCAGGCGCCGTCGTATCACCTGGGCATTGGGTCCTTGCTCGTGGCCAACTTCCTCGAGTTCCTCCTGTTCTTCGTGTTCCGGTATGCCTTCAAGTGGGAAAACCGGAAGAAAGAGAAACATCGCGAGGCTCTGAGGGCAACTGGAGTTGTGTCAGATGATGCCGCAGGGTTGAACGAGACGGCTTTCCAGAATTTGACGGATAAAGAGAATCCGAATTTTGTGTATGTGTATTAAATTAGAGCATGTTTATTTTTCACCCTTGTTACAAGGGAATATCAGTAAAAGCAACTTGAAGGCCTGATATATCCTCTCTACATCCTGTCTGTTGAAGCGCATGACTTCAACGAGCATGAAGAGAATTGAGGGGGTGATAGTGATATACAGTCATTTTTGGAGGATATTGACACTGTTCGTCTCCCTATTCTACCATTTTGGTATGTGTTCGCCTGCTGGAAGGGCGAGAATGTCATCTCAAAGCTCAACCATGTCTCCCATGTAAGCTAGTTCTTGCCTCCTTAGCATCTTAGAGCATCTTGGAGCGTCAAAGATCACTGCTGGTCCCTTTCAATATCCAACCCCACAAATCGCTCGTCAACTGCCTTTCGGATTTTCCAAATTCGCAACCATCCCACTTATCCATACCTCACAGCACTGGCAACACCCGCTTTTCCTCCCCCACGCCTCGTAAATCTAACAACCGCCCCCTCCGCGAGACCAACGGCTTTTGACAACGGTTGCAGGTGACAGCTCTCAAGGCTACGCCACCCAGCCTCTTTGTATCCGCATCATCGGTCCCAGCAACCAAGCCTACGTCGTAGTGGAGGATGACAGCCGCGCCCCGCTGTTGGAACAAGGGTCAGCACTGGCGCCGCATCCTGCCGGTCGCTAGGACACCGTAGCTGTCCGCTCATCGCGTCGTCGCTAGCTGTGGGACCTGCGTGCTGACTCTTACCGCGGGCCACAGGTAATATCTCCTGTCCAGAGGTAGAGAACCCCTTGGATATGAAGCCGCGGAAGTTCATGACAGAATCAGCACAGTATTGCGGGTGTAACCTGGCCGTCGGATCGATCGCCACCAACACCCTCCTACCAGCGTCATGCAGATCACACCCATCGATGAACTACCCATTAGACATATCCATGTCTGCAGCGTGGGGCTCAGACTGGGGAGTGGCAGCATTGTCCGGCTTCCGGCCCCACACGACGTAGAACTTTATATAGGCGTGAACGTGCTGGTCGGCCATATCCTTCCTAACATTTACGAGGGAGACCTGTCACGTCGTCGTTGTCAATGTCAATCCCAGCGCCCTTGTTCCGAGAGCTAAAACAAGAAGAGAGAACGGTGAGGGAGGGGGGAAAAGGAAAAAGAAGGGGAAAAGAAGGGAAAAAGAAAAAGAAAATCGCCACCTACCTCAATCTCCTCCTGACTCATCCCCTTAACCCGATGCAGCAGCGCATAGCTAAACGCCTGCAATCCGCTCTCCATGTTCGCATGGAACATCTCGCCCAGCATCTTAAGCTTCTGGACCCCAGGCCACCTATTGATAGGGACCTTGTACACCTTCTCCTGCACATCCACGAACCCGGCCTCTTCGTACCACCGCTTCATGCTGTCGGCAAACGGCAGCGGCCTGTCGGCGGCGATGCTGGCCTCGACGATGTCGTCGCACCACTGCTTGAAGTGGTTCGTCGGCGCCACGGTGCCGTCGTCGCACTCCAGCAGGCCCATCAGCTCCTGCGACTCGAGGTAGCCGCCAGGCCGGAGATGATCAAAGGCTGGCCGGATCACTTGGTTGAGCATGTCCGACCAACAGCCCATGGTCACGCGCGTGTGGATGTAGCAGAAGTCGGACCAGTCGGGGCTCTTGGGCCACTCGTCGGTTCTGTTGATTTGTCAATTAATCGTCCCTTCCCGGTCAGCGCGAAGATGAGGAAAAAGGGGGCAAAATAGGGATAATTAAGGGGAGATGGCAGGCAGGCAGGCAGGCAGGCAGGCGGGGCACAACTCACGCATCGTCGATGACGAACTGCACGTTGGGCGGGACCAGGTTGTTCTGGATCGGCGACAGGTCGGTGCCAATGATTTGCGCCTCGGGGAACTCGTCGCCCATGTCGATGGCCCAGCAGCCAGTCCCCGTCGCGATGTCGAGGACTTTGCGAGGCGGGTTCTCTTGGGACCAGGGCGCGAGGTAGTTGCGCCCGTCCAAGATTACCTTCAGGATGTCGTATTGGAATTCCAGCCTGTCCACCTCGGGCGTGTCGTTTGGGTAATGGTACACTTGAATGGTGTTTCAGCTTCTGCGGAAGGCCCGGTATTTGAGCGTTGAGCGGGGAGGGAGGGGCCTTACTGCCAGCGCGATACGCGTGGTATGTCCGTCCATTTTCCTTTTGGAACTCATATATGCTCTCGGTCAGGGACACCGTTTCTCTGTCCCCCAGACGTTTAGCATCGAGGCAACAAGCGAGGAAGGAAAGACGTACGACACATCGTCCCGTGAAGGGTTGGACTGCCCGAGCGTCAGCGGATCAAATGGAATAAGCTCCTGGTTTCATTCCAATCTTACGTCGACCTCGATATCTCTTGAATAGTCAAGGTAATACTCGAATGTGAATTTGAAGTCGTTAAGGCTCTCGCCTGACTCATTGAAGCTCAGATTCATCACCGAGGGCGCCGATCTGGTATTCGTCGTTGAATAAATGTGAAGCAAAGTCGGGATGCGACAGAAAAGACACCGAGGGAAAAGCTCAGGTTCTGTGGCCGGGGGGTCAGCCGTAGCTTTTAAAAGCCCGAGCGGGGATCCCAGTTCTGATTACCTACCTTTTGAAGATTCAGATTATTAGCGTGCACGTGAAATGACCGTGACCCAGCAGCCTGGTTCTGTGTACCCCAGCCCGCTCACCTTGCTGACGGGATATGGACGACCCGGCGATCTGGTACGGCGGGGTGGCGGCGTTTTGGAAGGGGAGGACAGCCAAAATATGATAAATGACGGGGCTGCGACGGTGGAAGAAACTTGAGGATCCCAAACGGAGTCAGCCAGTGCCCTAATTTTACTTCCGTAATGGCAATTCTTGTTTGGGCAGTCGTGCATGAAGACTCGCTAGTCGCTGGTAGTGGAAGCTAGATGAGTGGGGAATGAGGAGGGGAGGCCGGGAGGGAGATCCGGTGCATTCATCGTCTCACGATTACCAATCCCGAATGTGCACACAAGTGTATGCTCTACGGATACAACTATGCATATCTGCTGCACTTATTAAATGGATGAATAATATGGGATATCAAGGCTCTTCGGTAGTTTGCAGAATAAATAGGTGATGGGATGATTAAGCACACAGTTCACTCCTCGACTCGCCATCCATCCTTGGAAATGTCGGGAATAACTTTTCCTCGTCGACTGCCGAGAGACCCCAGTTCTTTGGCTCGGCGCCTTGCCTGTTCGGTCTTGGATCATCGCTCAAGCCTGTCAAAAGTTTGTCGGGGGATGCCGCCCGGGTTTCCGACTCCCGTTTCGGGTCTCCGCGGAGACAATCACTTGGGCCATTGGATTGGGCTGAATTTTTTTTCCTTTTCTTTCCTTTTCTCTCCCGTTGTTGATCATGATGGAGATCGCTTCTAAATTAAGGTTTTGCCAAGGGGAGGGGCAGGTGTCTCGCTTATTCTGTCACGTGCTTGGAGTGTGGCCTCGTTGGTAGGTACATAGGTACCTACCTACCTAGGTAGGTATGTATCCTTGTGTCAGAGCGGCAATCTGCAGTGACCCAAGTCCGGGGACTTGGGACTGCGACCCGAGTGTTTGGGAAGCGACACAATTACGGATACGTCAAAAACAACAATATTAATCCAAACTTCCCGGATTCCGAGGTGGGAAGGCGATGATTACTCGGAACCCTCATACCACAAGCCTCTTCTTTGTCAGTGTCAATCCGCAAGATCCGTGCGGACGATTGGGTAATTATGAGGCTCGCCCGTCATCAATGGTTAGAGAGCGACGTCATCACGACTGAAGGTTTTTACAGTGCCACTCGCTCTACAAGCTGTTCGGGTAATTAGAGCACATATTAGCAAGTGTTTTGGTATTAATATTACCGTCCAGTCAACACTAGCTTAAAGGAATGAGGTGTGTCGTCATGTCATAAACGCGTTCCCGACAATTTCAAACGCAAATAGCAAATAATTAGCAAATAATTACCTCCTGGGTGGCCAATTTGCAATCTCTCTGGTCCCTTTCCCAACTCAATGTGTATGTTTCTCTCTGAGTTTACCGGCCAGAGTCTCTCCAAGGTGTCTCAGCGAGGCAGCGCCCATAATCTCAAGCACGCTGACCTGCAACCCGAATGCTTGCCGGAACCATCTCCTCAGCTCAATCGCCGTGAGGGAATCGAGGCCCATCTGTGACAGGCTAAGTCCGACGTCAATTTCAGCGTCCGGCTTCAGGAGGAAGTCATAGATCTTCCTGCCAGTTTCCACGGCGAGGAAGTCAATGGATGACTCGTCCGCCAAAATGTTGCCCGGGTCACCATCTGCTAAGCCTTGCAGGAACTGCTTCAGACGACTGCTTTCCCCACCGGTCTTGGAGGCTTCTTTGACAGGAATGTTGTGGTACATTCCCATTCGACGATCTCGACGCCAGTTTGTCGGATTCTTGGGATCGTCCAAATGGAGCTCTGATCTTAGGCCCATGATGATCTGTGCAGTGCTTTCCCACGGTGATTCAAGGGCAGCGTTTGCCAAGACGACAGGACCCGAGGATGGTTGGGGAGAAGAATTCAGCAGTGAGGCCTCCACGTTCTCCAGGAACTCCTTCTCCCCAAGAGTGTACAGACCCTGCAACTTGATGTTGCGCAATGCCCACGGGTTGTCTGCAACATAACCGACATCGTTGATCGGACAGATACACAGCACAGAAGCTGGCAAGCCCAACGAGTGTCTGTACTGACAGAAAGCTTCGAGGAAAGTGCACCCGGCTTTGTAATTCCCCTGTCCCGGTTGATCGACGACTGTGACAGTAGAGCTGGCTAGCCAGAAGTAGTCCAGGGAATGGCCCGAAAATTCCTGATGGAGATTCCACGTCCCGCGTACCTTTGGGTCGTTGGCGTCAATCCAGTCAGTCCATTTCATGTCACTGAATGGAGAATCCTGTCTTTGATCAGCCTTGTGTGTAGTGGGTCGTATTAATCGGGAAATAGGCTTACCCTTTGCACCATCGCAAGCTGAAAGACGCCTTTGATTGGGGCTGGGGAGACTCGAATGGCTTTCTGGATGTCTTCAACGTTGTTGATACTCCCACTGACCATTGTGACCGAGCATCCCATAGACTCCAACTCTGCGGAGATGGAACTGCTCTCCGCGCTAACCGTAGCGTTCCTTGAAAGGAAGACAAGGTGCCCAGCACCTCTTTCGGCCAGCCAGGTCGCAAGGGATTTCCCCAGGCCTCCTGCACCACCGACAAGCAAGTAAGCCGAGTCTGCATCGAACTCTACCAGCTGAGGTTCTGGAACCGCCTCAAGGCCGGAGGCGTCCTCTGGCAAATTCAAAATGATCTTTCCGATATGCTCTCCCGCCTGGAGATGACGAAAAGCGTGTTTAACGTCTGCCGCCTTAAACGAAGTAACGGGTTCCAGGGGCCGGAGCAATCCTTGTTTGCAGAAGTCAAGAGTCCTCTGTAATACGCTGTCCACGGCAGTCAGCATCTGTTAATTAATTGGTTACCACAAAGCACCGAGAGGGCATCGAACTCACTCCCGGATTATCATGGGCTGTTCCCGAACCAAATATGCAACATCAATACCGCAATACGACCGATTATCCAGGAACCGGCTCAAGTCGAGCTGGCCGTAGCCCGCGAGATCGCGCTTCCCCAACTCGAGAAGGGTTCCGTGCTTTGCCACACACTTCCACGATGCGTGCAGCAGTTCCCCCGGAAGCGAATTCAGAACAAGGTCAACACCCTTCCCGCCGGTTCGCTGCATGACCCCGTCAAGGAAAGACGGATCCCGGGAAGAAAATATCCGGTCGCGCGGGATACCATAATGAGCAACCAAATGCGCCACCTTCTTCTCGCTCCCAACAGTGGCAAAGACCTCGGCACCCATCATCTGCGCAACCTGGATAGCCGCCAGCCCGACACCCCCGCAGGCCGAGTGCACCAGGACGGACATGCCCCTGCGCAACCGCCCCGCATCGAGCAGGGCATACACCACCGTCGCGAAGCATCCCTGCACCGTCGCCGCCTGCTCAAAGCCCATGTCGTCGGGGATCTTCAGCACGTAACTCTCGGCCACAACGACGTGCGTCGCGAACCCTCCCTCGTGCGTAAACGCCATGACGCGGTCTCCCACGGCGAGACCACCACCACCATCACCACCGACTCCGACTCCGCTGCCCAGCCGCCGCACCGTGCCCGAGACTTCCATCCCGAGGGGCACACGTGACTTCCGCCCGGAGCTGCTGCTGCTGCTGATCAGGCCGGCCGCGTAGACGACGTCGCGGAAGTTGAGGCCGGCGGAGCGGACCTCGATTTCGACGTGGGAGGCGGGGATGCTGGGGGCCGTGGGGCGGGACTTCCAGGTCAGGGTTTCGAGGATTCCGGGCTTTTCGATGTCTAGGTATGTTGTCGTCTGGGCTTGGGTAGTGGTGCTCTTGGAACGGACTTCGTCGGCGAGGGAGAAGGGGCGGTACCGGCCTATGCAGATGGCTCCGTTGTTGATGGCGAATTCCTTGTCGGATTCTAGGCTGTGGTTGTCTCTTTCGTCGTCGCGGAGGATTTTCTCGAATATGTTGGCGACGAGTGGGCCGAAGTGCTGCTCCTTCTTGCTGTCGATCTCGAGAGTGTAGAACTGGAGTCCGAGTTCTGACCGGATGGTTCGGGCTACACCGAGGGTCTGGGCTGAGAGCGGATCGCGGCAGTTGATTTGGAGGGGGCGTGTTAGCCAGAGCAGTCTGCTGGAGCCAACGGAGCCGAGGAACCGCTGGAAAGCTGCGAATCTGTCTGCTGTCATATCGTGGAAGAAATTGGTCTCGAGATCGAGGCAGGAAATAATATCCTGGTCTTGGGGAAGGTCGTCGCTTCCGAAGGTGCATCGTGTTACATCCCAACCGAGGGTCAGGATCGAGGACGCCACCGTACGAGCAACTTCGCCTTCGATGTCATCCGACAAGACAGTAACCTTGGACGGTTTGGGGTTTTCCTGAGCCTCCCTTTTAGACATCATCACGGCGAATTGTCGATACGGTTCGTCGTCATCGTATACAGCCATGTCAACCCCGGTGAACCCGGCAGACTTCAGGTCCTCGTCCCATCGCGACACAGATACATACGGCTGGTCCGGACGGCCATCTGCCTCGCCCAGCCACCATCCCGAAAAGTTGCCGAATATGTAGTTTGACGGTCGCGAGAGGCTGCAGAGTTCCGTCATGACAAGCATCCCATCCGGCCTGAGGAGAGGCCGTAGGTTGCTCAGCGTCTCCTTCAGGGAAGGCGTTGCGTGGAGGACATTGGCAGCTAGGATGAGATCGTACGACTCTCGTTCGAGGCCCTGCGTGGCTGGATCCTTGGTAACGTCGACAACTTTGAACTCCATGTTCGGAGCATAGGCGAAACGCTCCTTTGCAGCCGGGAAGAAGCCGGCGGACACGTCGGTGAATGTATATGTTGAATATCCCGGTAGTCCAGCTACGTCGACCAGGCTCCGCAGGATGGTCTCCGTAGTCCCGCCGGTTCCGGCACCCACCTCGAGGATTCGGAGTCTCGGCCGGGTGTGGGACAGGACGCGGACGAACTTCGAATAGTCAAAGGACATGACGTCGTAGATCCTGGCGAGAATATTGTCTTGCAAGAGGATATCCAGGGTGTCGGCTTCGCCAGTGAAGATCCTCTGCACGTTGTCAAGGATACGTCTGGCTCCGACCGCGAAGGCGCTTTTCGGCAGTTCTAATAGCGCGGTGGTGCGGTCGTCTATCATGGCCTGCCTCTCGGAACTCGAGAGCCTCACGTATTGTTCAGCGTCCTCGACGAGCTTGTACCTCCCGGCTGCAGCGAACCCGATCTGCTGGTTCAGCCAGTCGCGGAACCTGGCGAAATGCGGCTGGCCGGGCTCTAGGTATCGCACCCTGTCCGCCGTCTCGAGAATGCACAGCAGCCCCAGCTCTTCCTGCAGCTGGGTTTCGGCCCTGTCCGAACTGGGAGGTATAAATAGGGTAGACTTGTCGACGAAGTCGAAGTGAGGAAGCCACTGCAACCTTGCGGCTGCGTGGACGTCGTCCACCTCAGACGTGTCGTCGTTGAGGGGGCGGAACTCGATGCCCGATGCGTGCAGCACCAACTTGCCGTCTGCGACACATTCGACGAAGGGGAAGTCCGCGTTGCCGTACTGAATCGACGCTCTGGCATCCATCACGTCGGCTCCAGGACCTATCACCAAGTCCTCAATGGCAGTGGGGAGACAGAGATGCGCAATATTGCGTCCGAGACCACGTGCTCTGGCAACGAGGAGCAGCTGAAGGCAGGCGTCGATTGCCGCCGGGTGGAGCGTGAATGGGAAGCGACTCTGCGGGCTTCTATTATTGACGACCTGGCCGTGTGCGACATCTTCTACGGTTGACGACATGACGCTCGCAAGGCCGCGGAACTCGGGTCCGTAGACGAAGCCGACTTTTGCAAGGTTGTCGTAGATCTGAGAGCAGTTGACAACCCGGGGCAGGTTCTCTGTCTTCCAGTGGCTGGACCTCATTTCCGCCTCCTTGCAAATGGCCACGCGCCCGCCACAGTGTTGAATCCACGTCGAACCGTTATAAGACGTGACGGAGAAGTCAAACCACTCCGAGTCTTCGTTGTCGTTAAGCTTGTGGCGTCGCAAGCTGGTCATCAGTTCTGTCGGCGAAGAGTCGGATAAGAGAAGGGCAGTGTGGGTGACGACATGCCGGAGGCGGTAGCCAACGTCGTGTGATGAGTGTGTGAGTTGCCGCACGGCCTCGCCGGCGAGAGCGACATATCCCGCGAAAGGGAATACGACGTCGTGGCGTATCTTGTGGTCGGCCAACCAAGGCTCATCCTCGAGCTGGAGGATGTTCCGCCACTGAGGCTCCGTCTCCGTGCCTTCCAAGACTCTGGCGCCTAACAGGGAATGGTGGGGATACTGGCGGCTTCTCCAGGATTTTGAGACGCGACTCTCGTACCAGTATGAGCCGCCACTGTGATCCCACGGATATGTTGGTAGTCCTGGAATTGCCTTGCCCCTTGGGAATAAGGGCCTAAGATCGAGGGCAACGCCTTCCTGGTACATCTTCCCTATCGACGAGAGGAAGCTGGCTGCACAATCTTTCCCTCGAGTCAAGGCCGGGACATAATTGCAAGGTCGAGACAGGGTCGCACAGATCTGCCGCAAGGGTCCGGCCAATGTCGAGTGTGGGCCAATCTCCAAGAAGAGGCCGTCGCCCTTGAGAGCCAACAAGTTCGAGGTTGCTGACGAGAACCTCACCGGGGATGTGAGATTACTTGCCCAATATGACGGACCCAGTGGAGAATCATCCATAGCCTTGGAGGTAACCGATGAGAAGAAGACGATGGCATTAGGTTGCGGCCTCATCCTCTCCTGGTTCTTTGTTTCCGCTGCTATCAGCTGCTGATATTCTGAACTCAGGGGTATCATATGATCTGTTCGATCAAGTAATTAGTTACCGCGTGCCACAGAGAGGGTGGGAACCAATGTGCGAAGCCTTACGGGAATGATATGCCATGTTAACCTTGAGCGCCCGAGCAAGCACATCAGGCATCTTCTGTTTGATAGCCTCAACGACCTCACGGACTTTGGAAGCATCTCCCGAGATCGTAGAGCTGCTCGGACTGTTCTCGCACGCCAGCACCACGCCTTCTCGCAGGAAATCGGAGAGGTCGTGCGCTCCTATGCCGATGGCCGCCATGCCCCCGTCAAGAATCTGCTTTGTCGTGACATATCCGCGGTAGTAGGCAATGATGATCGCTTCTTCCATTGAAAGATAGCCGGCTGCATACGCCGCCGCTATCTCTCCGCTAGAGTGACCGACAACAGCAGTTGGTGTGACTCCAAGAGCCGCATACTTGTTGAATAGGGCCACTTGGATTGCTGTGCAAAGAGGTTGCGATAGCTCTGCTTTGTGGATCTGGCTTGAACTAGCAGGTTTCAGGAGTTCATCTGTGGTAATAGAGTTAAGAGTTAATTAGCAGACAACACGGAACTTCTCGTGGCCTAAGTTGGTTCTGCTTACCTAGCATATTCCATGGAGGCGGATGTCTCAGGTCTCCAAGTATTCGACCCATGCTTGAGATGTCGTTGCGGAAGTTGGAATCGTTTAGGATCAACTCCTTGCCCATCTCTGGCCACTGACCTCCCTGTCCACTGAAGACCATAAAAATAGCAGGTACTTCCTGCGGTGTTTTGACTCCACCAGAAGTCTCGATGAAACCACCGTCATTGAGAATGGCAAACGCCCTCTGCGATAAGTGCTCTCTGTGCAAGGCCCGGGTGTAGGCGGCGTCGGAGCAGGATGATGGATTAAGGCGAATCCAGTCCTGGTGACGAGAGATCTGTTGTTTCAAGGAAACCTCCGTATTCGCGGAAAAGAGGATCAATTCTGGATTTGGAGAGGTTGTGCCATTCGGTGGAGTCGTCGTGTGCCTGCTGCCATTGGTAGTTCCGTTCTGGATTGTCGTGTCCGCCTGAATTGCATTGGCATTTCCGTTCTGGATTGCCGTGTCCGTCCGAGTGCCATTTGCAATTTCATTATGGACTCCATTCCGGATTCCGTTCTGGGGTCCGTTCTGGGTTGCGGTGCCCCTCTGAGCATATGCCTCGAGAATCACCTTCAGGATCTGTTAGCAACGCGAGTGTCTTACTTAGAGTGGGATAGTATGAGGGTTCCTTACGTGCGCATTGCTGCCACCGATCCCAAACGAGTTGATGCTAATCCTCTCTCGCCGGTCTGGCGGAAACGGCGTCGGAATGACAGGGACGGTCAAGTTGTACTTAGAGAAAGGAACTAACGAGGCTTCGTATTAGCTGGCCATATCCAATTATATCTGGGAAGTTGAAGTTCCTTCGTCCATATTCATGCAAACTCACTTTTGGGATTGGGGTTATTGAACTTGATGTTCGGGGGAATTATCCTGTGCTCAAGGGCCAGGATAGACTTGATTACGGACGTGAGGCCCGACGCGCCCTCCGAATGCCCGAGGTTGGGCTTTACCGAGCCGATGTAGATGCCCGACTCGCCAAACACTCTTCCTACCGCTGATGTTTCGATCGGGTCTCCGGTAGGCGTTCCGGTACCGTGACACTGCAAGTGTTATTATCTCAACTCGAAAGTGTAGGGTGCAATCTGGCTTGGCACATAAATACCTCGATGAAAGCTGTGTCGTGTAGATCCAAGCCAGCATCCTTGTAGGCTTCCCTGATGAGTGCTTCCTGCGCAACTCCATTTGGGGTAACCAGACTCGCACTCTTCCCATCACAGTTCGTAGCTGAGCCGCTGATGACAGCTCTGATGGGATTGCCGTCACGGATGGCGTCTTCGAGCCGCTTGATATAGATTGCGGAGACGGCCTCAGCTCTGGCATACCCGTCGGCTGCAGCATCGAAGGTCTTGCATGAACCATCGGCAGCGAGCAGCTCCCCCGCGGACATTGTCGATGTGAGTGTGGGAGTCGTGATCATGCTGGTGCCACCAACAACTGCAGATACGGCGTCGCCGTTTCGGACGGCGCGGAAAGCTTCATGAAGAGCGATGAGCGAAGCCGAACAACCCGTCTTGATTACCATGCTATATCAAGACGTGTCAGCTCATCACGTCGATACCCCTGCTGGTTCCAAGGTCTCACCTGGGACCTCGAAAATCGTATTCATACGAGACACGGTTGGCCATCATGAGATCACCGTGTCCGGTCACTAAATAGCCGCCTCCCTGTAGGGATTCTTTGGCGCTCATTATCAACCAATCGTCCCCGAATGTCCCCACGTAGCACCCGACCTGCTCTCCCCGATAGTTGACTTCGCCTGCATCCTCCAGACACTCCCGGACTACCTCGAGGAGTAGTCTCTGCTGAGGGTCGGTCTTCTCCAGCTCGTTCTTCGTTATTGTGAAAAACGATGTGTCCAGGGTTGCCAGGTCTTCGTCAAGAAAGTAGCCATGTTTGACCTTTATGGCTTCCTTGCCCCCCAGGCTGTCATCAAATCCTTGGATATTATAGCGGCTCTCAGGGATGGCACTGCGTGCGTCCTTGGAGTTCCTCAGGAGGTCCCAGAAATCATGACCGTTGCGGATACCTCCGGGAAGGCGTAGTCCGATGCCGCAGATGGCGACTCCGTGTGCCGGTGGGAGCTGGGCATTTCCGTTTGTGGTGGGTGCCATCTTTGGTGCATGAGTCCATTCAAGACAGTTCCCGTAAGAGACGATTCATCAATGAGCAATTCAACACAAGTCTGAGGATGATGTGCAAGTCTTGGAACCAGTGGTCCTTCATGCTCACCAGTTGCAACAAGTGCGAGACGATCCACCCGAAGCCAAGCTTCCTTCCCGAAAACCGAACCCGCCATCTCAGTGTCCAATCAGTGAATCGGACTGACACCAAGCTAAGAAGGTCTCTGCTGACGTGGTTCCAGCAAACAGGATTGCAAGAGGACATTCTGTAGTCCCCCCCCACTGATTAGCTCACTTTGAGCGTCGAAAGGGGCATCGATCCTGTCACTGTGCCATTCACGGCAGATGCTTTGACTCGAGAAAAACACCCTCGGCCGTATCGGAAGCCACCGCTGATAGGCCGATACCGCACAAGGTGAGTTGCAGTTGTGGAGACGGAGTCGAGACCTCGACCTGGGGGTGGTTGTTCGCCTCTCTAATCTTTTCTAGGTGTCACCCGCATAATCTTGAGTCCAAAGATTGGCGACCGTTCGACGGCTACTGCATTTGCATGTTGAGATCTGCATCTTTTGCATGGTGGCCAGCTTATCAGAACTGGCCAGAAACCAGAGAATATGGTGAGGGAGGAGGGATACTGTTCCGATTCGCGAGCCGTTCGTTATCTTTGAGTTGGTGTAAGCCGGTGTGTCTCGATTTGACCTCCCGAGTTACCTTCGGACCCGGCAGTCACCTACATAGTCACCTACATCCTCGGCTGCCGACACATTCCACAGGATGCGACCCGTCACCCACGAGGCGTCAGCAGGGCATGCAACCATGACGTGACTGGTGTGCTGGCAAGCCTAGAGAAACCCCCCGCTGGAGCTAAGGTCATTAGCGGGCCATGTCTGCAACAGCAATGGACGATAATGCGGGCAGGATGAACACCGGGTGCATGGATTGACTTAGGCTGGCGCTAATTAGCTAAAGGATAGCAGTCCTTTCCGTGTCTCCAAATGTAAAACCCCCATTGGCCTAGCCACGAGGTGCGGGCCGGCACCGCCCGCATCGTTGGGTTTGTACCGAATAAACATGCTGAAACTCTTACCTAATGACTTCCAACCGAATCATCCGGACGCACGGCCGATGAAGATTTCGGCCGACCCGGACTTGGACCGTTGTTCTTCCCTAAACCCACACGGAGTTTGATCGTTGCCGGCACATATCACCCTGGTCTACGCCAAACCAGTCAAGGCGCAGCTAAATCGTCGTAACACGGCCAAACACACATGGGGATTCGGGGGTAATTGATCGGGGTTCTACTCTGGGCGATGAAGTTGGTTGGGTATGCGGTTCAAAGTGGCATCTTGATTCATCCCCATAACGAATTAATTAGCTAGAGAAAGATCCATTGACAAAGGAAAGGCCGATACATTCTTCCTTTGGGATGGGCAGATTACATCAAGGCCCCCCCAAGATTCTTATTCGTCCACCTTGATGCCATTATCCAAACCCACGCGCGGCCGTTTGGCCTTGAACAGAAGCATCATGCCCACAATCCGCGTCTCAACCTCTTCAAACTCCTTCTTCAGCACATCCTCAAGCACCTGCGGGTCTTCCTCGTAATTATCCATTATCCCCCTCTTGTTGTAAAACCTCAGAGCAAACCCCGTCAGCCAGCCCACCTTGTCCGTCTTCACCCGATACCTGCCGTCCTCCCCCCTCTCCCACACCTTCCCCAGCACCGTCGACCCGATCAGCACTCCCTCCGCCGACAGGTGCTGCCTCGCGACCCCAAAGGCGCGCGCCTTCTGCGCCGTGGGGCCGGGCATGCAGTGCAGCACCAGATACAGCGACGCCGAGTCGAAAGAGGGCCGCCCCTCCTCGCCGCCCAGCGCCGCCGCGGCAATCGGCTGCGCCGCATCGGCGAGCACGGTCCGGATGTCCACGGCGCCGGGGTGGCGTGACAGGATGCGCTGCTTGGCTGCGTCCAGGGAGTGTGGGCTCAGGTCCACAAGGGTCAGGTGCTGGCCCGCGGGTGGTTTGCCCCCGTTCGACTTCTTGTTGGCGGTCAGGGCGGCGATGGGGAAGTAGCCGTTGCCTACGCCGATGTCTAGGTGGCGGGTTGAGAAGTTCTCCTTGAATAATGGGAGGAGGTGTTTCCCGGTTGGGCAGTGCCAGACTAAGGGGTTTGAAAAGTAGATGACGAGGAGGTCGTAGATGAAGAGTACGCTGGGCGTGAAGCGTCTTGACCCATCGTTGGGGGCTGGTTTGGACTCTGGGTCTGCCATTTTGGGATTGCGTGCAATCAGGGGGAGTATTTGGACTGGCTATCCAAGGCAAAGAGGCAAGTTGTGTTGAGCAGTTCACTTGGGTAGAATGTCATATTTGAACCGATATTAATTAGTCACTTGTTCACAACCGAAGAGCGGACCAGAGATAGTGGCACCTCTATGGCCCCTTCGTATTGGACCACTGAGTCGGACTGCCAACATCGAGGTGCATCGATACCAAGTGTTCTCGTGCATCTGCATACTGCTAGCTCTACCACTAATTCCAAACTGGTTAGACATTACCCCTCCCAACACTTCCGGCATAATCGTCCAATCGATTCGTAAAAGCAGTGTTTCGTTCGGTGGGGGACAGGTATCTCAGCCGCGATCGCTTTTCCTTAACATCCTGGAAGCTGTCAGATATTATATTCCGTAAGCTGTGATAATATGAGCCTAGTGAGGGGCCCCCATTTTTATCCCGCAGAAATGGGGGAATTTCTCTCTCTCTTCACGTTACTTTTTACTCGGACAGTCAAGACAACCTTCCCCAATACCAGAGACTCCCTCTTCTGACCCTTTGACTTGACAGCCCGGCCTTACTCAGACGAATCCGGATGCCGACTGAGATCCTGGAGGCGCCGTCTCTAAAATCACCATTGTGTCAGGACGACGCTGTGCTGGTCCATGTGTGCCCCACGTGCCAGCTCTCTGAACGCCAGTCAATGAGCCTTGGATTGCTTCACTTCAGGCTGATTGATGGCCGAGAAGGTGAGAAGCCTGTGACAACAGTGTTTGATCAAGACTACAGCTGTGGGGAGTAGAGCGATGGCTTTCGCATTTTCGTCCATCCTGGGGGTTTTGCATATGTAATGTACCAGAATGCACAGATAACTAGTTAGAGCTGTGTTACCATCATCGCTTCTGGGTACAAATTCTAGTATGAATCAAGCATCGTTACATTATACCTCACCTCTCCACCACCTCTAACGTACTCGACACAGGCCATCCTCATCCCAGTCCTCGCTACCCACCCCTCTCGTCGTAATAAACAGCCCAGTAGGATCCAACTTCTGCTTCAGCGTGTACAACTTCTCATAATTCGACCCCCAAAACGAAGCCTGCCAGCCTTCCTCACCCGCATCCGCCTCGTTCAGGTACGCCCCCATATCCGGCTCCAGCGCTTTCAGGATCGGCACCTGTACATGGGTTACTCGATTGCGGGCGGCCTTCTGCTCCGCCAGAGTCGCGTCTGGACTCCACCCAGATGACACGACGAGGTGGACCACCGTCTTCCGCCACGCCGGGTTCAGCGCCGAGTCGATCTTATTGTTGCGGGCGACTTGGCCGCCGGCGACAATGTGCCCGATCACGGTGCCGCCGGGATTCGCGGCATTTACGGCCTGGAGGGCTTGGGTCAGGTGGGCGGGGCCGGTGGTTGTGGAGAGGAAGGTGTGGGAGACGAGGCGGGAACCGAGGATGGCAATTTGGCCCGTGGTGTCCGCGTCTCCCGCCAGGCTTTCTTGGAAAAAGTACTTTGTCTGTGGGGCGAAAATGAGGTCAAAGGTGACGGAGTCGTTTCCGACGTGGCTTATGATGGCCGTAACCATTGGTGTCAGGAGAGTGCGCAGGGTCGCTTCATCCGACTGGTTGGCGAATATCAGAGCAACCACCAATGTGGATGCGTTCGCCGCCTCGGCTTGCGGAGTCAGGTAGTAGTACCCGGAACCGCCGGCATCGTTGATCTTGGGCAGGTTCGCGTGGAAGTCGCGACTAGCTGCCCAGAAGCCGTCGGTGTTGTTCGTGCTTATGGCCAGGCTCGCGACGTACGCCGGCACTTCGGGGAAGGTGCGGACAGTGACACTGACGACGACTCCGAACGTACCTCCGCCACCGCCCCTGAGTGCCCAGAACAGTTCCTGGTTCTGGTAGTCGTTCGCAACTACAAGGTCGCCCTGTGACCCGTGTCAGCTGCTGCATCTTCAATTCTCTCTCTCGCGTGCGACGCTCCAGGAATTACTTACGTTTGAGTTGACTACCTTGAACTCGAGCGCATTGTCCGAGGCCATACCTTTCCAGGCTCCCAGAGGTGAATGCCCTCCTCCCTGGATATACCCGCCAGCCGGGCCAACTGTATGCGCAAGTCCGGCCACAACAGTGATGTTTCGCTCCGCAACGGCCTTGTACAAGTCCATGAGGTAGACTCCGGCGCCAATGGTGACGGCAGGGCCGAGAGATTTGACCGCCCGCTTGGACTTCCCACACCCTGTCGGCACAAAGTCGTCAACAAAGTCTAGGCTTTTCATCTTGTGCGTGGCAATGCGAAGAGAATACGGAGCAGAGGACCGGCCCAGGTAGCAATGCCCCGTGTTCTTGATCGCCAGTCTGAGGTTGTGCTTCTTGGCGAACTTGACGGCCTTCTGCATGTGCTGCGCGCTCTCAACCTCGGCAGAGAAGAGAGGCACGCGTCCTTGGCCACAGGCCAGCGATCGGGTTGAATCTACGTAGCAGCTCTCGTTGGTGACGGGCCATGCCTCCCAGTTCGGCTGTTGCACGGCGCCCGGCTCGGTGCCGCGCCAGGTGGAATTGGTCGTTTGGCTGTTGACGGCTTGGCAGGCGGCGGAGTCAAAGGTTGGGTCGTGGCAAGGAAGTCCAATCGGACGGACGGCGATGAGGTTGCCGCTGATGGAGGAATTGAGGGCTTGCCATTCCGGGACCTTGGGCCAGCACGAGTCGGTAGGACGACAACGGCACGCCGCGGGCTTGGCCGAGGCTCCCGCTGCGGCGAGGAGGAGGGAATTGAGCAGAGACGTCAGATGCATGGCGAATGCCTGTCTACCTTGCATTCGGCTAGCCCCATTGTCAATGTTCGGGGAAGGCCATCTTTTATATTCTTTGGCTCAGGATCCAGGGGACTGCACAGTGACGCAGGCTTATGGCTCTTTTAGTCTTACGAAATGCATGTTTGCCCAGCACATCAACCCTTTTTGGCCAAAGATCGGCAGGCTCTGGGACAGGCTGACAACGGTGCAATTTCCATCCGCCCGCACTCCACGCAACCGAGAATACGACGGAAACGAGATACGAGGAGCACGAAATTCGCCCACATTGCCTTCTCCTTGAGTTATCTGTTCTCTCCTCTCTTCGGTGACAACTTTATCAGGACGAGTGAAGAAAAATAGCTCGTTCTTACATGGTGTGTAAAACTAGCCAAGTTTGTTGACACAAAGCCTCCTCCAGTATTGGTACAGACATTTGCCATAATTCAACCCTCATCAAGTCCCCCCTCCACCCTTCCCAAATTCGGAACACTAACCCTCCTCGCCCCCCCAAAAGTCCCCCCACTCAACCGACCCTCAACACTCACCAGAGGCAAACCCAGCGTATCCCGCGACACCCTCGCCCCCCTCCCGCTCGACACAGTCCTAACCGTAGGCGCCCGCCCGCGCGGCACACCCAGCCCGTCGGGATCCCGCCCCTTGGCGGCGACGCTCTCCCACTCCGACGACGACGACGTCGTCCACTCGGACGCCGCGCCCGACGTCAGGTGCGAGGCCCGGCTGGCGGTCCTCCACGACCTCGTGCTGAGGAGCCGAGCCACGTGCAGGCGCCAGGCACCGACCCCGGCCGCGGCCGCGCCGCCGCCGTCGAGCTCTGCGGGATGGGTGGGCGTACCGCGGGGCCCGAGCTCGACGTCTGCGATGCTGTCGTTGTTCTCTTTGGGCGGTTTGGGTGGGCTTCTTGGCTGGCGTTTTGTTCTTGAAAGGGAGCATAGCCAGTCTGTGAGGGACGTGTTCAGCTGTTCGCCGTTGCGTCGGCGGCGGATCAGCGTGAAGGCAATCATGACGAGGATGATCGTGATCAAGACGCTGAGGAGGACGGTGACTGCGATGCCGGCTTTGTTGTTGGACAGAAACGCGGTGGTGCCCTTGGAGACAGGCGAGGTTGTGGCGGGATCCGAGGGATTTGTCTGTGTGGAAGATGAGCTTGGAGAGGGGAAAATCGGGGGCTGGTCAGATGTCAGTTCGTCCGGCGTGTCTGTCGGCAGCGTACTGCTTCCCGCCGCAGTGGATGGACGGGTTGGGACTGTTGAGAAACCAGCGATCGAGGTCGGGGATGTAACGGGGGAAGGAGGGAGGATGGCTGCCGGTGTTGTTGTCGTCGCCGCTGTTGCCGCGGCCACTAGGCGAGTTGCTCCCGCTAAGAGCAGGCCAGGAGTCAACGGATGCGTCTCGAGCAAGCTGAGATCAGAGTCGACCCATCGGATCTGCAATGCTGGCCCGGCAGTGAAGGGTGGTCCGTCCGACGCGGTGGGCACAAAGCCCCAGATGCCGCCCCGAAAGTCGGTCGTATCTGAGGTACAAGCGAAGCCGCTAGATGCAAGTCAAAGGTTAGCCAGAGCACAGGGGGCATAACATGTTCGATGCCCAGTTCCAGGTACTTGCCTTGGTACACAGTATGCCGCCGTCTCGCCGGCTTCAATGGCGGGAAAGCCCTCGGTCGTCCGCGCATCGGTCACGAAGCATCCGACGGTGAACCCACTCGGACATATCGCTGGTGAGTAGTACTGGAAGGCCTTATCGGCAATATTGCGATCCCAATCTGGTGGATCGCAAGAGGCGGGCCCATCAGTCGGAAATGCGGGGTATTGTGACGCCTGCTTCGAACTCGTGATAATCCAGCTGGTCGGGCAAGGTGGTGTGAATACCGTGGTAAGAGCTGCAAGAGGTACGGTGCCGCCGTGAACTTTCGATGAGGAGTGCGACATCTTTGCTCGTGGTCTTGGCGAGAGCAATGAGTTGCTGGGCTCGATAGCATAGCCGATCTGCTCGAGAGAGCCAGGAACTTGGCCCAGGATCTACAATGAGAATCTCCCGCGAGGATCCCAGAACTTTATCAGTGGACCGCACCGACATGTCGCAATAGACCGATCTAGGCTGCACTGTTCCGGGTGGACATGGTCCCTGTGCTGATCAAACCTGACGTCTCAGCATTGACCAGTTGACAGCTCTCTCAGCATTTCTCCCCTGCTCAAACCCGTCACAACCAGGAAATGTGTGGCCAAAGCACGTTCCGCCAATGCGTCAAGCGCTGAGTTGGCTCCATCTCAAACGCAAGCGAAGACCGTTCTTTTGCTCCCATCATTGCAGGGGCTGTCTCCCCATTCTTCATGGGCGGCCCTGACTCCCTCCCCCTTGTGCGTTTTGCATGTCGGAGATAAGAAACACCCCGCAGGGTCGGGGTCATTTGAGGCCCATACGTTTTGGATCTGCGGGGTTGTGAATCCCACGACTTGGCTTCCCCTAGTGCCCCAAATTTTAACTGCGAGAGGCATTACAACCGTCATCCCGGTAATTGGAAGAAGAAGAAGAAGCGCTATATCACCATGTGGCTAGTGGAGTATTCCATCTAATCCATCTAAAATTTCAGCGGGAGAGATAGTAAAGCGTAAGACGATGACTGATCGCGTCACTCTGCCCTCGCAATCCTTGACCGCGCGCCCCATACCTAAAGTGGTGTCGATAAACCTGGAGCTCGTCGTCTAGTATTTAAGTATCATGAAAGTTCAGCGTTTCGACTTGCGGCTCGGATTCGAAGTGCATGTGTTCTACGACGGCAATGTCAGATAGATTTGCAGACCCTGGCAGGTGCAGCTACGCTGATACCCGGGATGATGTCTAAAGGTGGGTGATAGCATCACAAAGAAGCAACAGGTAACATATTGGATGGTACCGAGACTTGTGACCACAGGTACCTAGGTAGATAAGACGACATGTCCATGTTGCTGATTGGACTAATGTATCGAAAAGAGGTTCTAAGGGTCCGCAAACGAACCATCCCAGCGCCAGGAAGAAGACATATGCAACTGATTCACTTCTGAGTTGAATCTGAGGTGTTGCCATGCCCCTTGCCGGTTGCCCCAGAACAAGGGTTGACAAATCAATTAAGTGACTTGGTACAATAACAACAGGGAGTGGTGTAATGGTCGGATGCGATGCTGACCGACGCACCTGCGACAGCCACCTCTGGGTCTCGCCTGAAGGCAGGCATTCGATTCTTACAACCACTCCCATTCCCCCTCCCTTTTTTTTTTTTTTTTTTTTTTTTTGAGCCCTACCAGGCAAATGGCCATCTAGCTAGTGGAGCTCTTCTTTTTTTACCCTTTCACTCTGTGACATATTTATATATTGTTGTCTGTCTACAGGTTACGAGCTTCTGTGGAACGGTGTGCGTCTAACTTCGTAGCCAAGGAAAACATTTCCAGCACCCAGCCTTATCAACATGCTGACCAAATTACGACTGGTTATGCCGGTCCCTCATCTCTCCCTGAAAATCCAAGCAACCTATCACTCTAGCCCGAAGCACCGTTGAGTCATGTCTATCCTTTTCGCGTCTCTCCTGCTTTTTGCGACGGTATGCTGGGGGCAGAATGTGAACTACCCCCAGACCGTAGAGGGAGATCTCGTCTTTCCCCGCAACGAGACCTACACGCCATCCCCTCATTCCCCCGTCGTATTCGCCGTCCAGAACGCAAAGACAGGCTGGCCGATCGGTTTGAGGATCTGGGTCGAGGTCCGTAGGACTTCGCTCTTTTTCGACAAGGTTTTCCCCTTTCCCATGATAAGCGACGCCGACTCGCCCGGCTTCACAGGCGGCCCCGCGCCAGCCGACCCGGCCCTGTTCTCCTCCGGCGTCAACCTCACCGGCATCGTAGGCGAATTCTCCATCTTATGGACTTTGTACGTCTCGGACAACTGCTCTGCCTCCAAGGAGGTCGACGGCTACTCCACCGGCAACCGGTCCACATCGTTCATCATCGCCGTCGGCGGCAAGACCCCCGACATCGCGGCGGCAGTTGAAAGCTGCCCCGTTGACGTTGCAGCCGTGGTTCTGGACGGCGTGGCAAACACCGAGGTTGACGGGAAGGAGATGCTGTGCGGATTTGTCGGCGGTGCGGCGGCGAAGGCCAAAACCGACCCCTGTGCGCTGAGGCCGCTCAGCAAGGTGATCGCCGCCAACGTCTCGGCGGCCATAGAAATGCAGGAGTGCCTCGAGGAGAAAGGGTTTGATCAGAAAGGGTTTGAAGCCTGTAAGAGTGAGGCTGGTCTGCGTTTATATCCTGGGGCCGGCGGAAGTAGCCTCCTTTTCGTGGCACTGGCTATCTCGGTATTGGATCTTTGAATGTGAATGGTTTGTTGTAGTATCTATCACGCTTTAACAAACTGAGAGAGCTGGGGGTTCTGTGAAAAGAGAAATCCAGAATGTAATTGGTCCCGCTCCTCAGATTGTGAGGTATCATATTCCTCTGGACGGCGGCCAAGCCCTATCGAATCGAAGAGTTCCAACACATGTTAAGGTTTGCGCATGAAGAGTTCAGTCCACAGTCCTCTTGATTCCTGCCTCAAGCAGACTTACCCTCAACAGAGGCAGCCTCCTGCGCTGCCTTCCGCTTTGCCAAGCCCTCTTCCATCATCTTCTCCCACACAGACACAACCTTTGCAACAGCCGGGCGGGCCAACAACCTATCCATCCAGGCCGAGTAGTTCACCCACTCACGCAAGTCGATCTCAGGCGCAATGACAATAGGCGTGCTCGTGTGATACGGGATAAACATCAAGTCCGCATACGTGACCCTGTTGCCGACAAGGTAGTCCGTCTTCTCCTTTGCGAGATGAGCGTCGATGACGCCGGTGACACGCTTGATCTCGTTGGCGTACCGCTCGATGGCGGACGGGAGCTTCTCCGGGTGGGCGAAGGAGAACCAGTTTTTCTGGCCGAAGTAGGGGCCCTGGCCGCTCATCTGGAAGTGCTCCCAGCTGCGGGTGGTGTACTTCTCCGGGAAGGAGGTGTAGTGCAGCTTGGCTTCTGGGTCGTACTCGGCGATGAGGTAGTCGATGATGGCGCCGGACTGGAGGATGGATGACATGTGTAAGTTGGGAGAGATGCTAATCATGACAAGGACGGAAATAGGATGGAACTTGGCAGGGCTAATGGGTGCATTGACTCACCTCCCAGAGCGTGATATCCTTGTTATGGTCGACCAGAGCAGGAACACGGCCGTTTGGGTTGAGGGAGATGAATGGCTCCGTCTTCAGGTCGGATGGTTCGACGTCGACAAACTCCCAAGGGAGTCCAAGTTCTTCGAGAACGATGGCCACCTTCCAGGGATTTGGGCTGGGGCCGTGATAGTAAAGGCTGAAGGTCTTCAGGGTGGTAGACATGATGCAAGGGGTCTCTTCGGCAGAGGAAACTAATTGGTTGTAATTATGTGGTAATTAATTGTCAAGACCGATGTTGATGAGAGCAGGAGGGAAATGGTTCTGTGAGAGGTCGGACGTATCCTTTAAGTATTTTGGGGACTGTCTCAGTCTTCATCTCCATCCATCATCCATCTGGAGTCTCGGTCGGTGGGTCGCTCGTCGGTGGTCGTTCGTCGGTGGTCGCTCGATTTCTTCGAGTTTGCCCAGTGCTTGTTCGGTCGGTCCTCGGTCGTGGGCAGAGTGGGGCATCCGGCTCCGTGCGCCAAGCAATCGGCGTCCCGTAACCTCCGGCGCCGTGATTTGTGCGCCATCTTGATTTCTAAGCACGCAAAATGGCCAGTGCATGTCACCACTTACTTTGTCATTCCTCTGTAACCGTTTTTTCTCTTCTTACAAATGACAGATCCAACCAGGGGTACTCTAGATAATCAAGAAGAGACTTCCGTTTTTGGACTCTGGGCATCCGCCAATATTTTGTTCCCTTCATCCCAGCTTGCTTAAGTGCCTTCCTGTGGCTTGCGATTAGCCACAGGAGCGTTGCATTCCACGTCGGCGGAACCCGAACCCGGCCATTCGACCGAGCTCCGTCCGCCGCCTGGTTGAGGCTTTATTGGCGCAATACGTCACCTCACGCCTCTCTAGGCACTCATCAATGGCCAACCCCGGTACTGGTCCAGAAGTACCCTTGAACCTTTGGAACTGCGTGAATTGCAGACGGCGCAAGATCCGATGCGACCGACGCAGTCCGTGCTCGCACTGCTCCAAAGGGAGCCTCGAATGCGCCTTTCCCGTCTCCGGACGCGTTCCCACCCGGCGCTACCAACCTGGCTCCTCTACAAGTTCGAAGGAGAAGCAGGTCGAGCTTCTCGGTCGTCTTAGGCACCTCGAGAGCCTTGTCGATGAGTTGAGCACGCAGCATGGAGGGAAGACTACTGGGGATAGTGACCCATTAACTGCCAACCACTCTGAAAACTTGGTAACTCGAGGGCTGCATCCGGGTCGGCAGTATGGCGTGAATGGAGCACTGGGCGAGGTGACTCCGGAGTTGGGCAGGGTGATTGCTACCAAGTCTGGCAGCCAGTATATTGGAAATTGCTTTTGGGCGGCTCTTTCCGATGAGGTATGCCTGCAACCGAACAGCTTGACCCTGTCAAGGGGACTAACATGATTGCCACTGCTGGCGGCTGACAACCAACCAAGGTAAAGCACATTCGACAAACTGTTGAGGAGGATGGCGACGACGATCCTGACTCAGAGTCAAACAACGAGCAGTCCATCGGGAGCGCCTCAAGCGGACTGGCTCTCCCTTGGGGGTCGAGGCACTCAGTTTGCGACCTCAGAGACTTGCAGCCTCTTCCGTCTCAGATGCCCTACATCTGGCAGATATTCGTCGAAAATGTCGACCCTTGTATCAAGGTCTTACACACTCCGAGCACCGCAAAGGCTGTCGAGGAGTCCAAGGGTAGGTTCTGTATGCAAGAGCCATCCGGGGTGATCAAAATCCTAACGAGCACTCAGGCAAATTCAGCTCTTTATCTCCTGGAATGCAAGCCCTCATGTTCTCCATCTCTCTGGCTGCGATCACATCGCTGAGCGAAGAACAGGTAAGGCACGTCGAGCATCGTCACCTACAAGCATCGAGACTAATCACCAGATCCAGGTCAGAGAGAACTTCAATGATACGAAGAGCCGGTTTATCACTCGATTGACCATTGGCACGGAAGAAGCCTTTTCTCACGCAGACTTCCTCAGCACCTCCGACTTCAGCATGGTCCAGGCAATAATTATCTATCTGGATTTTGTTGGCCAAAAGAAAGGTAACAGAGCCATCTGGTCACTGACAGGGCTGCTGATCAGGACAGCCGTCTCAATGGGCCTGCACCGCGACGGTTCTCATTTCCCAAACATCTCCCCGTTCGAAGCCGAGATGAGACGCCGGCTATGGTGGAACATCTGCTTCATCGATTCCCGCGTCGGAGATGGCCAAGTTTCCGAGGTGTCGATATCTGAGAGCATCTTCGACACGCGGGAGCCCTCCAATCTTGACGACGCCGATATTAACCCGGAGATGACAGAATTGCCCTCGGCTCGGGAAGGGGTAACCGATACGACTCTCTGTCTCCTCCGCTGCGAACTCTGGCGTCTCGTGCGACAGATCCAGTGCTCCCTGTCCGTGTCTCGGCCGCATAAAGCCACCCCAGGCTCAGACACAGAGCAGGAAGAGCTCGACATGCGGCTCAAGTCCCAGCAGCGCATCGAGAGCGACTTCCTCCGCCACCTCGACCCCGACAAGCCAATGCACTCCTTCATCGCGGCTCTAGCCCGCATGTCATTGGCAAGAGCCGAGCTCGTCACAAGCAGGGGCAACCTCTCCAGCGACGCGCCGTCGAGCCCAACCAACAACCACAAACGGAACAGAGCCTTCCTCACCTCGCTAGCCAGCCTCGAGACCGCCCACGCGCTAGAGGCATCCCCCCAAACCCGCAAATGGGGCTGGGTCTTCCGCGGCTGCATCCCCTGGCACGCCGTCAGCATCCTGGTGGCGCAGCTGCGGACGCGGGCGTGGGGCCCGACGTGCGAGCGGGCGTGGGCGGCGGTCGAGAGGGTCGTGGACGGGATCCCCGAGGCGGCGAGGAGGGAGGCGCTGAGGCGGCCGGTGTGGGGGTTGATGGCGGATGCGCGGAGGCATCGGGGGCGGGAGGTTCGGCGTATCCGGGCGGATGCCGGGGTGGCGAGGCAGTTGGGGTTGTTGGCGGGGATGGGCGTTGAGAATTGTATGGCCGCTTCTGCCGAGCAGGCGGTATTTGATACTGCGGCTGCGGAGGAGAGGTTGGACCTGGAGACGGCTGTCTCTAGAGGAGCCCGGATGTTGGAGCCGGCGGATATTATGGGCTCGACATTCGAAAGTTGCCCGCTGATTACTTCGGCCTGGCAGGCGATGTGTTCGACTGATGTCGGAACAGCTCCCTTTGGAGTCGATAATTTCGCCTCCAATCCGGCGGCAGATGGCCCGAGGGACGAACCAATGGACCTACCCTCTGCAGATACTCGTGGTGTTGGCGTTTGTGGGTTCTCTCCGACTTTGCGGGACGCAGGCTGCTTTGACTCCGGTATTTTTCCTGCTGAAGGTGGAATGCCCTTTTTCAATGAAACAAACCCTGTATCAGGGACAGAAGGCACGGAAACGAGTTGGCTCGGATGCAATAGGATGCTTGGAAGTGACAAGGTGCCGTGGTAAGAAGGGGAAGCCTGGGTTCCGAACCAAAAAAGAGTAACTTTCTCGACACTGTCTTTCTATATGCTCGCTCCATCGGTGCCGGCTGCGAGTGGCGCTACCTACCTGAGCTACGCCAACAATTTATTCAACCCGATTGCAAGGTAGTTGTGGAAAGAGATCTGTCGAGAAGACAGAGACAGTTTCTTACAAAGTATAAAGCGACTATTCCATGATCAAGGGCGGCGACGTCGGCTTTACATCTTATATTGTATCCTCTGAATGATTATAAATAACCTGTGCAACTATGTATCTTCGTTTATAACGCTAAATTCTTTCCCAACACCCGTCTGTCTCTACCAATGGTTTCCAGCCCCCTATCGAGAAGGAGTCTGCAATCCTAATTATAGGACAGGACCCGTCGGCTGCAACACCTAACAAGAAGCCAACCAGGTGATTCCGGTATTCCACCCGGGCCGTGCGTAGCATGCGCTGGGAAAGTTGCAGCCCATGTAGCACTGGCACTCGCTGGTTTCGTAGTTGAAGTTGACCAACTCGCCCACGTTTTGGGCCCCGCAGTCGGACATGCAGTGCTGGAAAGAGCTGTAGCCCTTCCCGTCGAAGAGCAGGGCCCAGCCGGGGCAGTAATGGTCGCAGGTCTCAGACCAGGCGCCGAGCTCGCTTCCTCTGTAGTCGGTGTACGTGCTGCCGTTGGCGCAGTCGTCCAGCGGCGTCGTCGTCGCCGACGCCGTGGCCAAGACCTTGGTGGTGGTGGTGTCGACCTCTGTCACTGTGGCGGGCACCACGTCGGTGACGGTGACGATGACGGTCTGTGTGGCCACGACGGTGGTGGCGTCGACGGTGGCCACCGTCGAGTCGACCGTCACGGTGGTGGGCGTCTCTGTCGTCGACACGGTCACCGTCGTGACGGGGCTGTCGGCGGTGATGGTCTCGGCGGTGACGCCGATGCACGAGCAGGCGCTGGAGTAGCGCACGGCGCCGGAGCAGGCTGAGGCATAGGTCGGGATGACTGAGGGCACTTCTGTCACTTGTCGCTTGTTGTAAAACGTATGTGTGGAGGTGGATGTGGTTGTGACGACGAGCGTAGTCTTGACGGTGGTTACCGAGGTAGTTAGGGTGGTCTAGATATCTGTCAGATTCCATGGGTCCAACTCTTTGGTTACCAGGGGCTGTAGACTACGTACGGTTGTCCCTGTAGTGCTCACGGTCTCGGGGATCACGTCAGTGTATGTGACCGGCTGAATAAACGTCGGAGTGGTTGTGAACGTCAGGGTCTCGTAGATCGTCCTGGCCGAGACTGTTAATAGCTGGCCTGCAACATGCATCGGGGAAGATAAGACTGGCGAGTTCCGATGGTTACTTACGATGTCGCAGGTGTTACGGTCACCTTGAAGTAGGAGACACAGTCCGAGCTGTGGGGATCAAAGGACTTGGAGGCCCGGACGGCTGTTTTGTTTGGCGTAATACGTCAACATTCATCCATGTCTAGGCTTGCGAGACTGGAGGTATCAGGGGGGGCGGGGGAAGGTACCCACCTCGCAAGCAGTTGTCGGCGTTGCAAGCATCCCGCTTCTGTTCCGATTCGCCGAAGGGACTCGCAGCCACAAGGGCGGGGAGGATAGCCAAGATAAAGGCCTTCATGGTTGGTGACTTATGACTTATGCTGCCGGCGCGGTGACTGTTAGAGTTGAGAGGGTTGGAAAGAAGAGGCGTGTTGACTGAGCGACCATGTTCTGATGGCAAGGGGGCAACAGAGGAGAGGCAGAGCTATATATGCGTCCCCTGGACCTTCACCAATCCGTTCACTTTAGCATCACGATTACCACCTAGTTCGTGACTACAGCTAGTTCGGAGGCCCCGACGCTCGTTGGTGGCCCTCGTATTGCGGTCTGTGTTCTCCTGCACAGCGTCATACAATCTTTACGAAGAGAAGAAGCGGTAGCCAAGAAGGTGCCCGGAACCCACTGGAATGGAACCTCAGCCTCCAGGTGACGCAAGTAGGACAGTCTAGCGGTGTCATTTCTCGGTTCTACCAATTGCGATCGAGCGTTTTAGCCCTAGAAATGCTTGTTCTTGCCCTTCCCCAATCCAGCGATGGAACCGACAAGCGCTAACTAAACAAGCCTTTCAGCCCTAGACTTTCGTCCAATGCGCTCCAGACGGATGCATGATTCCAATAGTGCAGCTCGACGAGAGGTTCTTGACTAGCCTCTAGCACACGCTGACGGCTATGACGGCACACAAGCGCCTTGCCTCAGCCATCTCTCCCACGGTAAACCACCCTCAGTCAGACCATTTCGGGTTCAATGTTCCATGGCGGCGGTATTGTTTCCTCGTAATGAACTAGTAAGCAAGACTAGTAGCCTGCATGGCGTCAACCATTCACATCATCAGAAACCGAAGTCGGATTCGGAATCGTACGTTGTTCCAAATTTGTTGATGTCTGTGTCCACAATGGGGACCGAGGACCAACGTCCACCGTCCACACAGGTGCCCGATTCCCCTCCAGCCCGCCGCATCAGAGTCCCCGGCCCTGTTAGTCGTTCCGCTCTGCAGACTTGCCCTGCAGGAAAGTCGCGGCACCCATGCGGGCCACCACCTGAATACCCCGCTTGCTGCAGTGAGAGTGATATTTTGGGTGGGGCAGAGGTCGAAGGAAGGACCGAGTAGCCGGGCGGTGGCTGGCTGACTGGCTGACTGGCTGGGTGTGCCGACTGGATGACGACTACGCCAGACAAACCTACCTCGTACCTTTCAAGCCTGCCCTCTCCAGCTCATTCCCGACGACAACGACAAATCCCGCCGCCTCAACCAAGCTGGGGGCTCCCATGTCTGAGTGCATGTTCGTCACCAGCAGCGCCTCCACGGCGCCGAGAAACCACCGAGTGGTGTGTGCTCGGCGACGAGCGGGCTGACGATCACGCCCCCGCCGTTCCCGTCAAGGCGGATAGGGTTTCGATCATCATCGTCGGCGTTGTCGTTGTCGTCCGCCGACGTTGCGGCAGCCCCAAGCATGTCGCGGACGCGGAAACGGCGCCATGCGCCCCGGCCAGCGCCCCTCTGCGGATCTCTCTCGAAGCGGTCGCGGCAACAGGTCGAGCCCCAGGATCTCGGCAGCCGACACGCCGAGGAGCTTGTGTGTGGTGCGGCCCGTGCTGCAGCCTAGGTCAAGATCCTCGGCGACACGCCTGGGGCTGGCGTCTGCGCCGGCGCCGATCTAGGGCGGATGGACTCCGGAAGGAGGCTGATGGTCCCCTCGTCGTCGACAGGTTGGAGAGCGCTTGAGTTCTTGTTGCGGACCGCGGTCCGGTGGTTGTATGGCCCGAGAGTCGGGAGGTAGGTGATTTGCTGTCTCCGGTTTGGAGGACCCTTGAAGATGATTGAGGACGTGGATTTGAAGGTTGCCGGAGCTAACATAGGTACATAACAGGCTTCCGAGACGGCTGTCGGTCTGACTCACTTGAACTTTGTCTGCCTGGCCGTTGCTGAACATTGAGATTTCGCCCTGAAAACCTTAACTAATCCCTGATGCTTCGAGTCATCCCCGCTCCCCGTATGAGTCAGACGCACCTTCCGCTTCGCTCGCTCTTCGAATATATAATTACCGGATTCTGCTTTTCGACATCATTCGAATTCCTCTTGCACAATACAATACAGCACTATCCCCGAGGATAGTGTCATTTGCAATCCGATTCGCCATGGACGAAGGTATTCACGATCTTCTCATCCTCACGGATGCTACCGCATCCATGGGCACCTATCTCGGGGCCCTCAACGACTCGCTCCCCGAGATTATACGCATCTCGGCCTTGACAGGCTGCTTCTCCCGCATCGGGGTCCTCGCCTATCGGGATTACAACCGTGGGAAAGTGACAGAGTGGTCCGGCTGGTACGCCGCTGCCAGCGATTCAGCTGATGCCGGAGCTACGACATCGAGGGATCAACTTCTAGATTTCGTCAAACTCATACGTTCCGAGCACGGAGGGGATTGGCCCGAAGCCACCAAGACGGGCCTGGCTGCGGCATACGAGCACATGCGACCCGGCGCCAAGACCATCATGCTCATCTATTCCGATGCCCCTCCCCATACCCCGGCCACGGGCGGTGACAACCGAGATATTGAGCGATCGTTGCTACGGCAAAAGGACTCGTTCGGAGGATATGGCCCGTTGTTTGTGGACTGGGTCTCGGCCACGAATGCGCTACGCGACGGGGAGAAGAAGGCCCAGGTTTTCAGCATTATAGGAAGCCAACTTGCCGACACCCTTGGACCCTTCACTTTCCTATCTACTCGCACGGAGGGGGTCTGCTTCGAACTCGACAGGAACCCCAGGGCAGACGTAATCTCGAAGACGACTGTTGACATTCTCCTGACCTGGATGGGAGCAGAGAAGGAAGGATCGAAGGCGAACACCCGCGACATCGCCAGCGTGGTCCGGTATATCGACCAGAGCACCATCGGGCGTGTGAAATCGGAAGACGATGACCTTTCCAAGACGTACTGGGTCAAGGAAGACGAGGAACCCATTGTGAGGCTTGTCAAGCAGAACCTGCGCAGGACCGAGGTCAGCGCCGATGAACTGAAACATATGGTGGTTGGAAGACGGCCGCCTGTGACCGACTTCTCCAAGCGCTACCTTGCTGACGAGGCCTACCGCGGGCTGGTAGTCGACAATCTGATGGACATCATCCAGTCGGACGTCACGGCGGTCGCTGTCAATCCGGTCTTTGGCAGCCTGTGGCGCACAGTCTGCAACGATAGGTTGAATGAGGCGCGTGACGGATTGATCGAGGCCTTCGGAACGCACGTGGACAGGATCAGCGACGCCGCAAAGAGGGCAGACATGAAGGTTTGGTTGGAAGAGTCGTACGACTACGCCGCCGAGATTGTTGAAATCATCCGGTCTGTCCCAGAGGACGAGAGATATCCTTGCGTGTTCCTGGATCCGACACTCGAGTTCGAGCCGACAACGGCGGAGGCGGGTGAAGACAGTGGGCCCGCCAAGTTCACGCGAGAGGAGCTTCTAGAAATCGGCCGCTCCTGCGATTACCGAATCCTTCGTCGCCTGGGTCGCGTGCTGACTCGTCTCACTTATGTGGCGACGAAGGACGAGCTCCCCGCGCACATCAAGGACGAGCCTGACAAAGAGGTTCCTCGGATTCCGCTTGCGCTAGTTGCGCCCGAGTACAAGCGCAAGTTCTGGAAGGTCCTACTTCACGCAGTCCTCCCCGGAACTATGCTGTCCCCTCGCCCGGCTGCCCTGCTTGCCGCCCTCAGCTTACGCATGGGGATGCTCCCTCTTCGTGACGCGGCCGACACAGAGCTTCTCCAATGGAACAACAAGTGGAACACTCTCGACATCCCAGAGACGTGGAACACCAATTGTCTGGCCTTGATCCTCGATGCCGACGACAGCTACGAAGCCCGGGTGAAGGAGGGCATCACGGCGCGGCCGTCTCCTGAGGCTGGCTTGCTCACGCTCGAGGATCGCAGGTTATTCAAGACACTCGTGGACTACAAGATGCTGGAGATGAACCTCGAAACCACCCTGACTGCCAAGGTGGGGTGGCGGCCCGAGAAGACCAAGGTCAGCATGGGGCCGACCACCATCTGCAGAGTGTGTCATTACCCGCGGTCTGTGACAATGATGGGCACCGGCGGAGTCTGCGGGTTCTGTGACGAGGGCGTCTGCTCTTGTCCCAGCCCCGAAGAGCACGAGGAGAGAGTCCACGGCAACGTTAGCAAGACCGACGACGAGGCGACAAAGATCAGCTGGGTCGAGTGTACGGTAACCAGCTGCCGAGCCCAGTACGCCGTCTACCACCAGGACAAGCTCCAAGTCAGACCAAAGTGCCACTTCTGCCGCAACTCGAAGCGGTCCGCAACCGACACAACTACCCCGTCCGCGGCCCCATTTGTCGAGTGCACCAAGTGTCTCAGCCGAATGATCTGGCCGACCGAGTATCGCCCCTCAGACTTCCAACCGAACAAGTTCACCTGCCCAGCCTGTACATCCGGCGACATCCAAACAATCATCGACGTCCCCACAACAACCAAGTCCCTAGCCGAAGAGAACGGCCGGTCCTGGCTCCTCCGCAACGACGGCCCCAAGATCGCAGCCCCATTCACCGGCCGCTCGCTCTTCCACGTCATCTCCACCGCCGGCCGCGACGGCTTCGCCGACGCCGTCGAGGTCCTCCCCGCCGCAAACAACACAGACGCAGAACCGGCCCACCTCACCATCCGCGGTAAGCTCGTGCGCAACCAAACCTCCCTCCTAACGGAGCTAGCGGGTTGGATCTCCGCCCGGCGCGCCCAGGCTGGAACGTGCAGCCTGTGCTTCTCGGCCGTGTCTGCGAGGAATCGGGGAGATCTCACCCTGGCGTGTGGCCGGTCCGGGTGTCTCCAGCGCATCTGCGGGGCATGCCGGGGCGGGTGGTATGGGCTCAACGGGCGCGGACGGGTCATCAATGCTGCGGCGCTGTTGTGTCCTTTCTGTCGGCGGAGGCCTGCTGCTGGGAAGGGGGGAGCGGTTGGTGGGGTGGGAGATCTGCGGTTGGCTGTTGAGGAGGCTGGGAGCTGGGTGTATGCGTGGTGTGCGGGATGTGGGTTTGCGAGGCGGTTTGTTGAGAGGGTGTGTGCGGCGGGGGCGCCGGCTGAGGTGGTTGGGTGGAGGTGTGATGGGTGTATGGAGACGGGGGTGGGGGTGGGGTTGCGGATCAAGAACTGTCCTGGTTGTGGCGTGCCGACGGAGAAGATGGGCGGGTGCGACCATATTGAGTGTCTTGTTGATGGGTGCCGGACGCACTGGTGCTTCTATTGTGGGTTGGAGGTTTCGCCCGAGGAGATTTACCAGCACATGGCTGACTCTCACGGGGGTTGGTACGATGGGCAGCAAGATGAGGCGTACGAGAGCGACAATGAGTGATTAGGGACTCGTTATTGAAATTGTAAAGTAGGACTGGCGTATGATATGATGGCATGGCCTTACTCCCCCTATTTGGGGAAGTACTGTACATAATAAGTTACGCACTATTGTTCTCCAGGGCCGTTAAAGGGCCCAAGCTATGGCACCAGTAGCGTCCTGAGAAAGATGTGATCGAGTGTAACTTTATATTACTCTCGGACTGTGTGTCAACAGAGCATTGGAATTGTACAAGTACATGCCAGTACCTAACCTTGAACGGTGGAATGCCTGCCCCCCTGTAACCAGCTCCCTAGTCAACGACACGGAACACGCTTGCTGTAGACCGACGGGCATTGCCTTTGCTGGAAATATGCCTTCCGTGTATCGGATTGTCGACCCAAGTATCTTGTTTTCCAGGAGGACATCCACGACCCATCACTCAAGGCAACTGCAAGATGGAGGAGGTATATCGAATTACGAAGTCTTCCTGTTTAAATGGCTGAGTGAGATTGTTCCACATGCGCCACTATAATTTATACACAACTCTGCGGTAGCTAAAGATAATCTTAAAACGCAAGATGAAAGTCACAGCTTGACTATGAATCTCGGATCATTCCGTATTCGCTCACCATGCTTCAGAAGCCACAAAGACGCCGGCGCCACTGTCAACGCGAGAAAACCAAGCAAGGTATTCCCCCAACCCAAACCAAGTCTGCTGTAGAGGTGCGGCCCCGCGAGAGGTACCGTCACCCCAAAAATACACCGTACGAGCGTATTCGCCGCCAACGCGCTCGCGGCGTAGAGCGTGTACGCCTCGACGAGGTACGTCTGGACCGCGAGGAAGAAGTACGAGATGGAAATGCCACACAGGGAGGTTCCGATGAGAGGAACAATCCAGTGGACTTTGTACTCGAGAGACCAGCCGTACCAGAACAACCCAGTTGACAAGAGGAATCCGGCGGCAACCAGAGGCGGGAGTTGATCCTCTGGTTGTCGCTTCCCGTTCTTGGCTAGCTGCTCCTTCATGTGCCATTTCATAAAGAGGTCGAGTGTGTATTGCCCGACGAGCGAGCCGATGCCGAGACCGAGATAGGCGAGGCCGGCTTCTCCGGCGTTGAATCCGTACGTTGTCTCGAAGACGTCGGTGAAGGTTGTGAACATGAGGTACATGTAGCTATATGCTATTGCGAGAAATAGAGACACGATGCCTATGATGGGGCAACGCAGCAGCATCTTAGTCGGCCTCATGAGTGAGAGGCGAAGTAGCTGTAAAGGGCTATGACCTATGTCGTATTTTGAGCGCAGCTGGGGGTTGCCGGTTTCTTTTCGGAGACGCCGGGTCTTGAGCTCGAGGAGGCGAGGAGGGTGCGTCTCAGGCAGGAATATAAAGCATGCAACGATCAAAACAGCGCCCTTCGGATATGTTAGATAGCCTACTAGCTGGCGTCTCTAACCGGCGGACTTACAATGATGCCTACCAATCCGAAGGTCCATCGCCAGCTGGTCTTGAGAGATATAAACCCACCCGCAATGGGTCCGACAACCGGGGCCTATCCCAAAGTGTTAGTTAGCATGTACCATCAAGCAACTGATATGGACCTCGACGAACCAGCACGGGTCCCACAGTCCACACATTCATCGCCCGCCCACGGCGTTCAGGCTCCATCATATCAGCCACGTACCCTCCTCCCAGCGAGATGGTACTCACGCCCATGATCAGCCGGAAGACCAACAGCATGGGAATGTTGACGCTGAGCCCACAGGCAATGGCCGAGATCAGAAAGAGAAAGTTTGACGCGTGCATAAGAGGCGTGCGTCCGTACAGCTCACTGAGAGGAGACAGGAAGAGCGGTCCGACGGCCAGACCGATGACGTAGATGGAGACGAGAGAAGTGGCGAGTGCTTGGTCGTCGGAGTGAAAATCTCTCATAGTCTGCGGCACTCCGGGGGCGAAGATGGTGGATGACATGGCCCTGGAGCTGTGTCGGCATGTGGCAGCATTATGGAGTTGGGCGGAAAGTGCACTCACTGGTTGAATGTGATTGTTGATATTAGGATAATGATGGTCCATTTTTTTGTGCTTGTCCAGTTCTGGGGGTTCTGAGGATCCTCCGGACCATCCCAGTCGACAATGTTGTCTTGGTTGGATACTGAATCCACATTTTCACCAGCATTTTCCACGTCGATGCTGAGTTGAGCTGATTGCTGATCCAAGGAGACTTCTGCGGTGGTTGTGATTACCTTGCCATCGCGTGGGCAATTCTTTTCGTCCATGTGGTGGGATTTAGCGGATTGTTTCGTGTCGAGATTTTTTTCAAAAATAAAAAAATAAAAAAAAAAGAACGAAAAGGCTACATCAGCCCAAGGGGAGCTCGTCCAGGGATTAATACTGCTGAACGACCGAGAAGAGTCAAAAAGAATGAGTGAAATAAATAAATTTGAGCAAGTTATTATGGTGGGGCAAGCAGCACCTGCCCAATCGGGCCAAGTGGGAGCGGGCCGCGCCGGAGCCGGAGTCGGAATTTGAGCCGGAGGGCATATTGTCAGATAAATCATTGACCACGGCGGACTAGGCTAATCCTAGCGGAGATACGCCCATGTCAACGTTTAGATCGTGTTCGTGTTCGTGTTGTTAGAAGTGGATTTCTTCAAAGTTGACCAAGAGATAGATCCTGCGCGAGAATCTAGAGTTTGGAAAGTTTTGTTCGGAACAGCGTATTATGAGAAAGCTGAGATGGAAGGGGACTTGGTTTTGTGCAGTCTTAGGTGCCCAAAGTAACAGACCTAAGCAGGAGGAGGCTCGACTTGCGCATCACATGTCACGTGCAAGGTCCCCACGCTTACACGCTGTCGAGGAGAGTCTGGTTTCCCAAGTTGGTTCTCTGTAATGCCTTGCAAGCACCATAGCTTGTCTCGCATTGCTTTACCCAGTCGACACCAAGGCTCTGCGAATTCTCGACGTCGTCATGAGGGTCTCGAGCTTGTCCCACAGAAAGACGACCATCTTGCTAAAGTCTGTCGTGGGTTTCTCTATCATACAGTCACAAGGGGCACGTGACATCGGCAGGTAACGGTCCCTGGTTGGCTGGAGCGGTTGGAGGGTGCCTTTGTCGACCCAAACCCAAACCAACAGAGGTTAGCCTGTAGGCTTCGGATGGTGCGATTGGAGCATCCAGCGATCTCGGCTATATTTATGTCTGTTAACCTCCGGCTTTGGATCATAACATGAATATGCCCGTGCTGAGCAGCAGCAAGGTTAAGCACCGTAGTTATCAGCCTGGTTATGGTCTTGTAAGGGTACCTAGGTAGAGTAATGCACGAAAGGCTTCAAAGCGGGGGTTCTGGTCCGTGCATGTCCACCTCAGCCCTGGATTGAAGCTAAGCGCCAGCCTCACGCATTAAAACCCCGCATCCTCCTGTTCCATTGAAACCATGGTCAGACTAGCATAGCAGTAGTCTAAATCAATGCCGTTCCCAGGATGCAGAGCCTTTTTAGACGACGAAAGCAAACACCAGCCGAACCGGCGACTACGGCAGGGTCATCGGCGCCCCACACGAAGGTCTTCCCCGCCGGCATTAAGCTGCTCTACAGCTCTGAGCACGCCAACGTCGAGTACGTGTAGCTTGTCTTCGTCTTTGGCCGATAATAAGTCTGACTGGTGCCTCTAGCATCGTTTTCGTCCATGGCCTGACCGGCGATCGTGAGCAGACCTGGACCTCGCCGAATGCCACCGACCCATGGCCCAAAACCCTTCTCCCGAACAAGCTCCCGACCGCGCGTGTTTTGACCTTCGGATACGATGCATACGTGGCGGACTGGCGAGGTGTGGTATCGCAGAGCCGGGTTGGAAACCACGCCTGGAACCTGTTGACATCTCTCGCTCGGTATCGGGAGGAGGATGACACGGTAGGCTCCTTGCTCGGGTAGGGGAAGGCGAGACAAGACTACTAACTAATGAAGAATGATCGACCGATCATTTTCGTGTGCCATAGCTTGGGAGGACTGGTCTGCGAGGATGTGAGCTTGGGGGGGGGGGGGGGGGGGGGGGGGGGGGGGGGGGGGGGGGGGGGGGGGCGGGGGGCGGGGGGGGGGGGGGGGGGGGGGGGGGGGGGGGGGGGGGGGGGGGGGGGGGGGGGCGGGGCCG